CTGTTGCTTGATCTACAGGTCCAATATATTTCTTTCTCCTGTTCATTTTTTAATCTTAACAGAGCCTAGACAGAAAGAAGGAAGGGAAAAGTTATATAAAAATACTTAATAACAGTTGTAGATTTTTTAGATCTTTTAGAATAAATAATAATGCGCCATTTAGAAAAATCGATATTTTTCATTTTAAAATCATCCAAATATATTTGTTTATTTTGAACTCCCTGTAGCATGTAATTCAACTTGCATATCTTTTACGTCATATTCGAAAAACGCTACTATCAAATAAGAGTGATCTATCTACCTTTCAAGATACTGGCGCTAACGTAATTTTTTTGCAAGTGTGAAAGCTAGAAATATTAAAAATTGTGCATCCTAACAATCTTTATTTACCATCTTCTCACAACTTTTGAAACCAATGAGATGATGAACTTTATCGTTGACTCACCTTGTGTAAGCAGGTACAGAGTAGAATGCAAACCAGTATCAGTTAAGCTCTGTTTGTTTCACAGAAAAATTGACTAATATCGAACAAGCACAAATTTAAGGTTTGGTTTAAAGGGCAGGAAACACGTCATATTAACTTTTTATTCATTTTTATTTCATTTAATAAGTGAATTTAAATCGCAAATAATTAAGCAAAATGCTGCATTGACTTAGAAACATTAAGTATAAAACTGGTTTTTCTTCACACACTCTGCACATGCCTAAACATATTATTATATTAATATATATTCAAACTTAGTCAGCAGTTCGCGAGAAGTTTGAAGTTGGGCTAATTTTTAAAGACGCTCAATTCGGTTAAAAATACCTCTTGCAGTATTTGATTTGGAGCAAACGCTTCCCTATCGATCGTCGCCAAATTTCTGTTGTCCGACAGTTTGAGGATTTTCAAGTTCGACAATCCTGCGAAAGTATTCGCTTTCACGTAGCTGAGCCTCGGCAGGTTCGTGAGCGATATCTCTCTAAGGCTCTTGACGCCTACGGTAAATTATTGTTTATACATGGAACGAACAGAATATTCAGAAAACAAACACTTTGATAGATTAAGAATCATCGAAAGGAAGTTGAGGTTTTCCTACTAGTAGAAAACTATATCAACGTCAGCTATTACTGTAACGGTGGATGTAGTTGCACCGGCCACACGTTCGGGGTTGACAGCACAAATTTATTTAAAAATGGTTGGTTCTTAAGAAAAATCATCATAATTAATTTTTCAAAGAAACTTCTGTAATACTATTTACAAATCTTCTGAATTCCATCTTCGTCGGTTGTTGATAAATCAAACTTGTTGCCGTTTGCTTCTTGAGAGCTTAGCTAAAACTGGCTCTACCCTGTATCCGCTTATATACTGTTTGAAGTGGTCGGTGCTAAAGGAGGGCCGTGAACATTATCTCGGATGACTGATTCCCATATTAGTGAAAGATAAAGGCCTGAGTCGCGATTATGATTATTTGGTTGCTTATAGATTTCTATTAATTCTCAGATTTTTCGTTGGAAGAAGAATTGGTTACAGCCAAGAATTTTTTTACTTTTATCGAATAAGGTTTGATGTCCGGTTTCGTGATTGTGTTCGGCAACAGCTGGTGAGTTGATTTGTCGTAAGTGTCTTTCAAGTTTTTCCAGCCTAGTTGATATTAATGTTTTTGTTGGAATGGATCAAAACTAAATACAATTGTTGTATTTAAGGTTGACAATGTACCTGAAATATTGTTTAGTGTTTTGGTATGAAATTCATAATGCTGCTCTAAGGACGAAAAACGTTCTGGATATGCCCTAACATAATTCTTGTTAATCTTGTTAATTTGAACGCTGCTTTAGCTATAATGCCATTAAGCTTTATAATAATTTTAATAAATATTTTGCATCCAGCTCAGTTCTAGTATTTAGACAAAAATGTAAGGTCTATTTATTGAAATTACAAAAGTTTCGTTTTAACCATTTGAGATGTATGACTATATTAGTTTATAGTGGCATTAAGAAAATTTGTCTAAATCTTGTGCAATAATTTAAAATATCTTATTGAAAACTACTATTATTATTATTAATATTGTTATTATTATCAATATTATTAATAATTTTGAATGTAAGGAAGGACAACTGTGCCAAGTGTGGGTTGCTTTCGCATTCATTGTCTTTGTAAGGTTGTGGTGAAGTACATTTTGTGATGGAACACTTAATATCTTTGGGTCATTCTGTTTATAGAAAATCTGCGCACACATACTGATACTGAAATACATTGTCACATCACCACCCAGCCCAAAAATCATCGGTTATCAATTCTCTTGTTTACTAAGCCTTAAAACTATCTCAACCCGAGTCACTGAGACCAGAATTGCTCTTCTCTCTAATAATTTCCACACTTCACCACAACCTTCCAAAGACAATGAGTCCGAAAGCAGCCCCCACACTGTAGTTCTTCCGTACATTCAAAATGCCACACATCAAAAGTTCGAAAGAAACATTAAAACCAGATTTACCACTGGGTCAAAAATCTCTCAACATATAAACTAGTTTAAAAGAACATGAAAGCCTTAAGATTACAACAAATAAATTCATCAGCAGTCGCTGACCACAATCATGAAATTGGACAAATATTTTTGATGTTTTGGGCAGTTTGGTTTGTTAACAACCGACCAGGATGAATCCAAAAGATTTGCTAATAAGTTTAAATGGAAAATATACATAATAAACAGATAAGTAAATAGTTCTTAAATTGTCACAATTACATTTGTTTCAGAATGGGCGCATCGAAATGAAAGCCAGACAATTAAAATTTTAATTTTTATTGGATCCGGAAAAGAAACAAAAACTGAAGAGGAAGTTTCTAATTTATTTAACGAAAAATACCCAGAAAGACCCATTACAAGATGCACGTTCGGTAAAATTTAGGAAAAAATTATAGAAACAGGGCATTTAAAATATCGTCTACGACGAGGTCGTTCAAAAACTAATAAGAACAAAAGATTAAATATTTTATTAGAAGTTGCTTAAGTTAGATTAAGAAAAACTAATTTAATTCAAAGTACAATAGAATATTTAAATTTACATGGCACACGGTTTTAAATATATATATTTTTGTATTTCGATCAAGTTAAATTTTTACGCACACCACCCCATATATTGATTACTATAATATTTTATAATGTAAAAAGATCCAAACAAGTTTTATTTGGTACTTTTTGTAGGTTCTGAGATTAAGTTTCATCCCATAATAAATAAGGTACCCGATAGGGAAATATTGGGCGAAATCAACAAAACTAACCAGGTTACGTCGTATATCTAAAACTGACCAAAGAAAGAAATTAAACGTAGTAGTACCAACTTAAGTTTCGTTGAACTTAAGCCCGAAATTGTTTTATGCAATCTACACTTAGTCATTTGAAATGTCAAATGTCCTGATGTTTTACAACTGTCATATTTACTTGAAGTAGTTTCCAAACTTGCATTTTTTCTTTGAAGCATCCTTTGCACATTCTTTAATGGTACCTCTAAGAACAAAAGTCTTTCTATTTTTTGGTAGGTAATTCCCGAAAGGAGAAAAACACTAATCATACGGGCAAACATACAAGCCAAACTTCACAGCTTCTCCATTAGAATGAACCATTACCATGAAAAGACAGTTGTCTTTTCATGGTAATGGAAATTCAGGCTTTAAATCAGAAGAAGTAATTTAATCTAGAAATTCTGACATTTCAAAAGAAATTTCTACTTAGTTTTTCAAAGAAACTTCCACAGGCCATTGAAAAACTATTTACAAATCTTCTGGTTCTTCTGGTGACGTTTCACCATTCATCATGTTGCCTTTAACCCAGCTTAACTGACAGTGGTTATCATTCCATGGCCATTCATTCTTTATTTTACGTTTTTAACAATCGTTATTACATTTTGGTCTGGTTTAAAAAATTATTAAATATGATGTGGGCGTTGTTCCGTCGTTTTGCTTTCTCTGCCACTAAATAGTTAGTATTCTACTTTGTACCTCCTTATATACTGTTTTAGGACGGCGGAGCTAAAGTAGGAACATGAACATTGCCTGGGATGACTAATTGCCACTAGTAGATGCAAGTAGATATGCAAGATCTTTAGTTTGATCGAATAAGATTTAATATCCGGTTTCCGGATTGTATTCGGCAACTGTTGAGTTTATTTGTGATAGTCTTAAGCGCCTTTCTTTAGCTACTTGACACTTTTCATCCTGTTTCTCCAATGTATTATTTGCCTTATAAACATGCAATGTTGTAAACTTTGGTGTTTCCAACGGAAGTTTGTCTTTCATGGATCGAAGATGTTGATAGATTTTCGGACAAGTGATAAACTTAGAAGAAGCCAACAGGATGATTGGCGAAGAAGGAATCCAGAAGATCTGTAAATATTAAATTCTGACTTACTTTTCAGAAAGTATGACTTTTTTTGAAACATATTTTTTAGAATAATTTTTATAAAAGTTCTGGATTAAGCCTGCGTCGGTTTTTGTTGAGTCGAACTAGGTAACGTTTCGCCAATCATCCTGGGCCGCACCTAATTGAGCGGCATAAACACCGTCTCAGATGACTGATTCCAATATTGGTGACAGGTAGAGACCTGAGTCGTGGGTAAGATTGTTAGGTTGCTTATAGATTTTTATAGACTCTCGGATTTTTCGTTGGTAGAAGAATTGATTATATGCAAGAATTTTAGTTTTATCGAATAAAATTTTATGTCCGGTTTCGCGATTGTGTTCGGCAACTGCCGATGAATTTATTTGTCTTAAGTCTTAAGGCTCTTTCATATTCTTTGACCTTAGTTGATATTTTTCGTCCGGTCTCACATGGAATTTTGTCTTTGACGGATCGAACGTTGTGGTGACGTGTATTTTGTGATGAAACGCTTAATATCTTTAATGTGGAAATGAGAAGAGCAGAGGTAAGCTCTGGGTTCAATGGCTCGGGCTGAGATAGTTTTATTTTTCTGTAAACAAGACAGTTGATAAACGATGATTTTTGGGTCGGATGGTGATGTGACAATCCATTAAGGTATCGGTTTGTGTGTGTAAACACAATGACCCAATTGTAAGGTCTGATTTTCTGTTGTATCTATTAATGGTAGGTTGGTATTAGTTTCTATTTCAATGGTAAACGTATATTAGGGTGTATAGAGTTTACATGACTAAGAAAATCTACTAGGGGATTCCTGAACGTGAGGCCAAATAACAAAAATATCATCGACGTAGCCTTGCCATAATACACATAATACACCATAATACAGTTTTCAGAAATTGTGACATATTTTATAGAAATGGTGCCATGTATTTTAAAATTCTGACTTATGTTAGAAAGTCGGACATGTTTTTCCGAACTTGTTGTTCGGTTAGAGTTGTAAGCAAGTGCAATAGAACAGTGGAAATTATATCTCAAAAAAACTTTAAATTACATTCTTAAGCATCTACAAAGATTATGCAGTTAGTAGCATCTGATACCATTATTTCTTGGGCCTAAACTTTTATTAGAATAAAGTACATCTTTTAAACTGTGTAGCATTTGAGGTTAATATAGTTGCACTACTATGGCATAAATTAATACGTCGCATGCGCCTTTGCACATGGTTTTTTCAGAGCATTTAACGAGACCTAAGCTTAATTTGACAATATTACATCGTCAAAATGCCGCATCCAAACTAATACCGCAAGGTCATTGGTTAAAAACGAAATCTTAAATCATCTCTTTTTTTTATGTATATTTGCTTTATGTTCATGTATTGACGGCATAGGCAGGGCCACTACATATGCCAAATACGATAAGATAATCGTGGTTAATTAATTAGTTGTTACTGTCAACTCTCTTACCCAAAAAAGATTCGTCGGTCAATTCGAAAATCATGGTGTAATCCAGGTAGACCGTTTCTAGTTTTTCCAACAAACTCAGCGTATCTGGTACGAAGTCTATTTTGTTGTAAGCTAAGTTCAGCTCGACCAGGTTATCGAGATTGTGAATTGCTTCTTCGACCAATTCGGTGAGATCATTCCTTGCCAGGTTTAGTGTCTGCCAAAAAAGTTGAATGTGTATTTTACTTATTACTTACTTAAATTTACTTAAATACTTATTTATAGGCATAGTATATAAAAGTTACATTTTTTAAAACTGGAAGCCAGAATTAACTGAAAATAAAATCGTCACTTCGTTGGTCATCCTCTATCATGGCGTTGCGTCAACGCCAGAGGTGTTTTTGTTCAATCATGACAGTTATGGCATATGTTTAATATTATTATTCTTCAAAAATAGATAAAAGAACAATGTTTTCAATTGACAAAAAAGTTATTGCATTTACTTGTACCCCTGTACCCCTCAAAAGTTAGGCCCCGCCCAAAATTTGCCATCCATAATTTTAGAACCAGAATCAGTATGCCAAAATTGCTAAGATGTAGAAATTTGAAAACTTTGTCCCTATTTCCCTATATAAGCGGTACAAGCTGTTTCAAGAACCTCGCTCTGAACGTCCCAGCACGAACAATGAAACAAATTAGGTTGAAAAATTGTCGAATCACTATTAGAGAAGTGGCTGAAGACGTTGGCATGTCTATTGACTCGTGCGTGCAATTCTTATCGAAGTTTTGGGATCAAACGTGTAGCAGCAAAATTTGTCCCCAAACTACTTAATTTTGAAGAAAAGGAACATTGAAGGAGCATCGCTCAAAAGCTGTTAAACTACGTCAATGATAATCCTGATGTGCCCAGAAAGGTCATAACTGGTGATGAATCATGGGTATATGCTTATGATGTCGAAATCAAAGCCCAATGGTCCCAGTGGAAGAACCCAGATTCGCCAAGACCGAAAAAAGCACGTCAAGTTCGATCAAATATCAAGGTTTTGCTCACTGTTTTCTTTGATTATCGAAGCGTAGTACATCAAGGGTTCTTAGTACAAGGTCTTACGGTCAATAAGTTATGCGCCGTTTGCGAGAAGCAATACGAAGGAAATGTCCTGAATCGTGGGAAAACAATTCATGTTACTTGTGTCTAGTCTAACTTTTTAGGCAAACACAAAACCACAATCATGCCTCGGCCAATATATTCGCCCTGCGACTTTTTCCGGTTCCCAAAACTCAAGAAAACCATTAGGAGGTTTAGAACGATTGAGGAAATAAAAAAAATCGCTGGAAGAACTCAATGCTATACCAGAAGTGTTTCGAGGATTGGAAAATTCGTTGGCACAATTGTATTATATATTTGGGGACAGCATTAATTTTGATAAATAAACAAATTCTTTTTGATAAAACTTAAAAGTCAACTTACTTTTGAACACACTTTGTATAGTGATCAAGCCAGATATTTTTTGTTTGGGTTTGGGTTTTGCTTGCGTTGAAATATAGATTAATTTTTGGGGTACCCTATAGGACTTCTCAGAGATTGTCGTCGTTTCCACACGTCAACACCAAGGAAAGGTCATCCACATACATCAGAAAAAATGTATCAGGTAAAATTATCAATATACAATTCACACATAATAAACTGAACATTTAAGGGACGCCCATCTCCATGCGCTGACTAGCTAAATTTACATTTCCGTTAAAAAACTTAGGGGATACAAATTGAGAACGATCTTCTAAAAAGCTATTGACCCAGTTTAGAGGCTTACCGCTTATACCCGAAGCCTGCAGAGCTTTCCCAAATAAACAAAGATATAGCCTACGGAAATCTATTTCTTTTTATACGTGATGGGACTGTGGTACTTAGAAAACCAAGAACGTTAGCTTCCCTATAATGAAATCCCTTTTCAATAATTATAATAATAAAATAATAACTTATATTTTAAAGTATGAAAGAGCTCAATCAATCGTTTTTTTATCCAACTGAATGTAACTAACAATAGTTATTAAATACTGACTCCACAATATTAGGCTCATTCTCGTTTTTATTGTTTTTTATTATTTTATTAATTAAATTAAAATTATCAATACTCAATCACCCTCCAAGCAGTACAAGTAGTATCGATGGAATTCGGCTTTTTTGGTTTCAGAAATTAATTTTTTGTGCCTTCCGGGCGTCTGCATGTATATACCCCGTTCAATACTGTTTACACTGCTTAAAAACAAACACAACCCCTTTTCCGGAAAACGTAAACAAAAATAGTAGAAAAAAACTTCATACAAAAATTATTTCTTTTATTATTGCGATTGAGTACCCCACCATCTGGTGGCAATCATGTCACTCATAGCACGTTTAACGACTCCTCTTACTTAAAAAAAAAAAAGTAAAAAGCATGTAACAAAAAAGATTTGAATTTGTCACTTTTAAAATAGTGTTCACTCTAAGTATCATTAATACAAGTAAATGGTGCAGAAAACGGCTTTTAAAATTCAAAATGGCAATTTCCAGCATTTTTCTTGACCGATTTACTTTTTTTTTAAAATTTCTAAAGAACGAGGTGAAAATAGAAGGAAAATTTTTTTATTTTTTTGGGTTCCAAATTAATTTTGATACTCACTTCTAAGTGCGGTAATCCAGACAGAGCCATTTGCGTTGGTTGGTCCAGAAATTTAAAATGATTGCCTTCCAGATTGAGTTCTTCCAGGTCGCTGAGGTGTTCGAACACGTTGTGCGGCAAGCTATGGATTTTGTTGTAAGCGAGATTAAGATATTTGATCTTTAACGGCTCGTAGACGCTATCGTTATACGGACCTTTGAATTTCTCTGCCGATATTTGTTCGGCTAGAAGAAAAGGACGGTATTTATATTGGGGTTAAACACGAGCTGTTGTGTGACATGACATTTTTAATTTTGGGTCTATTATCAAGAAGAAAACTCAAAAAAAATATTGACTCGATAACATGGTTACAAATATACAAGACGATTCAAAAATAAATGCTGACGTTGTTGAGCCTGAGTTATCTGATCATGGAGCAGTCACAGCAAGCATGAAAGTCCATCCTGTTCACAATGGCACAAAAAAAATAAAATAGCGTATAGTTAGGCAGGAAGGTACTTTAAATTTTTTCCAAAAAATAGATATGGCCGTCTCTCTAATAGGTATTCTTACCGAAACCATTGAAATGTGCTTTCTCATGAAGGAAGCAATAATACAAATGTAATTAAGAAATACAAATAGTTCACTCCAAGACTTCAATTAATAAGAAATAATCTTTGCCTGATGAAAGAGCTAAACTATGCCTACTTCAATGCACATCTTACAAGATATATTAACTTTTAGAAAAATGAAATAAAGAAAGCAAAATGCAGTTCCAATAAGAAAATAATTGAAGACGAAGAAAATACACCTAAGACCTACTGGAATATAATCAATAAAAATCGACCCTCTAAAAAAGAACAGGTAATCAAAAACGAAATTAAATAGATTTTTTACAAGTATTGCTGATAATTTAAAAACCGAATTACCTAAAAATGATCAAAAGTTTGTAAGGGACGTTTTTGTGCAACATTATGCGATATTACTAAAGGGTGGCTGCGTAGAGCATTCGACTTTATTAAGAAAATTAAATATTACATCTGCAGCCGAAGCCTAGTTGGTTCATTTCTACATACAACAATACGTTGGTTGTAATAATAAAAACTCGAATATATTACCAATGAGAAATAGGGTTTTGCAGGGCACAGTTGTATATATGAAGCTATATATAATGGTGTGCAGACGACACTACTTTCTTGATAAATAAAAAAATCTTACTGAAGTACTTACCGAATTAACATGAGCTAAGGACTGGTTTACAAAAAATAGGTTAATCCTTAAAGAAGGGGAGACGATTTCTTTAATCTTCTCTCAAAGGTAAATCAACGAAGTAGATAATGGACAAAGTGCAAAATTCTTGGGAATTCATTTAGACCCTAAACTAAATTGGTGTCACCACATAGACCAAGTGTCTAAAAAAATCTTAAAAAAAACAATTTTCAAATACTAACTTTGTGGGGCCTAATGGGTACTGTATATTGTAACATATTATTGACAGCGTATTATGCTCTAATTGACTCCCACTTGCTTTATGACCTGATGAACTGGGAGCAGGCTCCTGCTGCAGCAAGAGTCTTCGGCCTACAACGCAGAGTAATTATAATAATCACAAACCTCATATACAGAGAGGATGTTAGATCTAAATTTTCGAAGCTTAGAATCCTTATACTGCCAAGCGCTTATATCCTAGTCTTGTTTATGCTTGCGAGAATCAAACAGAGTTTTTACATGTGAATGAAGTTCACCCCTACAAAACACGGAATAGGGACAACCTCAGATCTGATTTCTTCCGTCTTGCTGAGGGTAGAACGGTTAATAGCAATAATTTTCACTATAATGCACAATAGTCCCTATTTTATAATTACACACAGACAGAAAAAAATGTTTGGGGTGGTACAGTAGGAAATAACTTGGTAGGGTCTGTTTTTTTTTTAAATAGAGTGATTGGGCAAGTTTACTTAGACTTTTTAGAGCACAGGTTGCAAAGTATGTTAAGAACTATTCCAAACGAAGTGGGACAGAGACTGTGGTTCCTTCATAATGGAGGTCCCGCACACCAAACCCATCAAATTACAAACTACTTAAATAATTTAATTCCTTGACGGTGTATAGAAAGAGGTGGCCCGATTAGATGGTCTATTAATATTGCATTTTCAATATTATCCTTAGCGCAAAATACTGATAAAATTATTTTCCCAAGGTTGCGCAGTTCATAATTTTATTTTTGTTTAACGCAATGAATGCTCCTGGAAGAATTATGCTTAATTCGTCTCTGTAGACTTTTTACGATAATTAATATTTTTCATATTACCTCACCCTGTTTAAACGATTCGAACTAACTTCAAGATTTACAACAAACAAACAATAAAGAATTCTGCACAGAGTTATACATGGTATTTCACGTTCATTAAAAGTCGAATAAGATGCAATTTAGACACGCCTTTCCATTTTTCAGTATAAGGTTAGTGCCAACTGTACTTTTTAAAATTTATTTATTAAAAATATTTTCAAATAATTCGTACATACCCCAACAAGGTGGTGAAAAGATGATACTAAATATTATTTCAATTTACTATAGTTATGTAAAGTGCAAGTATCTTGAAAATTATCCCAAATCATAATATACCATTTAAAAAAACATATTAAAAGTTCTGTCTTATCAAGGCGGGTACAAACATTACATTGTTATTTATATTCACTGAATATGTGCGTTAAAGAAAATAAAAAGTAATAAAAATGTAGTGGCGTCATTACATTACTTTAAACTCTTAACAAAATATCTCATTATCAATGGTATAGTTTAAAAAGCTTTAAAAAAAGGAAAACATTAAAACCTACATTATGTTAGTATATGCAAAATAATATCCCATCATAGAATTTTTGTAATATACCGGGCATTTTCGACAAAAAATTGTCATAAAGCCAAAAACACTCTCTATAGACCAACAATCCTACATTGGGTGATTGAGTACCTACTAATGCGATAATAACGAGGCGTTTCGTTTAAAAAATTATAAGTTTTGTTTCCCACATAGCTATGAATCACCCTGTATATTTTAAAATAATTTTAAATTCTTTCTTTTAGTCTTATCTAGAACTTTTGTATTCAACATTTTTTTTCTCAAACAAATAATAAAGGAGATATATTACCTTCATATCATCTCTGACTTAAAAATTGAGTCCGAGGTTTCTATATGAAACGGTCGTCTTTATTGCATATCACTCAAATGTTCTATAAACAAGGGGTTATTATAGAGTTTATTTCTTTTAGCACCAAATAAAATGACCATTAAGTACTTATAATAGGCATAATTTTCACTATTATCCTAACAACAGAAAATAAAGTGAACGGGCAACTTTACTTAGACCTTTTAGTGCAGAGGTTGCAAAATATGTTAAGAACTATTCTAAACAAAGTGGAGCACTGACTGTAGTGGTTCCTTCCCAATAGAGCTCATGCACACCATGTCCATCAAGTTACAAACTACTTAAATAATTTAGTTCCTCGACGGTGTCTAGGAAGATGTGGTCCGATTAGATGGTCACCCAAATTTCCTCATCTAACTAGGACAGACTGTTTTCTGTAGGCATATTTTAAAGATTAGTAGGTACATTAAACTGTCCCCAGCAGAAAAAAGCACATGCAACAGAGGATAAGTGTTAGTCATCAAATGCCAATTTGTGTGCTTTGGAAACCTTTCAAAAAATTTCTAACACTTAATTTATTATATTCGTTGCTTTGTGTGCTTGTATTGAAAAAAATGGGACTCAAGATGCGGCCCTGAGCAACTTCTCGATCGATTGGAAGGCTAGCACAGTCTTTCCCAAACCAAAGAACTTTAATTTGGTAAGTAATACATAGTGATCTAAAGTATGTATGTATATGTACTGTTGTTGAGCAACACAACAGCAATTAACAATTTATTATCGCCAGCCCTGAATATATTTGAAGTCCACGCATTAGGGAATTCACCCGATGAGAGGCATTCTTTCATAATTTTCATATAAGAACAATGTAAGGCTTATGTCGTCATAAAAAAATTGTTTTGATTTTGTAAAAGTGTTAAAGTTTCATTAATATAGTGTTGGGTAAGAAAACACTGATCAACCGAATAATCCTGGGATAAGGAGGCAACGAAAAAGTCATTAAAATGATTTGTCGAGCCAATGCCAGTTGAAGAATTAGTATATTTGCTCTTGGTGATGTTTATGTACTTTAGAGCACGCCTTAGTATCTCTACTGTCTACTACCATTTTGAGCGCAAACCGTTCTAAAGACACTTACTCGTTAGAAGATTGTGACTTAGATCGATGAACACGACGTTTTTGACTGCCTTGAAGGCACCGTTGTCCAAATTTTGGATACTGCAATGGTCAAACATCAAATTTTTGACCAGGTCGCTGTCGGGCAGCACTTCTAGCGTGGTGATGTTGTTCAGGGTGAAAGTCGCGGTCAGGGTGGTATTGTGTTGGGGCCATTCTGCGGGTACGTGGTGGAACGCCTGGTTCCGACAGTCGAGGACGAATTGGGGCCCGGTCAGACACTTGCACCGTCCGCAAATGTCACTGGAGTTTTCGTAGATTTCTTGGGCTCGACACGTGTAGATGCAGGACAATGCCAATATCTGGAAATATCAAATATACACATTAAAAAACCTACTTTCAATCTCGAACTAAAGCAAAATAACATTTACGAAGAATTTTATCAGCAGGTGAGGTTTTGACATAAAGGGATATTTAAAAAAAATTAGGGATAACGTTATGGTCTCAACAACGTAACAAGAAAGTCAGTGTAGAGAGTAATCTTACCAGTTTCAGTAGGTGATCTTCTAACTTTCTGCTTTTGATGTCATTTCCATAAAGGCGTGTTAATTTTTCAAAGAAACTTCCACGACGTAGGAGGAATCCAGAAGATTTGTAAATAATGTTTGTTTGGTTCCAGAGTCTCCAATTTTAATATATCGGAAATAATGTTGGGAGTTTCGAGATTAGGGAACTTTTGTACAGAGGGATTCTACGTTCAAAGTAACCAGAATATCATGTGGATCTAATTCAATACTTTTTAACTGTTCAATGAAATGAAACTAATTAAGTATGAAACTCGCAGTTTTCCATGTAAAGGGTTTTAAGAAGCTAGCTAAAGAATATGTTGACAATAGGTCGAAGGGGTAATTCTAGTTTAGGGAATCCGTAGTGTCGAGGCACAGACTTTGTCACGGATTCTGATAAGGAAGAAGTCCTAATAACGGATTTAAGGTTATATATATTATAAGAATATCTTTAATCTTTTCCTGATCCATTCCATGTAATCATTTATTCTACCAACGAAAAATTCGAGAATCTATAGGACTCTATAAGCACCCAAACAAGCTTAACCGCGACTCAGGTCTTTATCTTTCACCAATATGGGAATCAGTCATATGTGCCTCCCATAGTCCCGCCTCCTTCAAGCAATATATAAGCAGGTATAGACGATTGGATGATTGGCGAAACGTCAGCAAGTTCCATTCAACGCAGGGAGAATCCAGAAGTTTTGTAAATATTAGTATTACAGTAGCCTGTGGCAGTTTCTTTATGAACAGGAGATCAAGCGCAAAAGCAGAAAGTTAAAAGATCACCGACTGAAACTGGTAGGATTGACTACACTGTATACGGACTTTTTTGTTACGTTGTAATGTAATAAACTTAGAATAGTTAAAATGGGCTTATTATCGTATTTTGAGTCATGTCTCCCATTTTAAAATTTGTGAGTAATTTATGGCTCGGCGTTTTCTCAAATGGTAACTTTTCACGTTTATTGTTGTTGAAAGCTTTAGGTCTGCTCCGGCATCTAACCCACTTCGATTGGTAAACTTACGAAGACGAAAAACGAAACAAAACAAGAATATCTTTTTCTAAATATTCAATTTATCAGATGTTATGAAAAATTTCCAAAATGTTTTGGATAAAAAAGTGATCATGAAATGTTCAATTGAACTCTTATGTAATTAGCGCCGTCTGCAAACAACTTTGAAACTAAGTTGAGATTTAAATTTTTCATCCCCAAAAACCCATTGGTACAAATTTTTACATTATTTCCTTCTAAACTGATCAAATTATAGAATAAATGAGAAATCGAAAATTAGATTGTGTATCTTGAAATTTGAAATTTTTTTTGTTGAAAAGGTATATTGGCGTTTAGAGTGTACGATTACTCCATGACCAATTGATCCCTTCACCCTGGAAAAGTCTTGGCAAATATTTAGTTTTCTAAAAAGGACCGTTATTATTAAATTTTATGTTTATACATTATATTATATATTGTCGAAATCGGGTTCAAAGGGACTTCCATGTTGAATAAAAATTTACGAAGCTCATTTGTTTTTATTGTTATATTCAAAGAATGCAATATGTTCCACCTACCTAAATGAGTGTCAAAATATAAATGAAAACCCTGAACCGGCGTCTCAACGATAGAGTAAGGTTCATTATCTCATTGGTACGAGCTACTGTGCTACTTTTTATAAAACTTCTTTATCCCTCCTGCGTCGAATTTTGTTGACTCGAACTAGCTAACATTTCGCCAATCATCCTGTTGGCTTCTTTAGAAACTGGCTCGCATTTTACTCCGTACCAGCTTTTATATTGTTTGAGGGGCGGAGCTAAATGAGTGGCATAAACATCTCGGATGACCGATTCCCATATTGGTGGCAGGTAGAGACTTGAGTCGCGGTTAAGATTGTCAGCTTGCTTATAGATTTCTATAGACTCTCGGATTTTTCATTGGTAGAAGAATTGATTGCATGCAAGAATTTTAGTTTTATCGAATAAGATTTTATGTACGGTTTCGTGATTGTATTCCAGCAACTGCTGATGAGTTTATTTGTCTTAGTCTTAAGGGTCTTTTATGTTCTTTGAGCCTTGTTGATATTTTTCGTCCGGTCTCTCCAATGTATTCTTTGCCGCATATTCAAGCAATGCTGTAAACTCCTTGCATCTCAAATGGAATTTTGTGCGAAGCGGTGAATCTGATTTTGACGTTATATTCTTTTAGAACTTTTGATATGGGGTTGGTGATGTTTTGAATATACCGAAGGACAACAGTGGCAAGTGTGGGATTGCTTTCGGTTTCATTGCTTTTGGAAGGTTGTGGAACGCGTAATACCTTTAATGTATAAATTATTAGGAAGAAGAGCACAGATAAGGTGTTTTAATTCTGGGTTCAGACTCTGGCTGAGATAGTTTTGGTTAGTAAACAAGAGAGTTGATAACCGACGATTTTTATGCCGGATGGTGATGTGACAATGCATTAAGGTATCGGTCTGTATGCGTAGGTTTTCTGTAAACACAATGACCCAATGTTAGGTTAGTTTCTAAGAATGGGAGATTGTCATTAGTTTCTATTTCAATGGTAACACGTATGTTAGGGTGTATGGAGTTTAAATATTTAAGAAAATCTACTAGAGATTCCTGACCATGAGACCAAAAACAAAAGTATCATCGACGTAGCGTTTCAAAATTTTAGTTTTAGATGGAAGGTCTCGAGAGCTTTCTTCCCAAATGTATATTTGCGATGACTGGTGATAATGGAGAACCCATAGCTGTTCCCGACAAGCATTTTTCAATTAAGGTAAGAAGGTCTGCTTTCAAATTCTCGGATTTTACTATATCTGAAATGATGGTGAGAATTTCAGCAATAGGCACTTCAGTAAAGAGAGATTCTACGCCGAAACTAAGCGGAATATCTTGTCTATCTAATGTGATGCTTTTTATTTGTTCAATGAAGTGAAAGGAATTAAGTACGAAACTGTCAGTTTTCCTTGTAAAGGGTTTTAATAAAGAAGCTGGATATTTTGCTATAGAATATGTTGGGGTAATCCTGGTTTGTGAATCTTTGGGAGCTCGTAGAGACGAGGAATTTTAGAGTCATGAGGGATGACAGATTTTTTCACGGAATCTGATAGAGAAGAAGCCTTAATGATAGATTTAAGGATGCGTTCCATAGTTGACGATATGATCCGTCTGTAGGAATATCTTGAATCTTTTCCTTTTATTTGCTGGGAATAATACTAATGGGACAAGGACAAAGTTGGAACCTTTTGGAAAGAACTGATTTTTCCATTTCCTAAAGTTGGTGCGATGATACATTTATCACAGTGTTTGGTAGTTGAGAAGAATTTGATGGTTTCCCTAGTGGTGACGTTAGTGTTTCAAGTTCAAGATGTAGAGACAGAAGAGTCTTATTGATTAGGTCTATTTCCTAACAGAAGAAGCCTTTGAGAAGAAAGCTCTCGACACCTTCCATTTAAAATCAAAACCAAAATTATGGTATTTGGCCTCATGGTCAGGAATCCCTAGTCGATTTTCTTAGACATTAAAAATCTATAATGTAATGTACAATATGTAAAGTATAAAGTAATGACAACCTCCCATTCTTAGATATTCTGATCAATAGAAAATCAGACCTAACATTGGGTCATTGTGTTTACAGAAAACCTACGCATGCAGACCGGTTATCAACTCTCTTGTTTACAGAGCCGTAAAACCACCTCAGTCCGAGTCATTGAGCCCGGAATTAAAACACCTTACCTGTGCTCCTCCCTCTAATAATTTCCATATTAAAAATATTAAGCGTTCTATCACAAAATACACTTCATCACAACCTTCCAATAGTAATTAAACCGAAAACAATTCCACATTTGCCACTGTTGTCCTTCCTTATATTCGAAACATCACTGACCATGTACCAAAAGTTCTAAAGAACTATAACGCCAAAACCAGATTTACCACTTGTCCAAAAATCTCTCAACATCTTCGATCTGTCAAAGACAAGATTCCATTTGAGATGCCAGGAGTTTACAGCATTCCATGCATATGCGGCAAAGAATACGTTGGAGACACCGGACGAAAAATATCAACTAGGTTCAAAGAACAAATAAACTCAGCAGTTGCCGAACACAATCACGAAACCGGAGATCAAATTTTATTCGATAAAACTAATATTCTTGCATGGAATCAATTCTTCTACCAACGAAAAAATCCGAGATTCTATAGAAATCTATAAGCAACCTAACAATCTTAACCGCGACTCAGGGCTCTCGTTCGTGCCCCTCTTTTAGCTTCGCCCCTCTCAAACAATATAAAAGCAGGTACAGAGTAAAATGCGAGCCAGTTTCAGTCAAGCTCTGAAGAAGCCAACAGGATGATTGTCGAGTCAACAACAACCGACGCAGGAGGAATCCAAAAGTTTTATAAAGTGTTATCTATAAAAACGCTATTTCCTTAGAATATGACAGGATTTCACAATATCAAATAATCAAAGTTAGACATGAATTTTATGATCGTTTAGAATATTATTTAACTCTTAATCGAGGTTTGTTTGAACGTTTACTTAAAAAATAATGTTTACTTTAAATGTTTCTTTTTAGCATTGTTTTGTAGTCGCATTTTTATTATAATTGGTAATTATTTTTAATAAAAGACTTGCGGGTCAAATTTATAGTCGTTCCTTAAACCTTCCTTGTTGCTTAAACTGTCCTTTAAATGAAATTCATTTGAAAAACGTTTTCAGGGACAAGGAGGTCTTAACCGAGTATGAGTTTGATCTTAAGAAAAACATAATGATATTATAATGATAATGATATTCAGTTTACTTCTGTGAAATTTTGGAAATAACATCATAGAAAATATTTAATCATATTTAATTTAATAGCTGAAGATTAGCATATTAAAATTTATTCAAACTCGACACATGAGTTAATTATACAGGCCTCTTGAAAAATGTTATATTACAACTTTGCTTAAAAATGTACAGGGGAGCCAATATTTGCCCACCTAAAAATGTATGTGATATATGGCACACTTAATAAAAGTTGCAGGCTATAATACAATACATATGGTGTGCCATTTATGAAAATCGAGATTTTTCGATTTAAAATGATCCATATATATTCGTTTGTTATGAACACCCTGTAGCATATAATTGAAATTCAGTTTTCGTCGTCTTTGAATAACGCTAATATCAAATATAAGAATTAATTGTGCTATCCTAATATTTTGCAAGTGTGAAAACTAGTATGTTTTCAGAAAAATGAAAGTATTGGAAAAACTATTAGGTTTAGGTATGAAGGTATGTTAATTAAAAACGTTGAATATTTTCGAAAGGAATTCAAAATGACATTTAAAAATAGGGTGTTCTGTTTTTGAAAAAAAAAAGTATGTTCGTCACGCTTTTTTGAGTGATAATTTTAAATTATGGATCCTAACAATCTTTACAACTTTCGAATTTACCATTTTCTCATAACTTTTTAAACCAATGAGATAATGAACTTTACGTTCGTTGACTCACCATATACAACCCAGTTGGCCAGACCACAACAAGAAATACTTTAAAACCGCTTACCAGGAGTATTCCGCCCATCGTTCTATATCAAACGTACACCAACATCAAAAACCGATCCGCAAATCGTTATCGTGTTCAGTCATCGGGGTATCCAGATATGTCCTTATCATATTTATCAGAACGTTTACTCACGTTGTATCAACTTGCGATAAATTGCCCCACTTTTAACGGTTGTCGTTCTTAACAAGCCAGTCGATAGATTTGTCTGAGAAAATCGTTTCGGATCGTTTCAACAACACTGGTCGAATAAAAATAAACATTCTGTAATTTTCAGATATTTTTTGGAAATTAACAGATTAGTAAGCTATAGCTCATCATGAAATTGATAAAACATAATTATTCACTGCATTAATTGAATAGGAAATTGACGCCTCGTGGCATCACTGGTCGTATTATTTCCAGGTGATGTTTTTTCTCTGACACGCTATGGACAAATCTTTCATATTAGCTCCTAAAAATTATAAAATATTCAAACAATTTTGCATTTAGTATTGACAATATCGTCCTTGAATCTGGCAAAAAAAGACCTGGGAGTATTGTTTGACTTAAAATTATTATTCATCACGTTGTAATAGTTAATAGTACATAGTACAAAACTTTGGGTTTTGTCTTAATTCACTTCAAGTCATTGAAATCACTACTAAAAATATTAATATGTGTATTTTACTATACAAAATTAGAATTAGTTGTCGTTTATTACTGACTTAAGTGGCACTTTGTCACTATATTGCCCTGCATACAGCATTCGACTTTGACGTCTATCATTGTCAGAAAAGATCATATAATACATTAATATCTCCCAATTTGGTACTGAAATCTACTAAAAAAAATATTCGGGAATATTCGCTTTTCCTTGATTGGTTAATTCATTTGTTTCTTTATAAAATTGAAGATTGGTCCGAAGAACCATCAAAATCCCACTTGCAGAATAAAGTCAAGTCTCTTTGCTTCCAAAACCTTAAAAAAAAGATCTCTGGTTCAGTTTTTGAAAATTTACTTTAACTTAATTTCTAGTAAAAATTTTCTATTTTCTTATTCCGCTTCCTGTAATGATGTCAATTGTCTATCACATATATATATATATATATATATATATATATATATATATATATATATATATATATATATATATATATATATATATATATATATATATATATGATGACACTATATTCCGGGATATCATCCGAAGTGTTTTCGGAGCGCGAGCATTGAAGATGCCAAGTGAGATTTTGGCGAAACGTCTGCAGGATTCCAGTCGAATGCAGGATTTGCAGGATTCCAGTCGGAGTTCAACGAGCGAACGGATGATATCCCGGAATATAGTGTCATCACATTTTTCCATCCGTGAATCAATACGTGAGAATATATATATATATATATATATATATATATATATATATATATATATATATATATATATATATATATATATATATATATATATATATATATATATATATATATATATATATATATATATATATATATATATATATATATATATATATATATATATATATATATATATATATATATATATATATATATATATATATATATATATATATATATATATATATATATATATATATATATATATATATATATATATATATATATATATATATATATATATATATATATATATATATATATATATATATATATATATATATGTATATGTATATGCACTAATATTCGGGGGACTACACACACCCAATGGTCAATTTTTTTGATTTTTTTAATTTTATTTTCTTTATATAAAGACCTACCCTATCCCATCTATAAAAATAAGCGTTTGGAATTTCCATTATCTATATAAAACCTGTCTTTCTCAATACTAAAATATTTTCAGATGCGGATAAGAAAGCAAACACATCACAAACATCAAAAGAACGTGAGAATTCAATAGCTGCTTTGCTGAAAAGAGCTACTTTCACCAAAGAATGACAAGAAAACCTGTCAAATATTAGTTATTTTTTTAGAGTTTAGTTCAAGATATAGTATCTTGTTCTATATTTTTCCTGTATTATATACCTACAATTTTTTCATATCTACAATATAAAAAATTCAGATGTGTATAAAATGTGTTTTATTAATGATATCAATCGGCAGTCCTTCACTTTTACCATCAAAAGCAAAATTGAACATTAAATATTAAATATTAATTGGAAAAAATTTGTGCCTTTCAAATATCGCCAACCATACCCAATATGTTAATTCCATCACACGCGAGTACCAAATACTGGGATAGAATGGTTGTAGTCGTACAAAACCAAACGGACTACTGCGCTTTACCTTTTCAGTATTTCTCATAGGCTGTTGGAAATAACCTAATAACTCCTATATCCTCACCGTCGGATATACTAACGACGTCTTAACTAGTATAACTGGATATTCTTGGGATATTCTAACAAACATTCTACGGACATACTACTGTGAACGTTCCAATTAGAAACATCGTATATCCTTGAGACGTCTTAAGGATGTCCTTTAGCTGAAACACTATATCCCTAGGATATACGCAATGTCCCGTCAGATATCCCGAGGACGTTTTACGGACGTCCTTGTGCTATTTGGGATATAACTAGAGGTTTCAGAGATTCCAACTATATTACTTTTTACAAAACTTCTGGATTCCTCCTGCGTTGGTTTTTGCTGAGTCGAACTTGCTGACGTTTCGCCAATCATCCTGTTGGTCAGAACTTGACTGAAGCTTGAAATTTCTCCGATTTAACCAATTTTGTCGGGTATAATAACAACTTCTTCGCTTGTCTTCAGGAAAAAATGCGCCACACGGAGGACCTGCTCGCCAACATAACTTCCTCGGTACTGGACATAAAACCGGAACCCATCAGTATTGCGAACGATGTAAAGGAAGAACTCCAAGAGTCAGCCCACCTTCCGACCTGTATGGTGGAAGAGAGAACTCCTTTTAGCATATCATTTGCCGTGCCTCATGATACGAAACAATCCGTCGGCATGGAGATCGAACCTTCTGCGTCCGATCCGGACGCGGCGGTAGTTCCGGAACCATCCGTTGAGCCCATCGTTCAGGAATGTTTGTCCAGTACAATTGAAGACAGTTACGAGAGAAACGCACCTTGTACGCCTCCGAGGGAGGCTTTCATTAAAGTCAAACCTCCTAGCGTATTGCAGGTAAGATGACTCTTGAACTGTGACCATTATTGGACTACCGTATACGAAATAGTGAGACTCAGTCTAAAAAATAAGCATTTTAATGGTTGAGGTTTTATTCTGAAATATTATCAAATTTACTGATAATATGAAGATATTGGTATAATTTTAGAAATTTATGAAAATAGGCGCAGTATTTAAAATGAAAAATAAATAATGGGGGGATCTATAGAGATATAGCATTATTGTCTCATGACTCATACATTGCAAATATTTCGAAAGCTGATACATAACAGATTGTACTATATCTTAGGACAAGGTGTCAATAAAACTAAGTTCGCTTTTCGAGATAGCTTGGGTCCAAGAGAAGCAGCCGATTCAGTATATCTCGTAATGCAAAGCAATGCACAGACTAGGGAACTCTTAGGGTAAGATATCAAGGAAACAGTTCGGTTTTCGGGATAGTCTGGGTATAAGAGAAGTAGCCCATTCAGTATTTCTCGTAATGCAAACAATGCACAGACTGCGGAACTCTAGGTCTCATGAGTCAGAAGTTGAAAATATTTCTGAAGTTGATACATCACAGATTCAGTATATCTCGGAAAGCAAAACAATGCACAGACTACGGAACTATCAGGCTCATGGCTCATATCTTGATAATGTAGCAGACGCTGATACATAACAGAATGTACAAAAATTTACTACCTTCATTTCAGTATTTCTCGTAATGCAAAAAAAAGCAAAATCCCAACAATGCAGGGCATACGTTTCTAGGATTATTTTTGTCCGAGAAATTCAGCTAGTGGTTCACAGTTATCAGCATATTACAGATCAGTGTTGGACAAACTTTGATTTTTATTAATAGATTCGAAAATCATTGATTTAAAAAAATATATATTAATTTTTGTGATTTTTTTTTTAAATTTCATAAGAATGTGTATTTCCTGTATTTTTTTTGTAGCAATTACAAAAATTTTTAAAGCCATTCTAAACGATATAGTACAATATGCACACTAAGTATTCCTCAGAAAATTTCTGTCGCGGCCTGTTTTTTTCCCGATCTATAAATTATCGTTGTCGAATAGGTCTCGGGTATTTAGTTGGTGGTTTGTCAAAGGAGTTCAACTAGTGGAAAGTAGAGAGAGCATTAGGAGAAAACATTTAAATTGCTAGAAGAAAAGAAAGTAGCGGGTTTGGAAGCAATCGGATGTATTCGGATACTTTACCGCACAGCTTGAATTCTGACGGTCATCTCAGTGAATGTATTCTTGTTGTTTTGCATAAACTAACGGTCACAGAAAAAGCATAGTGTGCAAGTCACTCATTTATAAACTCGTGACTCAAATGCCGTTTACCGCACTTGTTGCTTAATATACTATATACGCTTGACAGTTCTGTAGATCTTGCTACTATATCGTTCCACCTCACGCACGACCGATTTGTCAAGTCTTCGGAAATCCGCAAAAGTCTAAGCAAAGAAAAAGAAAAAACTGACTCGACAGCTGAAAAAGAAAAGATTCATAAATAAATATCAAAGGCAATTTTTGCTAATTCGAGCTTTCGATGCATTGAAAAATTATTTTTATTATATAAATTATTAAATATAAATTAAAAAATCTATTCACTTATGTTAAGACTTGGTTATACGCCGCACAGTGATAGAAAATGCGATTCTAGGATTCCAAAAATATTAACGCTAGATAAGCATTTTTTTCGGTTATATAAATTAAGGTAGATACAAATTAACACTCAAAATGTAAATAAAAGTTGTTGCAAAAGCTGGTTTATATATTTATTTTTTTGTAATAATTATAATTACAATATGACAAACTAGTGTCCCATTTTTTACCACTGCTGTACCTATTAAGATAAATTTAACTAACAATACTGATACGAAACGTGCTGCTAGAATTATTAAATTTTACTACTATGTAAAATCTAAACATATTCTGTGTATATAAGGTAGGTAGGTACATTTTTTTTATCTACCAAGTTTAATAAAAAAAAAACAATAATTGGTCATGTTCTAACCAATAGGTAATTATTAAAATCAGTTAATTTTATCACCTGAATAACTTTACACTTCAGTTCATTTTTTGAGATAAAATCAACCGATTTTAAAAAAGATACACACACTTTAAATACACTACTATCAAGAAACAAAGTCACTGTAAAAGTTAATGTTATAAATTTATAAAGTATTTAATTATAAGAAATCAATATTACCTAAGTATAATTAATAATACAAATGGTGCAAAATGAAATATCTTTTATATCTAGTTAAATTCAGGTTCTGCTAGAAGATTGATAACTTTTGTACTAAAAACACTTTCTTTTTTTGGTGGTACAATCCTCAAACTAGATACAAGAGGGTCTGAAGAGACTAAAAAAATATTAAATAAGTCTTTGTTGCAATCATTTCTAGATATGTTCCTAGTATTATGCTCCCTATAGTACTTAACCAGCCGTCCTATAGGTAATAAAAAGTTTTCGATAACCTCTTTACTATGCATCAAGATTTTATGCACTGTAGGGGGCATTGGGTACCATTCATATAGGCTCACATAGATTTGAGCTGTTTTATAAGCATAATGGTCAAATTGCATTGAATCTATTTGATAACCGGAATTTAAAGTTTTTAATAAAATATCACATCTATAAATTAAGTTTTGGTCTACACCAGTAATTCTGGATGAAATAGCAGGGTCCGAAAAAAATCTGCTAGCTGTATTCCCATCATTCGTATTACCGAACCCCGCTTTGGGAATATCGACTAGCAAACCCTCTTCTTCCCTAAATTTGTTAATTATTTCCTGTTTCCTATGATTAAATGCGTCCTTATGAATTTTTGGCACTCGTCAAACTTTTAAATTTAATCTATACGAAATATGAATGAAACATTCAAAAAATCGTATGTACGCATGGAGAGTGGAGAGGCCTAGATTGAGTCCATCTTTATTGATAGGTAAAGATTTTATAAAATTGAGATTATTAAATTGAGCAGGTCCAGATTTGCATAGGTAACATTTTTGTGATGAGGTAGACATATAGGAATTGCAAACCTTTCTGCCTACCATAGTTTTTAATAATTCATGATACACAATATATTCTCTACTACCTACATTAATTTGAGTTGGAGACAGTTGCTTAATTTGGCTTTCGACATAAGAGATTTCTGACTTAATTACTTCTTCAGTTTCTTTAATAAACTTGAAGGCTTACAAAAACGAGTCGAGGAGATTCGTGGACCTTGCCACAATATTGTGGATTTTCCTAATTCGTTTTTAAAATTTAATTGTAAAGGTACTATTGATGTCAGTATAGTTGAATCATCCCCTTCAATTTTTTGTTTATAATTGATTTGGTTCCCACTTCCGTCAGATCCCCATTTAGTGATTAGCTTTAAAGATGTTACAGGTCCTTCAACGTTGCCGAAAGATCTTTCGAAAACTTTTTTTTGTACTTTAACTACATGAGATGTAGTATAATCTAATAATGATTGCAAAGGAACTTCAACTGATGAGTTAGTCACTAGGATTTTATTACGGTAGCATTGTTTTGTAGCCGCTAAAATTTTATCATAAGTGGGAAACAATTTTTTGAAACCTTTTTCGTTAACTAGGGCTCTTAAACCTATGTATTGGTAAATTTGAAGCTAACAAAAAAGGCAAGGGCCTCATCTGCAGAAAATGATACATTATCTAAGCGCGCATTGCGAACTTGTTCCATCTTCTTTAAACAAGTTGCTTTTTTCGGCGAAAATCTTATTTTCTGAAGAAGTGCCGCGGCATGACGTTTTCCTGCTGCCCGTAACTTCATTGCAGTGGCAAAGCAAAGTTCCTCTTCTGATTTCTACGCCAGTTCAGCTTCAACCCTCCTGCGTTTAGTCTGTCGACTTCCTTCAGCGAATGATAATTTCGGACGACCCACATTTACCGGATTAATGGTTCTTAATGGTGGTCTTGGTCCTGATTTTAAAATTTCTTCCAAAAGCCATTTTTCATGTATACGCTTGAACTTTGTTAAATAACGTATCGATTTTTTCCACTTTTCATGCAGTTTTTTGGTAAAATTATCAATAATCTTGAAAACCAAATTCTTATCCTGGGCTAAAAGATTCTCACCCCCAATAATATGTATAGTATAATCAAAAAGTATTTGTTGGCTCTCACGTTTTCTAGGGTGTAAAGGGCCCTTTGATTTTAAAACTTCGAATAAATCGATACGCCTAATCGTCGCGGATTTGTCTGTAAAAATACAAATTGTAGAAGGGGAAGGGGTGCGTGGTGGTAAAAGTGTTTTGAAAGGAAAGAAACTAGGCAAGAAGGTGATGTTAATATCTAGCAGTCGCAAATAGTCGCAAAAAAGTTCTACTCTGCTATACAACAATGCTACCGCATTTAGACTTTAATTTTCAATGTAAACTTAACTGAGCGGCATAAAAACTCTTTTTCACTAAATATCATAAATATATGTAAAACATACACTACATACCTCCAGAAATATGCAGCATTTTTTGACGGTTCTAAAACTCACAACACGTTATTTGTCAGAGTAATTAATACGGTAAACAAAACAGATATCATAATTTCGTTAATCGGCGCATTAAATGTCGCGACTTGTTAGAGCGTGTAGCTTTTGTTTCTCGTCTAGGGCGACTAAGATTATTGTGTTATTGTTAATTAGGTATCTCTAAAGTATGCTAAAGGGTTAAGAAAGAAATTTGAGTCATTAAGAAATTTGAATTTTGGAACTTCAGATTTGCATTTTCTATCACAGTGCGCCGCCATCAAGAAAAACGTTATCAACAATATCAAACATTTACAATATATTTTCGAGATTGTTGTAGAATTACCTTTATCAAAAATACAAAACAATTAGGATCGACTTAAGCAGACACTCATATTGACCCCTCAAAAGCCAAAATATGTAGAAAAGAATTTTACTTTAGAAACAATTACTAATTTATATGGAAACACTAGACTTCTGTAATAAGTTGCAATAAAGTTGAATGCCCGTAGTTGCCAATTTAAAAAAAAAAACATGTTTTCGGACGAAATAGTAAAAAACTTAAATGGAATATAGTGAACAGATCACAGAATACAGAACAGAACATCGCAAAAAGATGAGCCAGAAATTGCGAAACGGCTACCAATAATAAAGCAATTCTTGTGCGCAACTGCTTCCTCAGCGTCAGTATAAATAACTTTCAGCACTCTTGGTTTTATACACTCAGATATAAGGATCAGAATGACGATAGAAAAAGGGGAAAATTTGGATTTTTGTTCAAACTATACAAAGAAAATACAGAAGAATAAAATGTATATTATTATGTTATTTGTCTTTTTTTTTAATAGTTGTGTTTTACTTTTTATTTGTGATAATATTTTTACGTTGCGCTTTTTGTGTTCGTCTCAATAAAAAAAGATTTTAAAAAATAGGAGTTTCATCGGGCGATTTGAATAATGATTTTAATCATGATTTAAATCACTTGATTCAAATCAGCTCAACCCTGTTGACGAATCATCACCACTAGAACATGAATTACTGTTACGCTGCTGTTTTCGTTTTTTACAGGCTCCCCGTATATTAAACAAAGAGTTCAATTACCGAACTAGCGAGGATTCGGATATACAGCCCGAGCCCGCCGATTTGTCAAACAAAAGGGCGGAAAACTTAACGTGCGTGCCAGAATTCGATTACGTTAGAGACGATACTGATGCACACTCTATATCTAGCAACAGTTCCGACCCCGATAGGCTGGAGGTCGACATGTCACAGGTAATAATATTTTTTCTCGGAAAGTCCATTTACTAAAGATTTGAACGTGAATTTCACATAACAGAAACAGATACAAGATCAGTTAAAAGGTACAGCTATCTGAGCTATGGGATAGCTTGCCGGTAGTTGTAATGTAAAAATATAACAAAAAACCTTTATGTAGGCTTGATATTAAGCCCACATAAAGGTTCGTAAATATTCTTAATAACAACTTAAATTCCCAAAAACTCTAAATATACCGACTGGCCTAGTAAGGGCAACTTGATACGGTATGGGCGAATTGGATGTTGATAAACATTTGATGGTTTTTACTCTGTATAAATTAAGTGATGGAGGTGCTCTAACATAAATAAATAAATCTGGATTACTCCAAAACGGATGTTATTATAAAAATAAAATTCTATGCACGAATTTATCCTCGCGTATTTAATACGATTGCACTAATTTCAGCTTTTGAAAATTTGGCTACAGCATGTCAGATACGATCAACCATATATTCAGAGGTAGCAGGGCGAGTTTGATAAGCAATATCTTTTATTGTACCTCGTAGTTAAAAGTATAGAACAGTAACATCTGAAGATCTGACAGGCCACGGAAACAAACTGCCCCTTCCTATCCAACAGTTTGGATAAGTCAGGTGTAAAAAATTCTGGATTTGAATGAACGACTAAATACCATTCTACTAAAATGTCTTCTGTGGGGGTAATAAGATAATAAAATAATAATAATAAGAGACATTCTGAATGCAATAGACACAATAACATTAAGAAAACTCAAAAATTTGATAAATTTAAACTGTGACTATTTAAAACGGTAGGTAATATGGTGTTTTGGAAGATCTGTCAAATTTCACAACTTACTAAAGAATGAAAACTATTTCAATAATATCTGGCGGCAACAAAAAGTTTTTGTAACAATATCGATAATTAGAAAAAAATCATTTCTGTCAAATAGATACTTTTTTTTTCAAAGAAACTTCCACAGGTTATTGTAATACTATTTTCAAATCTTCTCGATTCCTCCTGCGTTGGTTGTTTATAAATCCAACATGCTAACGTTTCGCCAATCATTCTGTTGGCTTTTTCGGAGTTTAACTGAAACTGGCTCGTGTACTTGTATGTCTATATTGTTAGAAAGGGGCGGAGCCAAAGAAAGGCATGAATCTTGGCTCGGATGACTGATTCCCATTAGACCTGGGTTGCGGTTAAGATTGCTTGGTTGCGTTTAAATTTCTATAGATTCTCTGATTTATCGATGATAGATGCAAGAATTTTAGTTTTATCGAATAAGATCTGATATCTGGTTTTGTGATTGTCTTCAGCAACTGCTGATAAGTTTATTCCTGGAAGTCTCAAGGTTCTTTCATGTTATTTGAGCTTAGTTTTTATATTTGGTCTCTCTAATGTATTCTTTACCGCATAGAAATGGAATTCTGTAGAGTTTTGTCTTGTCGGATAAGTGGTAAATTTGATATGTGACTTATTGTCTTTGGAAGGTATACCTATAATGAGGAAATTATTAGAGAGAATAGCAGATGTAAGGTGTTTTAATTCTTGGTTCAGTGACTTGCGTTGAGATAGTTTTACTGCTCTGTAAAGAAAAGAGTTGGTAATCGATGATTTTTGGGCCGGATGGTGATGTGACAATGCAATGAGGTATGGTAGTTTTTCTCTAAACAGAATGACCCAATGTTAGGTCTGATTTTCGATTGATAAGGTGGTCTAAGATTATTATTAGTTTCTGTAAGATTATCTGGAATCTTTTCCTGATATTCATTTGTGTTCATGACCACCGTAGCATTTCCCTTATCTGCTTTTATCTGAATCTTAACCGCTATTCAGGTGTTTATCTGTCACCAATATGGGAATTAGTCATCCTACACAATGTTCATGGCCCTCCTTTAGCTCCGCCCTCTCAAACAATATATAAGCAGGTACAGAGTAAAATGCAAGCCAGTTTCAGTTATGCTCTGAAGAAGCAAACAAGATGATTCGAGACACGCCACCAAAAAGTAAAGGACAGATTGACACAGATTAAAAGTTACTAGTACTATAACAGGTGCATTATTCGTCTCAGGCCACGGACGACCATAATTCCAACTCTACGACCCATAGCGCCCCATCGCCCGTCTACGAGAACTCGAGCGGCGACTTACCCAACGCGGCCGAGTGGCGACACACTCTCCATTGCCAAAACAACGGACTATCCAACTCGAACGAGGTGGCCGATTTGTCTGGGGACGCTTCCCAACTCCTCAGGAAGCTCATAACCTGTCGCAAACTGGGCATGAGCGTCACGTCTACGTCGGAGGGCGGGGCGTCGCCTCACGTCCTCAACTACTCCCTGTTTCAGAGCAGGATGCCGGTATCTTCTCTGCACGGGGGTCTCGGCATATCGGAGAAAGAGAAAAGCTCGGGTAGGAGGAAGCAGAGCTATCCAACGAAGGCTAATAACGGACAGGAAGCGGGAGAAAAAAATAAGGACGACGACTATGGCGGGGGTGGGGGAAATCCGGATTTCACTGGCAATAATCCGTGGTGTAACGTCGGAGGCAATAATAAGGCGAAGGTATGTATAGTCATCATGTTGACTTTCGACGGATCCTCCCCAATAAAACTTTAACTATGTTATTACCTATTGTAAAGCCATGTATATATATATATATATATATATATATATATATATATATATATATATATATATATATATATATATATATATATATATATATATATATAACACTGTTCGAAGTGTTTTCGGAGCGCGAGCATTGAAGATGCCAAGTGAGATTTTGGCGAAACGTCTGCAGGATTCCAGTCGGATGCAGGATTTGCAGGATTCCAGTCGGATGCAGGATTCCAGTCGGAGTTCAACGAGCGAACGGATGATATCCCGGAATATAGTGTCATCATATTTTTCCATCCGTGAATCAATACGTGAGAATATATATATATATATATATATATATATATATATATATATATATATATATATATATATATATATATATATATATATATATATGTATATATATATATATATATATATATATATATATATATATATATATATATATATATATATATATATATATATATATATATATATATATATATATATATATATATATATATATATATATATATATATATATATATATATATATATATATATATATATATATATATATATATATATATATATATATATATATATATATATATATATATATATATTATATATATATATATATATATAGTATATATATATATATATATATATATATATATATATATATATATATATATATATATATATATATATATATATATATGTATATATATATATATATATATATATATATATATATATATATATATATATATATATATATATATATATATATATATATATATATATATATATATATATATATATATATATATATATATATATATATATATATATATATATATATATATATATTATATATATATATATATATATATATATATATATATATATATATATATATATATATATATATATATATATATATATATATATATATATATGATGATGACACTATACTCCGGGATATCATCCGTTCGCTTGTTGAACTCCGACTGGAATCCTGCAGACGTTTCGCCAAAATCTCACTTGGCATCTTCAATGCTCGCGCTTCGAAGTGTTCCAAGTGTTCCAACATATTTTTACGGAAACGCTCTCATTTTATTTACTGGTATATGAAAACAAAGAAAGAAATGAAACGCGGCTAGGACGTAAGCTATCTAAGCAGTTTGCTGCTCATCGCGAGGAAATTTCATTCTTCTTCGTTCGTTCTAGTGAAAAAAACGTTAAAAATGAAACCACCCAGACCCCCAATAACAAATTGTCAGTATCATTAGTAATGTTGATTACGGTCTCGTTTCATAACTATTATTGTTAATATGAAAGAAAAAGACTATGAGCATATTTGCGTATATTTTATTTATTTAACCATGGTCATAACAATGTAGAAACAAAATAGATCTGATTATGTATTTCGCTTTTCTATGCAAAATTGATGAATTTGAGTTATTTATTTTTTATCTTTGGTCCACTAATCGTTGAGTTTCTTTAATGCCGCTCTTTCTGTGGCAATGATTGGATCTGATTTTATCCTTTCTGGGTGAATCATTATTATTACTAAGGTTATTTTTTTTTATTTACGAAGTTTTAGTGTTACTGTGACTGAAAATGTCGCCTTCATATACTCGTACAACGATTTTCTTACACCACATCTCAAAAACTACACTTGAGTGCGTAGAAATCATCTATAAATCATCTATTTGTAACCTTTAGACTTTAATTACATTTTTTTCAGAAAAAAGTTATTAGATCAAAAGAGAAATATGCTGTTTGAAATGCAATTTAATATGCTTTAATACGAATTTAAATTAATTTAAATTTATTTTGGCTTCTTAAGTTTCGCAAAGTAAAATAACTGCAAGAAATAGGCTTTTTGACAATTAACGCCTTAACACAAAGTTTGTACTAATGACCATGACCTCCTCTTGCCCTAATAACATCTCTTACACAAATAGACGTAGGTCTAATCAAGTTCGCTATTGTTTCTTGTGGAACGTTAAGTCACTTCCTCCACTGTCATAATAAACTCTGAATTCTTCGTTTTAACTCATCCCGTAAATATCCCATAATATTCTGGTCTCATCTGAAAACAGAACAGGCCTCCATTGTTCCAGTGTCCAATTCAGATGGTCTCGTTAAAAGCGTAGGCGGGCTTGTCGATGGGCTGGAGTAATTTTTCAACCAATTACAGGTATTTTTGGAGTCAGGTTATTTTGGGGCAGTCTTCTTTTCACTGTCCACTGACTAATAGCCACTCTTCGTACTTGACGATTTTTTATTATCGTATACACAATAAAACGGTCATCACGAGCCGTTGTAAAGCGTCTTCTGCCAGTTCCAGCATCAAAGCATCCAGTCTACTCATAACGTCGCCACGTGTCACATCCAATTGTCAATAATTTGGGCAGCTTTTTGCAGTGTAGTATGCATCACTTAAACACTAACCAAATTATTAAAAACGAATAATATAAAAAGTTCAGTTGCCAAGGCAGCTAATTTAAGTCTTTGACAAGTTTGTTGCTGTCGTAATAACTACATAAGCACATCTCATTTGTTTAAACGTTGCTACGCATATATGAAAGATCAGCACTCTTGGAAAATTTAGGCCTATGTTAAAACATATTAAATTGTCTTTTAAACAGCATATTTCTTTTTTTGCTCTGCGGAACAGTTTCTCAAAATAATGTAGTTAATGTAACTGATGGTTGTTTTGGATCTTAGGCACCAAAAACGGGCGTTGCTTTTTCAGAGCGTCGGTACGATGTCACGTCGTATGCCAGTGGCGTGCACGAATTGTGGTACGCAAACCACCACGATATGGAGGAGGAATCTCAGAGGCGAAATGGTTTGCAACGCGTGCGGGTTGTATTTCAAGCTGCACGGCATCGACAGGCCGATAACGATGCGCAGAGACACAATACACACGAGAAGAAGGCGACCTAGAGGAGAAGGAAAGAGGCACAGACACGAAACCGGCGCACTGGTTATGCCTGCACGCAAGGGTGAGTTGTTTAGTATGCGTTGAGTATATTTTCTATTTTTTTATGAAGGTTTTAAAATTTAAGGCCACCAGAGTAAGCCAACGATGGAGTTGAAACATTATTAAGAAAAAAAATAATTAGTTCACCTAAAGACATAATCTTAACAGAAATAAATAAATGAACTTACGAGAAATGAATGAGCTCACGGTCAATATTTTGAAATTTACATTTCAAGTAAGAAATTATTATAATAATAAATTACAGTAAATTATAAGTAAATTTATTTATTTATTGACTGAGTGTTCCAACTTTGAGCATCACCTAAAATTTGCTTTTTTAATTATTAAAAAACAATTATACGACGTATAGGGTGGTCGGTTTATTATTATCTCAGAACTTATAAAAAATACCAAAAACCTGTGTATAACATTATTATTAAATTATTAATTAAGAAATAAGTGTTTCAAGTTTGAGCAACACCTAAAATTTAATTTTTTAATTATTAAGAAAGAACAACACGATGTGGTCGGTTTATTATCTAACCTAGAAAAAAATACCAAAAAACCTCATCCTATATCTAAATAAGAAATTGTTGCATATGCCATTATTCCAAATAAATGACATTGTCATTGTCATTTTAGTTTGCTAGTTATATTTTTTGCTCTATAACTAACTAGTCTTCTTCATTTACAGTTGCCGAAAGGACCTACCTAGGTAAGTCATTGTCACTGTATCATCAACATTAACAAAGATAAGAAATGGTATTTCTTCTTATTTTTGTTAAAATTTGGTAAACACAAAAAACCAATTCAGGTAATATTTGACATGTCCGATGATTATTTCGGTAGTGCATTTATTATACTCTCCCTTTAAAAAATAGTAGAAATAATTATTAGAAAGGAAAGTAATAATACAAAGGAAATTTGACTTACATTTCTAGGCTGGCCGCCCGTAACAAAAAAATTTAATAAATTTTTACAGGCTGCCATTGATAACACACATACGTGCGATCCAGCCTAGAACGATAGATAGATGGTTTTCAAAATCTTTGTTATGTGTTAATACATATTATTGCAATATTGCAATTAATTAACCAAATAAAGTTGGTTTTCTGGACAAATTACTAAACGTCCAAATATAAGACCAGATTACACAACTCGTTAACTGCTTATTATTAGACGATATTCCCAAGTTGCAGAAGTAAAAAATAATGTAAGTAGCATTTGCCCTAGAGCACTGCAAATGTATAAAAAAAATAATTGAATATTTTATCAATCATGCAGTTAAATGGGACAGTTAACAAGCTTTAGTGAAAAGTGCCTAAATGTTCTTTAAAATACTAAAAAATAGTTAAAAAATACCTCGACATAACATCGTATAACACAGTTTTCCAAGTCGATAGGATATTTAATTTTTTATTTTGGAAGGATTTCAATTGTTATTTGCGAATCAAGCACGCACCTGGGATGGAGTAAAATCGACCATTACTGGAGAATATTGTGTTATTTCTTTACTATACATATGTTCTCGAAGTTAATATTTGGTGCACATAATGAGGGGTTTTAGTATTAATTGAACTGAGTTGGCTTTTACTTGATGAAAATCCATTTATAAAAAAAAATAAGAAGTAAGTATTACTTTGGGTCCATTTAATATTTATAAACTAGTTCACTGGCGAAGATCCTGGTCACGAATACCATAATTTTAAGAAAAATAAATAATTTTACAAAGAAACTTCCACAGGCTACTGTAATACTTTTTACAAAACTTCTGAATTCCTCCTGCGTCGGTTTTTGCTGAGTCGAACTTGCTGACATTTCGCCAATTATCCTGTTAGCTTGTTCGGATCTTAAGGAGGGACATAAACATTGTGTCGGATTCCCAAAATGATGACATGTAATTACCTGAGTCGCGGTTAAGTTCATGTTTTTTGAGCCTAATTCATATTTTTCCTCCGGTCTCTCCAATATACTATTTGCGGCACATGCATGGAATGCTCTAAGCATCTCAAACGGAATTTTGTCTTTGACGGATCGAAGATGTTGAGAGATTTTTGGACAAGTTATATTTCTTAAAAACTTTTGAACTGGTCAGTGCTGTTTTGAATCTAAGTCCAAAGCCACACTTGTTGTCCTCCCTTTCATCCAAAACTACATATCAAACGTTCTTAAAATATCATGTCAGAACCAGTAAATGTGGTTCGTCCAAAAACCTCTAAAAATTCCGTTTGAGGTGCATATGCTGCACATAAACTCATTAACATTTGCCGAACACAATTATGAAATGGCACATAAAATTTTGTTTAAGAAGCCAAGAGGCCAAACTTGACCAAGTTCGATTTGACAACAACCAACCCAGGAAGAATTCAGAAGTTTTGTAAATAGTAAAAATAAATAATGTGGGTCAGCATTATATATTTTAATGTTATCTAACTAATTAAAATTAAAATACCCACAATAAACTATTAAAACCTTTTATTATGTGTACCAAATATCACCGAAATATCGTTTTCGGAAGCGATAACAGCGAAATTCCAAAAAATTATAACCACATTTTGGTCTTAAACTTGAGAATTATTCTCGTTTCTTTAAGGAGGTTAGGAACACTCGCAAAGTAACGTTTCTTATTTAAAAAATGTAATTGTAATAGGTCTGTGTTTGGAATATAACAAAGATAACAAGCCTTATTGCACTGCATCCAAATAAAAAAGTGAAATATTTAACGGACTCGGAAAACTCGAGTCGTAAGTATGTTTTTAAGATAATCTCATAAGAATTTTAATTATTGAATTTAAAATTTAAAGATTAATCTAGTTACTATTTACGAAACTTTTGGATTCCTTGATTTGAGTTGCCAACAGGAAAATTGGCGAAATCTCAACAATAACTTTAATGCACTATGATTTTTGGTACGCTTTGTATATAAATGGTATTATAATTTAAATATAGGTAATACTAAATCTATTCATTAAACTCTATCACTTTTGTACTAAATGCTTTTGTTAAAATTTAAAATAAAAAAGTTTGTTTTGGTTGATTGTTGGGTTAGTTGGGGGGTAATATTTATAATGCATCATCCCATAAACGACAGGGACATTATGTTAAGTATATCAGTAGAAACAGAATCTTTCCTATTTCATATTCCTTACAAATTTGTCAATGAAGCCAAATCTGTGATCCAGAACAGTGATATTTGTCAAATGTCAAAAATACAACGACCTTTTTTTCTCTCTGTACAGACGTTTCTAGGAAAGCGCCATCCAAAATAAAATATAGGTTTTAGTTGTCTTACAATTAGACATTAGACAACTTGAGTAATTCAAAGTTTCTGACAAGTCTTTCACCGTGTGTTCAATTTATCTTTATAACAGTTTAATTGGTTGTAACTTTTTTGTTTTTAGAGATATCAAGGTTAACAAAAAAACAAAATGTAGGGTTATTAGCCAAGTTAGTTCCAAGTGACCTATAAAAGAAAACATTACCAATTTTCTGACATTAAGCCTACATCATATTTTTAATGTGTTTAATAGAGTATCTTATTCTGATGTAACACACTTTTTTGACAAAGCGGCAAAAATAGGAAATTTTTGATATAATTCCAAAGAGTGCCGTGAATGAGTGCAACAACAATAATTATTTACAAATTATAGTAGAACAAAAACACTAAAAATGACAAGACACACTAAAGTAAAAAATTGTTTAACTATTGCAAATACTGCTGCATTTGACCACACTTTAATTGTATGATGTCTTGCATTTAGTTATGTTTCTGGATTGTCTCTTAACAGATTGATTGCCTAGTTAACTTAATATCAAGTATTTTGTCTACGACAACCCTTTCTTGTAGTGAACGAACTTTCATCAGTCCATAAAATGTTTTTCAGAAAAATATTATTCTTATTATGTCTATTTAAAAAATCCAAACAAAACTGCAACCTCCTTTGATATTGTTCTGCACTTAGTTTTTGAGTTTTTTAAATTAAAATGCGTTATATTAATATTCTTTCAAAACTGAGTGGATTGTCTGTCCCCTGTCTTTACATACTCCAGTAATAGACGAAACTGGATGTCCTTCATAGAGTCCTAATATGTTTGGTTTATTTTCTTTATTGGAAACATTGTTTTTCTACTCCCGTCTGTAAAATGCCTAATTACCCAGCGATCTAACGTGCGGGAAGCGTCACTTTACCACGTCAGTTTCGTTTCCCATGAATCTGAGTCACTTCGGACATTTCCGAGATTTTACCGCACGGATTTGGGAGCAATCGAATGTTTTCAAAGATATTTCTTACGTTTTGAATTTTAACGTTTGTCAATTCTGGCGGTCATATCAGTGAATGTATTCATGTTGTTTTGCGAAGATGTGCCCAAAAACTGACGGTCGTAGAAAAAGTATAGTATTCAACACGTTCGGTAAACTTTTACATTTACCGCACTTGCTGCATAATATACTATTCCTGCATACCTTTTTAGCATTTAATACGTTACCGTTTTCTGCAAATTGCTTTGCCAGCCTTGGAAATATCTGTTGTGAAGGAGCGCTCTGGATAAAGTCTAATATACTGCGGTTAACTTTTATTATTCAGAAAGTATACTTGAAGCATACCACTCCATAAACATATTTTTAATTGTCAGTCAGGGCACTTTTTCAAGTTATATAATTTTTTTTATTTTTGCCCATTTGTCAAAAACAAGTGGACTAAAACATAAAGTGTGTTACATCATAGTAATCGGAATAAGATATTAAACGCATGTATAATATACAGGGTGTTCCGTTTAAAAAAATATGACGTAGGCTTATATGTCAGAAGATTGATTTTATATGTCACTTGGAAAAAAACTTGGCTACGAACCCTAAATTTTTTTTTGTTTATCTTGATTTCTCCAAAAACAAAAAAGTTACAATTAATTAAAATGTTATCAAATTAAACGCACGGTACATTGCGAAGCGAAACATCAGATATACAGGATAATTCATAAAGGACTAACCGAAACTAAACTGGAGGTAATAAAAACCAATATTTCCTATTTTCAATTTTTAAAAACGGTGATATCTGTCAAATGTCAACAATACGACGATGTTTTTGTGTCTCTGGGCAGATGTTTCTAGGAAAGCACCACCAAACTTGGACAAATTTTTGAAGAATAAGTCAACATTTTTGCAAAACATCAGGGTAATTCAATGTTTTCATTTTATTGTGAATTTCTTTATTAATTTTAGAATTTTATAGTGTAATAACAAAAAATTGACAGTTTTAGATTTTTAGCCATGACAGTTACGAATTTGAAACTTATTTGGACGTTGCTCCTAGATGGCGCTAGTGTGGCTGTATTATTTTGATAAATGCAATCATATTTTTTTGTCTCGCGAGTTCTGGCTGAACCGTGATGGAGATCTGAACTAATTTTCAATTTGTCATAGACAGGCAGTCTAACTTATTTGCTTTTAAAAGGTTCAAGATCTTTTTTCTGACTTTTTTCATAAATACTTAATAGATGAGGAGGTACAGAGAACAATAAAAAACTAATATTTAACAATAATAATTTTGATAATAGTAATGCAGAAACTCCAAAACAAATGTTTTTATAATATTTTGGTGTCTATTACCTCCAATTTAGAGACTACGCTTTTTTTTATTAAATACCTTGTATATCGAATGTTTCGATTAGCAATGTCCCTTACGAGAGCTTTATTCCACTAATTTAGATTTGTTTTTCAGAAATTCTAACTTTTATTAATATATGTTTTTTTAATTTAATTATAACTTAAAATTACAGTGGCTTAAAAAAACTAGCTAGAACTCACCAAAACCAATATGCTAATAAGAAACGCAAACTTTTATATCTCCGTTTTACAATTTCATTAGACTTCTGATCGAACAAAATGTAAACTACTATGGAACGGTTGTGTTGTTTTCATTCTAGTTAATATATTTGCGCTGCATGGTGTAAGTTTATATTGCTTAAGAAAATAATTCGTTTTGATGTAAAAAAAAATATTCCATACACCCACCTAAGCTACTTCAGGGGAACTACAGCAATGTATTATCAACAATTTGTTTATTTATTTGTTTAATTATTTGGCGATCAACAGGGATACACCTACTAATGTATCCACAAGGTTATATGTACAATACTATAAAAATGTAGATAGCTAGACATAACAAGAAATTGCCAATATTGCTAGAAGTACCATATTTAATTAGGAACAGAATGTGGTTCATGCATGACGGCGCGCCTGTCCACATTAGTGTTGCAGTAAGAGAGAATATTCAAATCATACGTTTAATAACCGATGGGTCGCGGCGGACCTCAACCATAGCTTCCTAGGTCCCCAAATTTAAATAGTTTGGAATTTCTCATGGGGGCATCTTAAAAGTCTGGTTTATCGCACCCCAGATTTAATAAAGAACACTGGAGGTATACTTCAAAGAGTGCGCGGCAATATGAGGAAAACAGCTGAAGTGTGTATCTTTCAACTTATCTAGTTTCTATGATCAACTTTTTTTCAAAAACGTTGTTGTTAATTTATTAACACACAATATTGTTAATAATTACGAATTGCAGATAGTGTTATAAGTACCGTTTTTTATTTATCTTGTTGTTAGGATGTTATGTTATTTCATTATAACTTTGAAAGTGAATAGAACAGTCTTCCTATTTTTTTCTGAAGGAAACTAGTTGGTAACTAAAAACTAGATATTCTCGATTTAACCAGTGCAGTGGCGACGTGATTAACCAAAATGTTATATGTTCAGAAACAGCCAGTGGCACGCCACTGATTTCCTTAAAAAAAATTGACATTTGCATTCGTTTATGAGCAGATTTGATCTCTTAATTTTTTTAGTCTGTCGCACGGTTTTCACTTAAAAATAAAAACTAATTTCTTTGCATGCTATCATATTAACGATGTGACATGCAGAGAAGATGTTTTTTTATTTTAAGCGAAAACTCCGATTGACAAAATCAAGAAATTAAATTTCTTAAGAATTGATTGAAGATTGTAAAAATATTTTTTATTTGAAACGATATTAGTGGCGTACCATATATCTCTGCCATGTCTCATAGACATGTGAAATTTTTTACCCTTGCTACTGGTGTATTTTTAAAAAAATAATGCCCCTTGATGCCTAGTACATATGTACCAAATTTCATTAAAATGTCTAAAGTTACAGATATTAAAAAAATATATTTTATTATTGAAAATTATATCTCAAAAGTTAAAGACATATATAAAGTTTTCTTTTTAAAGTGGACTCAAAAATCGTCCCTTTAATTATTGATAGTCAATTTTAACACACCGTGTATAAGAAAACAGTACAAAACAGACAAAAAATGCAAGAAAATACATTTTGCATGCATTTCCGCTCCTTAATTATATAAATTTACCAGGTAAAACCAGGATAGCCGGATCCGAGGGACACGACGCGGTGTCTACTACAAACAGTCTCAGTGAAACGATCGATACGGAAAATATGTTGACCGCGCTCAGGAGACAACTGCAACCTCACCTAGTAATGGCGCTGAGTCAGGGTCAGAAGAGTCATACTGCCTATTCACCATATCAACAGGTAACGCAATTACATTTACAGGTTATGAAGTATAATTAGATTATACGGGGTGATGCGAAGGATCCGCTAATGAAAGATTTTTGGTGTGAAAATGTTGGACTTCTGTTATGCCTTTTTTTCATTAAAAGAAGAAGTTTTTATTTATAAATATCGCATTTGCATGAAAAAAAGGGGGATTTCCTTACCCCCTACTTTGTATAATTTGTTCTCTCTTGTTAAATTTTTTATAATAGTTGTAGTTTTTGGAATAATTTTATCTTAAAAAAAATTAAAGACACACCAAAACGGTTCCCTAAGCCCGAAGTACGTATAGAATTCAAAAAGATAGATTATATGATGCATCACGATGTTGTCGCATCTACTCGAACCAGCCAACAATTTAATTTTTGAAATGCAATGCCCTGTATGTTATTACTTTTTTGGATTCTATGATAAATATTGAAACTTTCTATTTAATATATGTTCTAGGTGTCTCGACTTACTGCCAGGTAAACATCAGAAATTCTCTTTACGACTTACCAGTGGGATCTAAGTTATCATATGCAGGGTGTTTACAAATTTGTGCATATGCACTTCAAATTTAAATGGCTCGGTAGCAATAAAAAGTACGGTTCATCCTTGATGTAAAAGTATTATAACGTGAAATACGTTTACTCTTCGATTACTCCTGTATAATCTTTGTTTATGGCTCAATTTTGATTTTTTTCTTTGCTGGCTAGATCTTACTAGGAGAAATGAAACGGTTTCTTCGTATAGCGTCGACTAAAGTCATGGGAAACTTACACAGTTTTTTTTTTCAAAGTGAAACTGACAACCGATTCGTGTTCATGTTTTAAAAAAAATAAATATTGTAAACTTTGGAAATAACGATTATTTTGTATGTGTTTTTAGATTTGACTAGTTTTAATTATACAAATTTCAAAAATAATGATAAACGAGACCTTTTTAAGCGTCATTTATTTTTTTGTATCATCTTAAAATAACAACATTCGAAAGATATAATATCATCAAAATTAAAATATAAATAAGCTAGTGAATTTGACTGTCGATTATTCGCTCCTCCATGGCAAACTTGGTTTTACAAAGCAAACAGTATGCCCACGCCAATCAATTTTTATATTTCTGTTATTTTATTATTAGATGACAATTAAAAATCCTTTTTAATAAAAAAAAACTAATTATCTATTTGTTAAGGGTTGAATAACATTTTTCGGTAACTTCATAATTTTTTTGTTTTGGGTTAACCTTTTATTTTCGCGCTGTGTATACAACACCCCCACCATACCCAACCTTGGTTAAGCCGCGCGAAAAGACAGACTTGCGTGAGCGTCCGTAGTGCGAACCACGAAAAAACAAGCTCTCTTTTGTGACCGGTTCGCGAGAACCCCGCGCTGTGTTGTGGTCCTTACCACCCCCAACCCTCCAGAAAATACCCCTAAGAAGACCCGGCCGGGCAGACGACGACGCGGGAAACCATCAAGGTGGGCGATTAACCGTTTCGGGTGTTGTATGTCCTACCGTTTTCTTGCCGCTCTTTCTCGTTTAAATTTTGAGGGTGATTTACAACCACCTTCCCCCAACCCTATACATATTGGTCCTTCGAGCCGGATCAGAATCAGTCTTTTGGATTTTTATGGTCATTCACAAACTTTAGTAATTTTAAATACATGTTCGCTATCGTGAACAGGTTAGCAAAAAACGTGTGAAGTTTGGAGCGCAAAAAAGCGGTTTCATAAAAAGTGGTTACCGTCGTTTCGAATTGCGGCCGTCTTTTTATTTGATTCGTTCTAAGCATATTTTCTGCGTGCTCAAATTCTTCTTCCTTTTAATTTACGTGGGTACTTTGTTTCGAGACTTAGGTGCATTTGTTTACAAAACGATTTACAATGTCGGAAATAGATAAATTTATTGCTAAGCGGGATTTAACACTTAGACGCTTTAACGATATATTGTCAGCGGGTCAGAAAGCTCGCGTTGAACCCGATGATGATGAAATTTTATGCAAATTCCAGTGCATGGTGGAGGATTTGCCGAGTTTAGTTAGCACTTTTGAGTCCTTGCAATTGGAAGTAATCTCCTTAGCGAATGATTCGGAAAGAGATCGACAGTTTGCGGTTCAAGATCACTTTGATCAGTTGCATTATTCAATTCGATCTATTGCCAAGCGATTATTTGAGAAAGTGGAACCTAAGGCAGGCTCTCCGGTACCATCTGTAGTTGGTCGAGAGTCGCAAAGAAATAGTAATCTCCGACTCCCCCGTATTATCATTCCGAAATTTGATGGCGAATTGAAAAATTGGCCTACATTTTTTGATATGTTTAACACGTTGATCCATAATAATTCTTCCCTTTCAAACATTGAAAAATTTCAATTTTTAGTGTCTTATTTGGAAAAGGATGCTCTCAGTGTCGTCAAGAATTTGCCAATTAAGGGTGCCAATTATAGTATAGCTTACAATGCCCTCGTGAAGCGTTATCAAAACGATCGATTGTTGTTAACCGATTATTGGCTGTCGATCTTTCGGGCTCCGACTATGAAGAGTGACTCGACTCTCAAGACGAGGTTCGAACTCAAATTTTGTGATAAAGATATCCCAACTTTTCAAGATTTATGTGATTTTTTGGAACAGAATTGTAAAGCTTTAGAAAACTCTTTAGTTACCTCAAAAGGTATTACCCTTACCAAGAGGCTTGAGGTTTCGAAGCGAGTTTCAACCGATACACGTAGACCCACATCTTTGATAGCGACGTCTACCCCTCCGAGTGCTGATGTGAGTTGCACCAGTAAGTGTTTATACTGTCCTATGGACTACCATCTTCTGACAAAGTGTGATTCCTTCCTATCTCTTGAGCCCCCTCAAAGGCATGTGTTCATCAAGCAACATCGTTTGTGCTTTAATTGCTTCGCGCGATCCCATGGTGTTGGAAGATGCCCCTCCAAGATTAATTGTCGTGTATGTGGCAAGCGCGACCATACTTTAGTGCATTTTGGAAATGCTACTACCCCCTCCCCGTCGAATGAAGCTCCCCCTGCTTCCGGCAACCAGGAAGGTACTATCCCTAGTCCGGTGACCATGATGTCCAATCTCTCCTCTCAAAAGGTCGTGCTCTTTGCCACTTGCTTGGTGTCCGTTTTGGATAAATCTGGCAGACTTGTTACTTGTCGTGCACTTTTGGATTCAGCTATTCAAGCCAGTTTTGTGACAGATTCCTTTGCGAAGAAATTGGAGCTTCCAAGGTCTCTCTCTCCGACACCAATTCAAGCCCTCAACCAAATGTCGACGTCTGCGTTAGGGAAGGTTGCCCTGAACGTGACCCCCTCCCAAAGAAAATCCCCTGCTCTCCATATAGAGGCTTTAGTTATTCCATCTATTTGTGATAAGGTACCCTACCAGGTGATTGATAAGCAGAATCTAAAACATCTCAGGTCCCTACCCTTGGCTGATCCCCACTTCTGTGAACCCAACGAAATAGACGTGCTTTTAGGGGCAGAGGTTTACGGAGATATTTGTTTGCCTGGATTTAGAAAGGGACAGAACGGTGGCCCATGCGCTTTTCGGACCATCTTCGGATGGGTTGTCCTAGGAAAAGTGAATTCTTTTGAACCATCTTCTCCCTTTAGTTTTTATACCACTGTGAGTACTGCTGTTGATGTTTCTTTGAAGAGATTTTGGGAACTTGAGTCCGTCCCTTCAAAGACCTTTATGTCTCCTGAAGACAAATTGTGTGAGGAGATCTTTCTCTCTACCCATTCCCGTGCCCCTTCAGGTAGATACGTCGTATCCTTACCCTTTAAGGATAAACACCCTTCACTTGGTGAATCTTACCCTCAAGCCCTTAGGCGATTCCAGTTGTTAGAGGCGCGTTTGGCCAAGAACCCAACTTTGCGATTAGCCTACAACGAGTTCTTGAGAGATTATTGGGAACAAGGTCACATGGCACTCGTTAGCGACCTGCCCCCCTCTCCCCAAGGTTACTACATTCCTCATCACGCCGTCTGGAAGCCACATAGCGAACCCCTTAAATTGCGTGTTGTGTTTGATGCTTCAGCCAAAACTTCCAATGGACGGTCCCTGAACGATCTTCTATTTACGGGTCCCAAGCTCCAACCCGACATTGGAGCCATTTTGCTCATCTTTCGACTGTACTGTGTGGTTTTCACCACCGATATTCGTCAGATGTATCGTCAAATCCTAGTGAGTGACGCCGACCACCTCTTCCAGCGGATTCTGTGGCGTTTTGATCCCCGCGAAGCAGTGCGAGAGTACGTCTTGTCAACGGTGGTCTATGGACTAAGTTGTAGCCCATACTTGGCTATTCGCGTGTTGCGTCAGCTTGCTAGGGACGAAGGAGCGCGTTACCCGTTAGCAGCCCGTCTCCTAGATTGCCAAACCTACATCGACGACATTATCGGAGGAACAGACTCGTTGGAGGAAGCCCGTGAGTTGAGGGATCAATTAGTATCGCTGCTAAAATTGGGTGGTTTCGAGTTGCGCAAATGGGCGAGCAACTCCCCCGAGTTATTGAGTTCACTCCCCGCTTCACATCATCAACCCGTTTCCCTATGCGGAGACGACAATCCCAGTTTAAAGGTGTTGGGATTGCAGTGGTGTCCCTTACGGGATGTGTTCTCCTACCGCATCCAAGTAGCGGATAGGACGTGCACAAAAAGGAATATTTTGTCGCAAGTAGCCCAAATATACGATCCCCTAGGTTTTTTATCCCCGGTCGTGTTGACTGCCAAAATTCTCCTACAGAGGCTTTGGTCCCAGGGCGTCGATTGGGATGCACCTCCCCCCCGCGACATATTCGAAGATTAGAGTTCGTTTTCGTCTCAGCTGGACAGTCTTTCTGGGGTGACAATCCCTCGTCGGGTACTGCCTAGCAATGGCGTCCAGGTGGAGCCGCACGGATTTTGTGACGCTTCGGAGCGCGGATACGGTGCAGCCGTGTATCTGCGAAGCGTCAGAGAGGGCCATATCTCTGTCACCCTTCTGTGTGCAAAGAATCGGGTAGCACCTTTGAAGCGAGTGTCGATCCCCCGTCTGGAGTTGTGCTCAGCGTTACTGCTCGCCCAACTCGTAGATTTCGTCCGATCCACTATAGCCTCTGAGTTGACTATCACGAGAGTATTCGCCTGGAGTGACTCCAAAATTGCGTTGTCTTGGATAAAGTCCTCCCCCCACAGATGGAAAACTTTTGTGGCCAATCGCGTGTCCCTCATTCAGGACATCTTTTCCCCCAGTTCCTGGCATCACGTCGCCGGTTCATCCAACCCTGCTGATTGCGCATCCCAAGGGCTTTTCCCCGAGCAAATATTAATTCACCCCTCTTGGTTCTGTGGTCCCCCTTGGTTATGTCTTCCGGTGGAAGAGTGGCCCACCTCCGACTTCACCCCCGGAGACGATCTGGAACTGGAACGTAAACCAGTGTTGACTTGTGTGTCCACCCCTTTAGTTGACTCGCTCGGAGAACTGTTAAACCGTTTCTCGTTGTTACGAAAAATTGAGAGGATCCTGGCTTATTGTTGTAGGTTTCTAAATAATTGTCGTACCCCCATTCCCAAGCGAGCGCTTGATAATTTGTCTTTTGCGGACACGTACCACTCCCGCACGTTGCTCACAGGATACGTCCAACGTGAGGTGTTCGCCGGTTTGCTGAAGTGTCTTCGAAACGGTAAACTGTGCCCCAAACCTTTACGCTCCCTAGCGCCCTTTATCGATGAGCACGGTCTCATTCGAGTCGGTGGCAGACTCCGAGGTTCTGCGTTGTCTTTCGACGCAAAACATCCTCTTCTACTACCTCGAGACCATCGCTTTACCGAACTCGTGATCGAAAAGTTCCATAAGGAAAATTGCCACCCGGGCCCCCAATCGTTGTTGTACCAGATTTCACAACAATTCTGGATTTTGTCCGCCCGCAGAGCAATTCGTCACACCCTATCGCAGTGTTACCGATGCTTCCGTGTCCAACCTTCTTGTGTACAGCCATTCATGGCTGATTTACCCCCCGTTCGTGTATCGCAAGTCAAGCCATTCGCACATACCGGTGTCGATTTCGCCGGTCCAATTTCCATTACCCTTGCGCGAAGGCGCGGCGCTAAGACTCAGAAGGCTTACATTTACCTATTCGTTTGCATGGCTACCAAAGCCATCCATTTGGAATTGGCTTCTGAACTCAGCTCCGACGCATTCTTGGCCGCTTTTCGGCGCTTTGTCGCTCGCCGCGGGCGTTGCACTGACATGTATAGTGATCAGGGTAGAAATTTTGTCGGTGCTAACCGGTTGTTGGTACAGTATTGCCAGCAGTCTGCCGACCAGGTGCGCTGGCACTTCAACCCACCCTCCAATCCTCACTTTGGAGGTCTTTGGGAGGCCGGCGTCAAGTCGGTAAAGACCCATTTGTTTCGTGTGATAGGCTCTCAAATCCTGACTTTCGAGGAAATGTCGACAGTGTTAACTCAGGGGGAATCCATACTGAATTCCCGCCCATTATGTAGTTTGAGTTCCAACTCAAACGATTTGCATAGCCTTACTCCTGGGCATTTTCTGACCCTGGAGCCCCTATCTGCCCCTCCCGACGACACTTTAGCTAATCTGAACACTAACAGACTCACTCGTTGGCAGCTCATGCAGCAGTTGCATCAGCACTTCTGGGACAGATGGCATCGGGAATACCTCCACCAGCTGCAGCAACGGCACAAGTGGAACACCACGACTAACCCCCCAAAAGTTGGTCAGTTGGTTTTGATTAAAGACGAGAACCTCCCCCCGTTAAAGTGGCTTCTGGGCCGCATCACGCGCTTGTACCCCAGTTTCGACAAGGAAATTCGCGTTGTGCAAGTGCACACGGCCAAAGGCACTTTCGATCGACCTTTGGTCAAATTATCTTTTGTCCCTAACTGTTAACCTGTTCAAGGGGCAACCGTGTATATAGTATAGCATAAGTTTATGGGAAAATTGGGTATTTTTGGGAGGCCGGAATGTTAAGGGTTGAATAACATTTTTCGGTAACTTCATAATTTTTTTGTTTTGGGTTAACCTTTTATTTTCGCGCTGTGTATACAACACCCCCACCATACCCAACCTTGGTTAAGCCGCGCGAAAAGACAGACTTGCGTGAGCGTCCGTAGTGCGAACCACGAAAAAACAAGCTCTCTTTTGTGACCGGTTCGCGAGAACCCCGCGCTGTGTTGTGGTCCTTACCACCCCCAACCCTCCAGAAAATACCCCTAAGAAGACCCGGCCGGGCAGACGACGACGCGGGAAACCATCAAGGTGGGTGATTAACCGTTTCGGGTGTTGTATATCCTACCGTTTTCTTGCCGCTCTTTCTCGTTTAAATTTTGAGGGTGATTTACAACCACCTTCCCCCAACCCTATACACTATTATTAAGAATTATCAAAATTAAGCCATAAGCAAACATTCTACAGTATTTATGCTTAAGCGATGCGCCCGCGATATTTCGAGCACCCTGTATGGACATTAATATAGTTAGGTTTTATGTAGTCCTGAATAAGAATTCGTTGACACCTTATTTTTAAGGAAATCTCTAATAGCCCCTCTTGATATTTGACATCAAAAATTAGTCCCAGTTAGCCATGACTTCAGGTTGATGTAATAAGAAACATATGATTTTAGTGCGTTTTGGGCGAAAAAATTATCAAATTAAAAACGTAATCAAAGATTTTACAACTAAGCCTTATGCGGGGCGCAAACGATATTTCAAACACCCTGTATTGAAACATTATAAAAATTTGTAAAGTTGGGTTCTAAGCAATCCTCGTTGCCACTTTTTTTAATAATCCCTATAGTACTTTTCTCTGCTCTTTTGTTAAATAGTCCCAGTTGGCCATGACTTTAAGTTGAAGCAATAAGCAAAACAAGGTTTTAGTGCATTTTGCAGAGACCTATTCAACAAAAAAAAAACAAAATCGAACCATAAACAAAGATTTTACAAGAGTGTACAGTTCTTAAGTGGGACACATTGTATAACTTAAAAAACTAGAAAATCCATTCTTTTGTTTGTATAACTACCCTACTTAAAAACGACTGCAAACGCCCATCATGGAAATTTAATAAGATACGATAATGTAAAACTCCCCTTAAAAAAGAGTATGTTTTGTATAAATATGAAATTTAAAAAAGAAAAATCGCTAAGATCATGCATGTTTTAAAGAGTGGCCATCAGTAAGCCGCCTTTTAAGCGACCACCCCTCCTAAACGACCTGTATTTGATAGTGGGTCGCTATTGAGAGATTATACCGTAACAGAGAACCAATGAGGTTGGTGTTTATTTCGAATAGATGTGGCAACTCTGCAGCCTTCCAAATATTTTAAAAATGGGGATCATAGTCTCATATTTTTAAAATCCTATGGTCGCTGCCCAATTTTTAAGGGCCTATCTTTATCCAATCTCCATAGCTCCATTTTCGAATAGGCCATCATATTGCTATTGGTGTTGCGAAGTGCACTTAGCATGTTCGTTATACATTTTTTAAATAATATGCAACATTAATAGTATTCATATTATTTTGACTAAGAAGGAAAAAAACGAAACTAGGTTCTTTGCCGACATTTTGAGCTGTCTTTGGGATGGGTTTTAAAATTTAATAAAAGAGGGTCTAATTCTTATACTTAAGCATTTTTTGTTATGTTGTTAATGTTGACTTTTAATTAACTAATTCCTTTATTTACGGACGGGTGAATAACAAAAACAAGAGAGAATTATTAATAATAATTTTCACCTATTTTTTGATGCGAGAGATCATTACTCGTACGTAGTGGACTTAGCCGTATTTCACTGGAGATTATTGTACCTATGATAATTGTCGAGTATCCCGAGAGTGGCAGGTAGACTGTCAGCTAGTTGACCAACATGTGCCTTAAAAATAGAATTATAGGTACTTCCGTTTGGCAAAGTTCGCTTTTGGAAATGACTAGTGTTTTTGATTTGGTTGCTGAGAAGCAGATTAATAAAACAGCGCCTTCTAAAAATGAGAAATTTATTTTCTCAATGTCTTCAAAGCTACGATAACGCTGATTTATTTAAGATTCATAATATTTTGGTGTCCCGTCTGTATATTGTAAAATAATTTTAATTTTGCATCCTAATAATCTTTATATTTCTATTTACCATTTTCTCATAACTTTTGAAACCAACAAGATAATGAACTTCCTGTATATTCTATGAAATTCAACTCAGGTCACTAAGTTTTGGTTGGACTTGATTCGATAAAAAGCGAAACGTTACAAAAAAAGTCAATCATACAGTGTTGATTGGCTATAATTCAAATAGGGATAACGTAAGTTGGAATCATTTTCTCATAAGTTTTGAATCCAATAAGTTAATGAACTTCCTGTATATCCTATGAAATTCGGATCACGCCACTAAGTTTTGGCTAAACTTGATTGAAAGTCAATCAGACAGTGTTGATTGGCTATAATTCAAATAAGGATAACGTAAGTTGGAACAAGTAGTATTAAAATGGTTTCTTTCTGCGCATCGTTTAGGGTATTAACCAGCCGAGCTTCTTGCCCAATTGTGCCGAGATGGATTCAGACTCGGACAGCATAGCCGACTTGCCTCTGAACCTGGTGTCGACGCAGCTAGCCGAAACAGAGACCCATTAGCATAAAATAGTGCTTAATGTAACATAATATTTATAGAAAATTCGGAAATGTGAAATGACATTAAATATTTTCAAGGCGACTACCTTGATGCGAAATTAACAGTTCCAAGTAGTGCCAAAGTCAAATCTGAAAAGAATACGGCCGTATTTTTCCTATAAGAAAATCTTACAGATGAAACATTCAAGCAGAGATCCAGAATTGGCTCGTTCGTTTAGGAGTTATGGCAAGAGATCATAGCCCGGGAGCCAGCTGGCATTTTCGATGGCCAATAAGAAGGAAGCTAAAAAAAATTTCCATAGTTCATTGCGAAATGTTAAAAAAGGAAAATAGCTGATTGCGTGTTATATGCCAGCCTCGCTAACTTTATTACTTTCGTGAAACAAGCATCCCTCTGAGTTTTTCATTGTGGAAAACTGTTCAACTGGCAATCGAAAATTATATATTTTAACAACAGAACATTTTTCTGATAACTTTTTTACAAAGGTTTTGGGTTGGTCTTGCAGTTCCTCCATGAATTTAAATTAATTAAATTAAATTTTTTGTTTTACGGTAACCATATATATTTAAAATACACAATACCAAGAATTCATATGTAGACATCAATATATAAATAATAATATTTGCATTCCTATCATAAAATCATCATAAAATTAATGCTCCTAGAAGGTTGGTAGACAGAGAATCCCCTAAAGAAGAAAAATCCCATTTTATGTAAATTACAAATACAGTTTAAAGCAACCCAGGGTAACCATCCCATTCTTCTTTTTGTGCTTTGTGAGATCTAACTGACTTTGGCAATTACAGTGGAAAATTGGTCTTTCCTCTTGGCCATTGTTCTCTTCAGTGATCCTGAATATTTCTTTTGCACTGCATATTCTGGTCCATTCGCATATATTCTTCTTCCTCCCCTACAATCCTCTATTTTGAAGAATACGAATATGACAGCTTACGACTTTTGGCATTTGTCGAGTTAATGAACGACTGCTTCATTTGTTTGCATTGCTGTCTTGAAGGTCTAGATTTTAGCTCCATACAGAAAGAGATTTGGGTTGACATTGCGAAAGGGTGATTTCATCATCCTACATTTTATTAGTTGTTCAGTCAGTTAGCACACAAGGTTCACAAAGAAAGGTCAGAGGGAACCCTGGAAACTTTGTCGTAAACGTATCAGATATTACTGACGGGTTTACCATTACCACCGATAGAGAGTCTCCACCACATCTCTACCATCAATCCTAGTATTTCTTAAAAGCTTCTCATGTTGTACTATGTCAAACGACTTTTCGTAGTCGATGAAACACACAAAGGTGTCTATGGATGCGAAATTTTTGAAGTTGTATATTTAAAGCAAACATCGGTTTTCTAGTAGAATAATTCCCGAAACCAAATTCGATCCCATCCAGATCACCTTCGCGTTTGCTACTTATTATCCGATGTAAGATGCTTAGAACACCTTCAAAGTGTGACTTTGCTAACCTATAATCATTGCATTTTTTGACACGTTGTGGTATTACCCCGCTATTATTTAACTAATATAGTGATGTTCATGAATCAATTGTAGTTGCCCTATTGGGATATCATCAGGTCCGTTTTTGTTTTTGTTTTCACAGATCTTATTCTCGTTGGTTCAAAGTTTAACTATATATGTACATCTAGAATGTCTTGTTCGTCGATAGCATGACCTTCTTGGATATGTTAAACATGACCTCTCAAATTCCTCTATTTCTTTCCATTTATGCATCATCCACCTTTCTTTGGTCACTCAGATCTTTTTCCTTATTTCTTTTTGTAGTTGTCTGTGTTAGTTTTAAGCCTTCTTCTTTGCTCTATAACCCCTAGTAATATTTCCTACATCCGAAATAATTTTTTTATGTGTCCTACGTATAAAGCTAGAAGACTGTCAGTTAGTTTTTTTGTTGTTTTCGCAAACAATTAACAACATCTGGAAGTTACTGCGAATATGTCGAACGTTGTGACTTTTTGAGGATTTTGTGTTAAAAAGAATTGAAATTTAAAATCTGCCAGTGGAAAAGCTGGAAAAGTGCCGAAATATTTTCAAAACTTTCTAGAGGAATAATTATTTGTAAAAGTTATGTGAAAAATGTTATCTGCTGATGCAGCGGTCTTGTTCAGTCGTAACAATCACCAAACATAGATAGCTTTGTTTTTTTTCAACAGAAGATTGGCCAAACAGTTTTCAAACATAGGTTCGTCTTTTCCATAAGTAACTACCTAATAATTTCCAGAGGAAAGAGTCATTTTGCTTCCCACATTAAATAATTTATGAAGTGGGACTCCAAATATATGAAAATCTTGTCAGAGAACAAATATCTAATATAGCACAATTGTCATATTTCAGTCCGCCTGCGCGCTCTTAGGTGCATGGCAAGTTTGAGAGAAATCCAAAACTTCTTTTGACTGACATAAAAACAGTAGAATTAATGTATAATAAGTTTCACAGAATAATTTTGACTAACTTAATCTAAAATAATTGAGGAAGAAGAAAAACCGACCGTTTTTTTTTGGGTTATTTCTGTTGGTGCTATGATTTCTTACTTTTAGAAAGGAAATATTTCTAATAATATAACATTAAAAATTAAACAGATGTAACTGAAGCAGCGTACCTAAGTAATGTATAAGAGTTCGTATGTATGTTCGCCTGCACAATCTCTAGAATTTATCACTGTGAATTCCAGTATTTTTAGTGCATATCCACAGGATAGATCAGTGTGGTTTCTAAGGGTCCGTTTTGTGTCAAACGTTACACCCAAATCTTTAAAAGTGTCATCATCTTAACAATACCTTATAGAGGGGATGTGGAACCGATGTCTCCAAATCATTGTGCGGAGATGAACAGTCACTTTATAAAATATTCTTTATATCATCAGCCATGAGCAAAATTGCACTATTAATGAAAAACAGGCCTGTGATCGGTTGTATATTTCCTTCATTAGGAGGGGGGGGGGGGGGGGTAATTGTAGCGTATTTCCAAGGGAAAATGTTTGTTGATGAGGAAACAACATGCTAGGGGTTTGAACGTCACGTGTGAAATTAACGAAAAAATGGCAGCTGGCTCCACAACCATACAAGTGTCATTGTGAATATAAAGATCTTATTTTACTTTTATAGGTTCAAGCGTCAAGGTAAGCGACCTTAACTACCTACACCGCCGCGAATAATGAAATTTATCGAAAAAATTTTTAATGCTCTCTTCGATTACTCGTTCTGGAATGTTTAAGGTCCACGCAGTGTCTTCGGCCTTAACGGTGCACCTATATCGTTCGAACTTCCCGACTTGATCGAACTGGTGCGCGTGTACTTACCCGATAATACTCATCCGACCCCACCCTACCCCCCTTCCCCCGATATAAGCGAAAAAAACAAGAATTTTCTTTACTCGATGTGATATATTCCACAAGGCGCATTATTATTCGAATTTTTTTACCAGTGTTTTACCGTTACTGAAGTTATATTATATCAACTGAACATAACCAAACATTTTGCTTATGCCAGTAGAACCTTTATGTTTTTTTGATTAGTTTTAGCTAAGCTCGAGTATTCATTTTTACATTTTTTGTTGTAATCGGAAATGCGGCACCGAACAAACAGGGACGTCCGAAGGGCGGCGAATTATATTTTGACGTTTATGTATAAGTATATATCCAACAATTTTCATTCTTGACAGCGGATTTTTACGAAACACAATTGTGATGACCTGTCGAAACGCAATGAAAGCATAGTCGCGTAAGACGGGCTACACGTATCTGCAAACTAATCAAAATGAAGACAGAAAACAGTATAGTACCTTGTATGAGAAGCTGTAAAAGATATGAAACAATTCTGATGTACAGTTAAAACCGCACGGCGATACCTTCACTACCAACCGATATATAGGGCGATATAACTTTTTTAATTATAAAAATTTGGAATCGGCATTGTTAAGGCATTTTTAAAGTCAAATGCAACGCCGTACTCTGCTTTTTTCTACAGTTCTCCGTTTTCTCGTAAATAAATTCAACTTTTATATATAGATTTATAGAAATTATTACATTAGCCGAGTATCGGGGGTATATTTAGAACTCGATTTGTCCTTTTTTTTTCAATACGCTTCAGTAAACGTTAAAAGCTTTCGCCATCCTTCTTCCATAATTAAAAATTCGAATGTTTGACGATAGCTGACGATTATGATACTCCATCGATATTTAATTATTGTACTAATACAGTAAACGTTAAAAGCTTTCGCCATCCTTCTTCCATAATTAAAAATTCGAATGTTTGACGATAGCTGACGATTATGATACTCCATCGATATTTAATTATTGTACTAATTTATTTTTAATGTTAAGTCCATTTATGTAATCAAAATTTCTATGTATACCTGCCCTACCGAGTGTGCGCGTGTGATTTTTTACAGATTTTTTATATTTGTATATAGACAGCTCTTCCGCAATACTAAATTATCGGTGTAATCAGTAATAAGTTTCGAGAATTTTTTTTTGGTATATTGAAATTTTATGTACAGGATTCCACAAACTCGATAGCCCGTTAAAAGTATACTATAGGAGGCTATAATTTCGAGTTTTAAAATATTCCGGACATTTTAGCAGACAGTTCTACTCGAACCACGCACCAACTTTTTTTTTTAATAGAGATGGCCTGCATATTATTACATTTTTAGATTCTGTGACTGAAATTTTCTACACTATGTGTTATAGCTCTAATTTGGAGATAAAAAAAATTTTTTAGAAAATAAGTATCAAATTTATTGTTAAAGGCGACATGACTTAAGGAACAAATACCAAAATTATATGATTGAAGGATTAAAAACGATTGGTGGCTTTTCCGAGCAATTATTCATTACTTGATAAATAAAAATATTTATCAATTGCTAAAGGAAAAAATTAAACATTAGTAGAGGAAAAATAATGATGCAAAGCTATAGCATATAGGGAAAAAAAACAGGAAATCGACAGTATTATTTGTGAAAACATGAAACAAGCTTCGCCTAAAATGGCATCACCAGACCAATAAAAATTAAAAACAAACCATACAGAAAAACAACTAAGCAATCTAATAATCAATGGCCCTTATTGGTAAAAAATATAGATAATTAAACAAATACAAATTGAAATAGAGAAACAGATAACTGAAAAGAAAAAATACCAGAAGAGAAGTATTCAAAGGAACAAGGGCGGAGTTAAGCTCTTCATTATAAGCGAAAGATGTCATGTTGTTTTGACAGATGGTGCTGTAGATTTCGTGTGTTTCTTGTTTTACTTATACTTAAGCAGTATCTAAAAGAAAAAATATGTTTACTCCATATTAACCTTTTCCAGCCCAAATTTAAATTAAAAAAAGTAGAAACTACATTGATATTTTCTTTTTTTCTTTAGTACGTGGTAATGTATATGTGATATGTCCCAAAAAATTAAGACAGTATTGTTTACAAAAAACTACGATGCTATTTGAAGCCAATGGGTGAGTCTGGCAAGTGAAACAGCGTATGCAAGGACGAAAAAATAAAGCGAATATCTACATAAAAAACACTACTTACCGCAAAAAATATGATATTTCAATAAAAATGCGGGAAAATAATACTCCGATAAATTCTAGAACTGCCATCTATACTATTTCAATAAAACATACCTGCAAAATGGAATTAGATTATAACATAATAAATAAATAACATATATAATTATATAAAATATTTGGTGAGTGCTAGATGATTGAGCTGTTAAATAAAAATTATTTTTTATGGCACACTTATATTCGCTTAAAATGCAGGTGAAAAAATGGTAGTATTCTTTAAAAATTGTGATAGAAAACTATTTTCTATCTCAAAACCATCTTGAGAGAGCTATATAGATGGTATGTCAAAAAAAAACGCACCAGGGAGGTTTGTCATTCCAAAAAAAAAAGTTTAGGCAAACATATAGGTTCGGAAATGCTTAGTTTCCACCCCCTGGTGTTCGATATTAAAAAGAAAAACTGATTAAACCTGATATGGATCATATTCATCATTTTCTTTAGTATTATTTTTTTTTAAATTTTATTTATAAACTACGTTTTGTCAATTTTCATGATTTTTATTTGTTCGTTCAAAAACTTACGAACTAAAAAAGTTATACTTTTAGTGGATGTGGCAACCCTGCAATAACCTGAAGACTATGTATGTACTTCTAATGAGACATCGAGTTTGGGCAACCCTGTATACATTTTAGAATATAGGTCGCAATCCTCTCTTTCTTTATTTAATTGTTTTAATATTTATACGCTTTGCCCGTTTGCGATTTTTTTTTGCATTTTCTTAATTTTTGCAATATCCTTGCTCCAAACAATCGATCGACAGTATTTCGTAAATAATCTGCACGTACTTAAAAGCATTTCTGCTAAAATAACCCAAAAGACATGACATTTATGTATAGTACGGAGCAATGGGATCGTAGTACCTTCGTAGTATTAACCACTGAGTGATATTCTTTTAATTTTTAATCCTGATAACCCGCGGATTTGGATATCGCGACCCAAACGTCAGCGATATCGTTTCTGCTCTCCTTTAGATTAATTTATTTCGCAAAAAAAAAATCAGTATTTTACGTGTTTTTATTTTTTTTAATTTAAGCTAATCGATTCGTCTTAAGGTTTTTGTAGTGTAATTTTTACCCTTTTTTACGTTTTACGGCAGCTGTGCCCGATTTTTGCAATATTAAACAGGTCGATCGTATCTCGGTTAGTTTTGGATGTTCATATTTAGTAGGAGGCTTTTTAGAAGAACGTTTTTTGGGTAATTTTTTGATAACGGATAATTTCGTTCAAATACCTGATGTCCCAGAAGGGCCGCATTAGAGAAACGAAATGTTAAGTAAATCGGCCAAAAAATACAATCCAATATTAACCATATAGTTGTTTGATATGTTTGAAATCTGAGAAATTCAAATCTTTTTGTCTAATACTCCGTGCTCTATTCCCGCCATGAAAGTAGTGCGGAGTGTTCAGACGTTTTCAGAAATAAATAAATAAAAAATACTTCCACTATAATAAGCTTGAAACTTGAACCCGTTAACAGGGCTTTTGCTAAGCTATCAATCGTCCTGTTCGCGGTTGTGATTGATTACCTGGCTACCAGGTGGCTTTTTCCGACATAATCCCAAAAAGAAAATTTTCTGAAAAAAAAGCATCAATAGGTCTTTTTATGCGTCAATAGATAGTCAAATAATTGAGTTTTTTTGAGTAAGCTTTATTTGCTTTGTGGGCCCTATTTCTCCCTTCAATATTTCGGTGTTTGCGTAATATATAATAATACAATATAACAAAAACAAACAAACAAAAACGAAAGGCGGTAAGATATTTTTATTTTCCATCAAAGTTTACTTACTAAAAAAACGGGTCTACAACAGCTGTTGCTGATAACACCATGTTTTGATATCCGCTATAAATAAATTTATTTTTACCCACTTTTTAAATTTACTAATCAAAATCACTCCTTTGACAGAATTAATTAATTTCCAATTATTGCCATAGACGTCTTTCATGTGGTTGTCTGATGCATGTCAGTCTCCCTGGCGTTCACCTTTTCAGATTCGGAGTGTTAGTCAGGAAGTTTTTATGCTAGTGACATTTCTTAGTATTGGTAACCTCCAAATTATTTCAAAACGAGCAAGGGTATCAAAATTTGGTAACGCTAGCTTATTAGTAAATTTCGGATAATTGAACATTAACAATCCGCAAAAGTGGAAATAATTCACAAAATTGAGATTTTTTTTTAGTTTTAAGGTCTCGTATTCTTATTTTGTTAGAATGAAGATATTAAGATAGATTGTTGAGTGCTTATTTGACTATCTAATGAAGTAAAATGTCATTATACCATTAAGTGAGAAATTGGCTAATAGCAGGAAAATCTAGGAAACTCCCTTTTTTGAGACTTCAAGTCTGTTAAAACGCGTTAAATCAACGTTCAAACACGCCCCACCAATTTCCTTTTAAGAGGCAGCGCAAAGAACAAAAAAGATTTGATTTTGTCTCAGATTTAAAAAGGTTAGGTTTCGATTTTTGTGTGTGGCCGGCATGGTGAACTTCCATCACGTTCAGCCCTCCTATGAAGTCCGTTATTTTACCAAAGTGCATGGACACTATCCTCATCTTCCATGCACATCTTATACTCATTGTCGTTCGAAAGACGGATTTCATTTTTGAAGTTGTTGCAGAAAATAATTTCCAGCATTTCCTCTTAGCCCACTTAACCACGCTTTTTGAAATTTCCGGAAAAAAATATATTTCCAACTTTGAAGGCCAAGTTAAGGAACTTGTCTATTTAAATGGTAAATTTGAATTGGCGTGACAAGCTTTGGTTGGTTTGGTTTCTATTTTGCCGCGTTTTACCAAATATGATCATTCCAAGCGAACATTATTATTGTTGTCTTAGAAAAGTTTTTATGCAGACGTGGAGTTGTGATATATTTACCTTGTTGAGGAGTTTAAGTTTGGTAAAATTTTTAACTGTTTCTGCACGGTTTACTTTGTCCGTTTTGTACCATTGGAAATATTTGGTACTTGTACAATATATAAGACACGATGTTGGCTAAATTATAGTTTAGGAGATATTTTTTTACCAATAAAACATGGCTGCAACAAATTTTTTTATTTGAATATTAACCTTCCCATTTCCTACGTCCTTGAGGATTGATTATATAATTTTATTGAAATGGGATGGATTGCAAATAAAAATACTCATTTTCTACAGAATTCAGTAGTTCTTAACGAATGAAATTGAAGTTGTTGCAAAAAGACTACTAACAATATGCCGATATCCTTAGTGGTACTTGTAGCGTCTCTCGCGACCTGAAAAAAAAGCATTTTAGTAGAACAGACAAAATAGGATAGCATTGACATACAATATAGGAAAGCATTGTTTTCTGTCTAACATTAGACATTTCATGATGAAACTAGGCCCTAACGAAGTGGTTATGAATGCAGCTATTTTTTCGTTTGTTTTGGTTGTGTTCCTTTTAAAGTTTTAAAGACCTTAAAAATATCAACAAAAAAATTAAGTTACCTCCTCGACGAATTCGACTAAACTGAAATAAACGAAAACTGCAAAGGAAATAATTTTTTTGAATACAATTTTTCGATTTTTTTTTATAAAAAATAAATAATTTAGCATTATTTTCGATCTGTGACACCGATGCCGAAGATACTCAAGAACACAAGAAATTAATTTTCGTCAGTAAAGTGCAAGAAAATAAAGTAATTTTTAATAAGTTGGAAGTTCCCAAAATAAAAAAGAAAGGGATTTCAGACTACAACCAAACAATTACTAAAAAAAAACAAGGTAAGTAAAGTGCACTACTATAAATATGAATAAACGAAGCAATCAATTCTTTGAAATAAGTTGGTGTTTATTTTTAGCCTCTTTTGCGTAGCCTTGGTAAATTGTATCCATTGTTTGACTTGCTCGCAAGTTTTGGGCACTAATTCGATAAGCAACAATTTTTGTCACTAAACTACACTTTAAAAACTTAAGGTCTGTCGACCTAAAGCCAGCAAACTTCCACAATGTCTGTCACAACTTACTTCCACAAAATAGTGTTCCATTCCACTTTTGTTTTGAATGATATACAAACAAAGGTTTTTTCCTAAATCACATATCAAACAAAAAACTAACAATTGTTTGAGATATCAGCCTATTTGATATATTTTTAAAATAAACACCCTATTTTTTTTTACCGGTATTCAGTAGAACACGATATTGTGATTCCAGGGTGTCTGCAAATAACGTTCCCATAATTTTAGATCATTTTTTTTTAATCTTGCTAAATTTATTGCATGTCATTGAATTTAAAAATTTTTATCTAGTTAGGGATAAGTTAGTCTCTACACAATCCAAGAAATGTCCATAATAGTTAAAACGATTAGAATTTATTTACAATAAATTGGTTTGTTGCATTTCAAGTTGCATTTTTAATTGTTGACAAAAAAAATTTAAAGTAGTAAAAAAAGTCAGTGGCTCACATTTTTGTCACAAATATTCGGTGCATCCCGGGACGCCACTGCACTTTATAATCTTAATTTAATTAATGCTAAACACAACAAACACTATCCAATTTCAACAAAATCGGTCGGATATTTAGAATATTTATTAAAAACCCATTTGTATTTTAAGTCCACTCTGTATCTTTCTTATTTTTTAATGATCCTAGATAACAGTTCGTATTTTATTTTACTTATTTTCGAGATATTGGCAAAAATAACAATACAATTCTTCTCACATCCTAAATACTGCTGTTTGTGACCGCCATGTTGTTCAATACATTTTTCGTCAGCTTTAATCGTGTAATTTTTGGCATTTCATAATAGTTCTTGATAGTTTCTTAAGCGATTGATTGCCACTCTAATTTCCAGCAGAGGTTCCACAACATTATCACAAAGAAAAATAGAAGAAATAAAGTAATATCAAGTTCGGTTGGTTCACTGGCCAATCAATACTCAGTCCATTCCCCATCCCACCGTTAGATATTCCATATTAAAAAATTTACCATGCCATATTAGAGCGTTCTAAGAGAAATAATAATCTAGTCACTTTTTGAAAATATGTGTCTACAATACCATACCAGACATTAAGCGATTCAAACCCTCGTGCTTTTATTTCATGTCTAGGATTATTAATAAACCAGTATCGGGTATTTTGTCTATAATAGGACTGTCTTGTGTGGGAATGTGTTTTCATCCGTTCATAAAATAAATCAAAATGATTCTTTTCATTATATCTATTTAACAATCCATCCTGCTCTGTTCTTTCACTAAAATACTAGAATACAATATAGTGTGTTATACAGTTGCAATCAGTATAACATATTCTATTAAATACCAACACATATGTGCTCCATTAAAAGAAACTATAGACGCTCGGATTTTTCGTTGGTAGAAGAAGAAGATTACATGCAAGAATTTTAGTTTTATCAAATAAAATTTTATGCCCGGTTTCATGAGTGTGTTCGGCAACAGCTGATGAGTTTATCTGTCTTAGTTGTAAGTAAGACTCTTTCGTGTTCTTTGAGCCTAGTTGATATTTTTCGTCCGGTCTCTCCAATGTATTCTTTGCCGCATATGCATGGAATGCTGTAAACTCCTGGCGTCTCAAATGGAATTTTGTCTTTGACGGACCATATGGTCAGCGTAGGATTGATTTCGGCCTCATTGCTATTGAGTTGGAAGATAATAATAACCTGCCATTCTTAGATATTCTTATCAATAGAAAATCAGACCTAACATTGGGTCATTGTGTTTACAGAAAACCTACACACACACACCGATACCTTAATGCATGATCACATCACCATCCGGCCCAAAAATCATCGGTTATCAACTCTCTTGTTTACAGAGCCCTAAAACTATCTCAGCCCGAGCCACTGAAAACAGAATTAAAACACCTTAACTCTGCTCTTCTCTCTAATAATTTCCACATTAAAGATATTAAACCTTCCATCAAAAAATACACTTCACCACAATTTTCCAATAGCAATAAAGCCGAAAGCAATCCTACACTTGCCACTGTGGTCCTTAGTTACATTCAAAACATCACTGACCATATATCAAAAGTTCTAAAGAAGTATAACGTCAAAACCAGATTTACCACTTGTCCAAAAACCTCTCAACATCTGCGGTCCGTCAAAGACAAAATTCAAAATATCAACTATGCTCAAAGAACACGAAAGAGCCTTACTTACGACTAAGACAGATAAACTCATCAGGGAATCGGGAATCAGTCATCCGAGACCGTGTTTATACACCTCATTAGCCCCCCCCCCTCCACAAGCAATATATAAGCTGGTACAGAGTAAAATACGAGCTAGTTTCAGTCAAGCTCTGAAGAAACCAACAGGATGATTGGTGAAACGTCAACAATTTCGACTAAGCAAAAACCGACGCAGGAGGAATCCAGAAGTTTTGTAAAAAGCAAAAGAGTTACAGCCAATCAAAATGTTATGAAGATACATTGGGAGGATGTAATTTTTGATAATCTTGCTTACTTTCAATTAACGTCTTAAAAATTCTGCCATTTTGGGATGAAAACTGGCCAAAAACAACAGCAAAACTTGTAATTGTGGAATGGTCTAGTGCATGCTTCAAAACTTCCTGGCAAATGCCATCTTTATTCATAATATATTAAAGAAATGATTAACATTTCTAGGCAAAACCTTTTCCTTCTAGCTTTTCCATTGATTTTCAACAATTACTGGAAGCTTTAGTAATTGCTTATTGAGTTCTACTATCTTTATTCTTTAGCCCTGATGTTGATAGCTGTTCAGTATACTTACCGATTTTGTTGGAATTCATGACATAGAAAATGGTCATAGCACCAAACACGTAATGCAAGAAAGGGGCAATTCCACCCCTTTTGGGCTGAACATATTTGTGTTGCCATCTCCAATAAGCTGAAATCAAAACAAAATTTAGAAAAACAATAATCCAAAAAGGAATAAAAAAACATACAGACTCAACAAAATTTATAACCCTTTTTACTGATTTTCTGTTTTTGAGATAAACAAAATTTTACAAAACGCCCTCTAGCAGCGATACAAATCAAATAAATCTGCTCAGGGCAGTATTAATAGCCTAAAGAAAGCCCCTATTGACAACTCCAAAATGTGTTGGGTCATTCTAAAGTTAATGACATTTATTTTGGAAAATTATAAGACATAGAGCAACCAACTTTAAAACCGTACTAATTTTGGTTGGCAGTAATGTAAAATGAATTCCGAAATGGTAAGTGTTATGAAAAATTTGCAGGGAACCAGAAGTTTCTAAATAAAACATAAAATTTAAAAAATATATTTTTTTAAGTTATAGCACAAATTCTTCCAAAATTTTGATAAGAAAAGGGTTTTTATAATAGTAATAGTTAGATAATAATTTATTGTTCTATTTCCATGTTTAAAATAAAAATGCATTATTTTTCCGCCATACCACCCTTTATTTTAAACAAGGAATCACCCCCCTACATCTTTCGCATTTTTATTTTAAAACACTCTTTACACATCATTATTATGACCTATTGTAGGAAAAATTTGATACTGGTCAACCCCATTTACTATTTATTACTCTAACTATACCTCTGCTGAAAACTCCAGCTATTGCTGAAGGGGTCTTGTTACGACGACCGATCCATGCTCCTACTTCAGACAATTTTAATTGACCGAATGGGGTATCCGCTGAAATTAATAAAGTGAGTGTTACATAAGTTCTGGAACTGCCAGGTTATAATGAAAGGCCGTAACATTACTAACGTTTGCCATAGTATCGTGCTGGATCATAAGGGCCATGCCTTTTAGGATCGTATTCAACTGGATAATCGCCGAATCCCATCTTTAGTTTTTTAATAAATTGAAATTTCTCTTGACACCAACTGACACGAACAGACCACAAAGAAAATCATAGATTGAAAAAACCAAAGGGCAGACATTCCCACCGCGAAAATAATTTGGTTACTCAAAGATAATGGTTGCGTTCCGTAATTAAATTGGCTTTTGATGACATTTGTTTTTTTTTTGTTTTGGCTATATTTTGTTATTTCGTTGTTATATAGGTCCAGGTAGCGAATAAATAAATCAAATAAATTTTAAAAATATTTTCAAGCAAAAATCTCAACTGTCACATATTGAATAGCCCTTCTCAACATTTTTCTTATCATTGCTTCACAGGTATATGTTATAATGCTATAAATTTGAGATGAGAAGTAAATTACCATTAAATTTCTGTTTTCTTAAAATATTTGCATTCCCTACCTGAATCAAAATTTTAACAAAAAAATTCACCCAACCAGATATCTTAACTGGCAACGGCAGAATTTTCATGAATTTCTTTGGAAAGCGAACGCAGCGCCTATCTTCTGTTGTTTACCATCATCTATGTTTCTTTGCTTGGTTGACGTTTCTCATAAACGTCGACTGAGTTTTAGGTTAACAGACTGATTTGAATTAAAAACGATTTAATATCCAGGCCAATTACGTGAACATTATGTGAAAAGTTATTGATACAAATGCGCTAGTGTCCAATGAGGCTCGACGGTTATGTTAACCAACGTGGAGGTTAAGCATTTGCTGGAAACAGGCCAGGAAGTTGAAGATAAAGATGAAGGGTCTGATAGTGATTCCAGTATTGAAAGTTTACAAGCAAACGATGCGATATTCGAAAATCCTTTAAATAAATATATGATTAGGATGTTTGATCTAACCAGGGAATTGGCTTTATTTTGTTTAGTTTTAGTGGCATATGCTGCACTGACACATGAGTAAGTTTTCTTGATGTTTTTTAAACCAATTTTTTAATATTTTATCATGTTTAAGGGAGTGAGCAATAGCAAATTAGTAAAAATTACCAAAATTTTATAGTTTTCTATATTTTTCTGTATTCTGAATAGAGTTAATGAATGAAGTATTTAATTGTAATTTTTTTATTTTACTTCATGTTGTGTTATTTGTTATAATTTTTTTTGTAGCCCACCGAAGGTGTCCAAGCCACCCGCAGCCTATCCTTTTTTCCTTCCTGATTCTCCGGTAAAGGATTGGTATAGGGGTCAGATCAGCAAAGCCATTGAATTGGCTCGTACCTCTGACTTGTCACTTATAATGTATTATTCCCCATGGGATGCTGAAAGTCAAGCAGCAAGAGAGCATTTTGAAGCTGCGTCTGTGTACATGAAGGGTATAGTTGAGTTTGCAGCTGTCAATTGTTGGCACCCACAAGGAGAATGTCGAGCTCAGTATACTAAAGTTTACAGGTACATGAAAAGAGGTTTTTTTGCCCTCTACTCCAAAATGCTCAATTATCCACTGATCAGATGTGCCCATAGTATCACTTCAAACATCAGCTTCATTAAACATTACCAAAAGCAATGTTGAGCTTTTTCAATACTTTAGTCATGGGCTAAGAGTGACCAGTAGTTCCAATACTTTTAAAAAATGATATTTTCACTTTGTACTGTTGTGTAAAAAGGTACCAAAAAAATAGTGGTATGCAAAGACTTTATAGACTTCTTACTCTGCTGGTGCCTAAACAAACTGGTGACTAAAGTGTCATTTTTGAAACTGGTTGCATAATAGACTATTTTGTAACAGGTTTTCTTCTATTAAAAAATATTTTTGCTTTCTGCTTTACCATATTTGAAATCCAATATTTTTGTTTTTAATTGGTGAAGCAATCAATTGATTTTTGATATTCTTCAGACCACTTTAGCAATCAAATTTTTTACCGCCAATCTCGGTAGTTTACAGTATTTTTTAGACTTATTTTGGTAGACTGTACAGTGGTCACATTTTTTTGGTTTTGATTATGAAGGTAGCTTATTGGGCCTCTTTAACCCATGGCTGCTCTTTTATGAAACGAAAGGTATCATAGTCTTAATCAATCAATATGGAATTACGTTGGACATCACACCATACAATAATATACAGCAGTATAAGTATTTGAAGAAAGCAAAGTTTGCTTCTTTGAAAATTACGCAAATAGTTTTTAAATTTAAAACGCCCTATAAGCAATAAATCAATTTTCAATACTAATTTTGTTAAAAAGTGTATTGTGTAAAATTATGTTACATTTTTCAAAATTTTAGTGTAAGGAAACCTATAATAACATTTTCTTAGCAATCTAAAAATTAAACAATATACAAAATGTTCCATTTAAAATGAGGAAGGTGAGTGCTGTGGGATACTTATGAAATGCCCTATATAATTGCAACTACTTAGAAAAAAAAAGTTCTTATGGATATATAAAAATTTTTCTTTTGAGTTCTATTAAGATCCTAAATTTCTTTATTGAAGATGGCCAGTCATGATTGCGTACACATCTAACTTGAGAGGAGTGCAGTACAGCGGACCGATTACAGCTGCGCACTTAATCAGTTTCCTTCAGAGGTTGCTGAATCCAATTCGAAGGTTTGGCCAGCACCAGATATATGATTACGGAGAGGTTAGTACTTTTTGTTATTAACTTAGTTATTAGATTATTATAACTTTTTCCCACCTAGTATAAGATGTAAGATAATTTAAATACTTTTTATGTTTGTGTGAGAAGCAAAAGTTAGATTAAATTTCGGCTAAACTCAAATTATTGAATATTCAGGTAAGAAAAACCTTGTTGAAACGGGTGCTTATTTTGATCATAGGATACAAAAATGCTGTAATATAAAGAGAGTTCCATTAAAAAAAAAACACGTTTTATATATTAAACATCTTGAACACAACAACCTGTATAGTATAAAAGCAAAACATTCCGAAAACTATGTTTTTAGGTCACAACATTCTGTGCCTTGCATATTGCTTACTTATATTCCTATTTTAGGCATATTTAGTGGCTCAGTTGGACACTTTGCCCGGGAGCTGGGAGTATGGAGTTTACTATCTAGCAGCTTTGAGATATTTGGAAAGAGATCCTCTGGCTAGGGTCACATTCTACGTTGAACCTGTCCAAAATTCGCAGCCGAAGTTGTCTCTGCACCTGTGGCATCAAATTAGGGTAATTTTTTTTAGCTAACACTTACCCACAAATAAAAAAAACTTAAGTAAATCTACCAAGGAAAATGTTGAAAATTATTTTCAACATTATACTGTGGTAAACTTAACATATAACAAGGCTAAATTTCAAAATATCTGTATTAACATCTTCCTACGAACCTCTTCCATGCTTTTCGATCTTGTGCTAGATTCTCTGCTTCCTTCCATGGTTTTCTTTTGTTTTATATTGCTTCAGCTAACATCCTTTTTTTTTGTCTAGCGAATTTTTGCTTCATAAACTTGTCTTGCTGGTCTATGTTGTTCCTTCACCTGCATGTGTTCCCACCATCTAAGTTGTTGCTTTCGAATGAACTCAGCAATTGACTATTCATTCAGCTCTTCAGCTTATTTGAGTGTTTTTGATTCTGTCTTTTCTTGTCACAGTATCCATGACTTACAACCATATGTTAGCACTGGTCTATATTTAGTCTTAAGGACTTGCATTTTTGTTTACTCTGATATTTCTTTCTTGCTAAAAATGTTTTGATGTATTGCGTAGAATAAACTTATTGTTTTGTCTATTCTTTAATTAGTCTCAGCTTCTTGACTTTCAGTATTTTCAATTTGGTACCTAAATTTTTCTACTTGGAATATGTCTATACCATCAATGTTAATAGTAATATTTTGCTATATTGTGTTCATTATTCTGGTTTTGCTGGTGTTGATGTTCATGTTATTTTCCTTAAAAATTTCATTCCATATCTCCAGATTATGTTGTAGACTATGCACTACATTGTAGGCAAATAGTGATTCAGCTATTTCCACTTTCTCTAGCTCTTATATCCTACAAACTTTTTTTCTACTCTTCTCTTCTCTTTTTATACTTCTTATGATCTTATCCATGATTACAATGAATAATGTTGGGCTTAATGCACCCGCTTGTCTTAATCCCACTTGAGTCGCGAATCCTTTTGATCTCATATTATTCTTATTCTCTTATTGTGTCCTTTCTCTCCCATACTGTTGACAATGGAACTCTGTCAAGTGCCTTTCAACACAAAGATATGATCTTGTGCTCCTCTATTTGCCCGAAACCCCCTTTGGGACTGCTTATTGTTAATAACTTTTTCATACATCTTCTTCCTGCATTTCAGCCTTCATAAATTGCTTTTATTTTGTCTTCAAATTGTTATTCACTTCCACCCAGCAATGCTTCTATTAGCATTAGTGTTCTCTCCACTTTTCCATTATGTCTATTTCATTAGTGAGTATTTCTTTTTGTCTGTTTCATCATTTTTTGTCTCTGTTCTAAAGGATTTTGGTAATTTATAGAATAATTTCTGATTGCTTGATTTATTTTCTTCCATTATGTTTCCAGATGGAGTTAACAATATTTATTTCCTAAAATGTGAAAGCATCCCCTCACCATTTTCCTTTTAGGAAGCATTGAATAAAAGCGATTTGAATTTATCTCGGCTTTACAGCAATTCTCACTTTAACTATGATTAAATTAGAATATTTTGTATAAACCGCTTTTTAAAAATCGATCGCAATTACGCCACCTGGTGGTGATTTCAGAAACTAATGTAAATCTGTATGAAAAATTAATTATCACGACCTACCCCATATCATGGTCAACAGTAATTTTAAACAAAAAATGTCGCTGGAGAATTGGTTGGGTACAAGAATCAATATTTATATTTTGCTAAACCAGGTATTTTGGAACCAGTTTGTGACATTTGTGAAGCAATTGTCAAAATTATTTTTTAACTCTCTCTGCTGCGCCTCGTTAAAAAAACCAGTTCTCCATTACCAAAGCATCATTTCGAGCACTAGACACAAAAATAACTATCTTGCCGTAGAAACCTATGGTTAATTTTTAATCTAGACGAGTAATGTAGGCTATACAAGGTATTATTCAAATGACGTGATATAATTCTCATATAGTCTCATGGTCAATAGACAAATGCTAAAAATATTCGTTGTAGTGGAAAAATTCATACAAAAATTTTGTACAAAATGAGGTTGGGGTTAGCCATTAAGTACGTTTCTCACATTATTCCTGAAACCTGTAGATAAAGAAGAGATCTTTAAAATGTTGAACAATCTTCCTAATAACTTTTCTGCTGATATTAATAAATGCTTAACATCCGGAACCTCCCCTGAGGAGCTGAAAAAGGCTAAACTCAAATAAGGAGACCAGGCTGTGCTGTCCATGTATAAGTCTTGCTTTTATAACAGAGAAAAAATCGACAGAAAAGAAACGGTTGTTGTTGTTGTTCGATTTGTCTAGGGCCTTTGAAACCATCGCTCACCATCTGTTGTTTAGGTTTCGAGGTAATTGTTAATATTGTTAATTTAAATCATACATGGGAACACAGCGCAATATTTTTAGCAACTAATCTAACTTTTATGGAACAGAGTCGAGAAAATATCTTTTTTCAGTATTAGTGTGTGATTTCAGCACCAATAATTTAATACATCGAAATGTGAAAAAAAAATGCTACAAAAAAAATCTTATAATTATTGTTAGCAAGGACATTGCGCAACACATAAATTTAAAATACAAAAAATAATTAGTTTCATTATAATTGCTAACAAAAATGTGATCGGCTTTATTACTTTATCTGCTAACATGACGAATGGTTCTCAGACGTAGCAATTATTAAAGCGTGTGTCTATGAAAGCTTGCTTTAACTGGATTTGGAAGATTCATTTCCTTGTATTGTTCAAGATAAAGGCTATATACACTTCATATATGTTAAGGTTACCAGATGTACCTTGTTTGAGCTATTGAATTGACCTGGAATATTTCGGAAAACAATTCTGTGATTATTCAACAAAAAAAATTAAAAACAATTTTGATATGAAGAATCATTTAAGGCATTACTAATATTACGCTAACAATCTATGTAAGTGAATGAATTCATACTTGAATATAGGAACCACAATATTAAGATTTAACACACTGAACATCAAATATAACTTTCCAAAATTAACATCATACTTACCCCCAAATTTTTCATGTCCGTCTCGATCTCCATGGGCTCCGTTTGGACCATCCATATTTTGAAAATATATGCAACACAAAATAATAAATTTTATATATTGAACACAAATATTTCGAACACTAAGGAGAAACATTGCTGCTATCTGTGTCAACTGCCTCTTAACATATGGCGTTATTTATTTATTACTTTTTATGCTTCTTGCTATATGGTGCGGCTAGCACCACAATACACTTATATATCTGGTGTTCACGATATAAAGGAACCCGCTGGCGCACTTAACTTAGTTGGGCTGCAAATGTCACCCCTTTGAATCTGAGCGCCTCAGTTGCGATGGATGTGATGTTCCAACTAGTGTTGACGTCAAGTTTGTTTTTGTAGTTTGCGGAGTTTGATTGGGTGGAATGGCAGCCGGAAACAATCATCCAGTTCGTATTGAATCAACTGGAGCAGTCGAGCTCTTGGATCTTTCCAACAAATACCAAGAGTAAAATGCTGTCCAATCAGTTGCAATCTGGTCCCGCAATGGTTATGTTTACACCAAACAATCCCCTTCACGGGAGCAGCGACTATTATGATATGGTAAAGTAGGTTTTCATTCTATGGTTTGCTTTTAAAAAAGTGACGCACGAAAATTTTTTATTAAAAGCACAAAGTAGGCAAATAATTGAGGTTATGTGTAATGTCGCTTAAATAAATTTTGTGATGCCGAACAGCAGATCTTCTAGGATCACGGCACCATTCGATCAAAATTGTTTAGTATGTCAAATCTTATAGACTTATTAAGGGAATGTTTCTAACTGTTTTGTCTTTACTGATTAGATTACAGTGTACCATGTGTCCCTTTTCGGTTAGTTTTGCGGGGAAGATCTTTATTTTAATAGATAAAAAGTTGCGGTTTGCATTGTTTAATACTAGACCACGAATAACAAGAATAAACAATTCAAAGTTACACACTTTTTATAAAATTTTTGATTTCCTCCTGCGTCGGTTTCTGTTGACTCGAACAGTTTCAGTCAAGCTCTGAAGACGCCAACAGGATGATTGGCGAAACGTTAGCAAGTTCGAGTCAACAAAAACAGACACAGGCGGAATCCAGAAGTTTTATAAAAAATATTACAGTAGCCTGTGGAAGTTTCTTTGAAAAATTGAAAGTTACCAACAAGAATTAGATACCTTGCTTCGCCAGGATGCAAATGTTGCACGATATTGAATTTCTATTATCATCATCATCATCATTTGGATCAATAGGCCAGTGGTCTTGATTGACTGAACAAATTTCTTGGGTTAATTTAGGCATTTCATTTATTATATAATCATTTCGCCGTGGCCACAACCAACTTTTTTATTTCAAATGGATGAGTTTATTTGTCGTAGTCTTAAGGCCCTTTCATGTTCTTTGAGCCTAGTTGACAGTTTTCGTCTGGTCTCTTAAATGCATTCTGTGCAGCATTACATTAGATCCACGGGATGTTCTGGTTAGTTTCTACGTGGAATCACTCTTTACTAAGGCCCCTGTTTCTGAAACTCTCAACACTATTTCATATATATTAAAATCCGAGAATCTGGAACCAAACCTTTTCATCTTAATTGAATAATGCTTGTCTGGAACATATTTCTCTTATAACGGTCAACACCTTTGGGTTTTCCATTATCACCAATCATCGCGAATATATTTGTGAAAGTCTTTGAGAAGAAAGCCCTCAACACCTTTCGTCTAAAACCAAAATTATGGAAACGCTAAGTTGATGATACTTTTGTTATTTGACCTCATGGTCAAGAATCCCTACAAGATTTTCTTAGCTATCTTAACTCTATACACCCTAACATACGTTTTACCATTGAATTAGAAACCAATAATAATATCTTATTACTTTGTCACATCACCATGCGGCCCATCGGTTATCAACTCTCTTGTTTATAGAGCTGCAAAACTATCTCAACCCGAGTCACTGACTCCAGAATAAAAATACCTCACATCTGCTCTTCTCTTTAATATTTTTCACATTAGAGATATCTAATATTTTCCATATTAGAGATATTAAGCATTCCATCACAAAATACACTTCACCACAACCTTCCAAAGACGAAAGCAACCCCATACTTCCTTACATTCAAAAGTTCTTTAAAAATTAACGTCACAACCAGATTTGCCACTTGTTCAAAAATCTGTCAACATCTTAGATCTGTCAAAGACAAAATTCTGTTTGAGATACCAGGAGTTTAGAGCATTCCATGTATATGCGGCAAAAAATACATTGAAGAAACAGGACGAAAAATACCATCCAGGCTAAAAGAACACGAAAGAGGATTAAGACTACGACAAATAAACTCAGTTGTTGAAGGCAATCACGAAATCAGACATAAAATTTTATTTTAAGTTTTGTAGTAGTATATGCTTGGATTTTCCAATAATTCGCCAATTATATTCAATTCCTGGATTTCCTGTTCTCTTCTATTGTGGTTTTGATTTTGCTTTGGCTGTTTGAAACTTCCGTAATTGGTAAAATTATTTTTTTACGTCCGAAATATTCGCTTGTCTGGTTGATGCCGCTCTGGATATGTATTGAAATAAAGTTCATTGGCTGCCTCAGTGTTATCATTTGACAAAATATATCCCTTTATTATATCACTCTTTTCATAATTTTGAATTTGAATTTGAATTGCTAAATGAAATAAAAGTTTAAGTTTGGCCACTAAAATTATGTGTGACCGAACACAAAATTAAATACAGAATAAAAGTTGTCCTTAACTGCCGTTAACAGCTGTATGCAAGGGCTATTATTACATAAACAAAAAATGCCCTGTATTTGCGCCTTTTTTCATCACAGATATCAACAAATCCATATGGCTGAAAAGGGCTCGGCACGGACATATGATTGTCATATAAAATAAGAAAGTTGTATAAAAAAATGCTTTAAATAATGTTTTTATCCTAATCCAAAATTTTCATAAACAAAAAAGTTATGGATTTTTTCTGTTGGAAGTCGCCATGCGGTTTTAACTGTTTAAATGTTTCTCAAAAATCTAGTCCTTGACATGAATTAACTACTCGGGACGACCGTTGCCTTTGTTAAAAACTTTATTTAAATTTACAACCGTTTAAAATTGTCTGTTACAATAACATATCTAGACAGAACTCCCCGTCGACACCGTTAAACTACGTTTTTATATGTAGAAATAGGACTCTGCTGGGTCAGCATTCTTGGATCTTCGCTATTGAGATAACTCATGTACGTCCATTTTCCTCTATATAGTTCTTTTTTCTCTTAAAACACTCCAATTGGGATCACCCTGTATATTGTCTAAATACCTGAAGCTCCGTACGTTTGCAACAGCTTGTCATAACAAGCAAAGCCGACCAGCCATGCAGTTTTAAGTTACAAATTGATGCATTTTTGTTATTTAACTACAAAGATATGACAGATAGCCGTTTTAAATTCGCCCGGCGCGCATGACGTCACGCGCAGCTGAAAATTTGAATTTGACGCTGAGTACTTATGGGATATGATACATGTTTACAGTGGAATTGGCAAAGTTTGTTAATTATAATTGTTTAAGGTAAAAAGCAAGTTGCTATTATATTTGTAGAAACCAAATATGCAGATACATATAAAAAAATCGTTACGTTTTGCGTTATAAAATGTATTATAAGATTTATTTACATTTACATTAAAAAAAAACTTACCTGCTTTCTAAAAGAGTCTCCAGTTTCCCTTTAATAGCCCAAAAGTTTCGAAACACAGATTACGTTCCTCGTAACGTCAGTGACGAGACCCGTTGGCTCCGCCCACACGCGCAGTGTTAAACCTTTGTTTGAAGCCTAGTTTTTCGTTTCAAATAAGCGGTTGACAGAAATTTCTCATAACATATTGTTTTGTGTTGAAGTTATTAGAACAATGAAATATCACCAAACATTAAACTTCTTTTTTATGTACATTTATGGCATTTTTGTGCGGGTGAGCTTGTTATATTTTTGTGAAAATTTAACTGTAAAATTTTAATCTATAAATATACAGTCCTCTATTTAAACAAACATGACTTTGGTATTTAAGTCAGAAATAATAAATGTATAACAAAAATTATGTGCATTCCAAGGACAACAATGTATAAGAATTTTATTTTACCTGTTCGATAAGTTTAATGTTAATGGACGTGCGAGTCATCTTCAAAAATGTCCTGCATTCAAAAAATATGAAAATGCTATTATCAAAATAACGGTGGTACTCCGCAAATGTACCCCGACTTTGATAATCTGTACAACAACGAAGATATGCAATATTTTAAAATACCTTTATAATATTGTTCGCAGCTTCGAGAAGTTGCGCAAGAATATAAGAACTGCGACAATCGGGGCATTAATTTTGACGTGGCGGAGAGACGCTTGAGTATGTTGCAATGCGCTTCCGTTAATCGCCTGATTGCAGAAGTCCCTCATTTTCAGGAAACTCCGCCCAACACGACCATCTCAAACAAAGCTGCTTTCTTAAAAAAAGTCATCCCAAGAACGAAGCAATCTCTCTCGTGCAGTACCGCACGTGGTCCAATATATCCACGATCCATTTACCGGAAGAAAAAATCGACTGCGATATGTTACTGCCAGATAAATTAGCGCAGGTGTGTGAATTTCACAGGAGTGCGACCGCAATTACTTGCGAAACCGCTAAAAAAGATTTTAATAAATCTTACAATACGGCCGAGTTACAGGAAGGTATGTTATAATTGTTATTTTCAAATTTTTTAGCGATTTCAAATCCAAATACAACACAAATTGTACTGTTGGTTTTAGTTTAAAAATGGTATTCTTTATACCTACCTAGACGCGCTTAAAAATATTTGCAACTTCCTAACAATCCTGCTTTGCAAATTTTAAGCAAAAAAGTTATCACATAAAACATTATGCACATTTTGACGAAATATAGGGAATTTCAAAACAAATACGAATAACTTTAGAGGTGATTGGTTTGTTTAATATAAATGGTAGTTTGTTTTATAAACGTTGGTTCAAAAGTCAACCATTAGCGGGATATCGCGATACAAATATGCCCGAAAAATAATGCTTTTATCTTAATTGTTTTAATTATTTATTTTCTTTAAATTGATAATTGGTAGATCAATGAAATATTCCCCAAGTACTACAGTATAAAAACACATTCTGCAAATTTTTTAATGAGTGAACTAACTGAATTTAAGGAAAAACTTATGCAAATATATTTTTTTATCTTATGTTTCCAAGCCATGCATAACCAGATAAAAAAAATTATTACATAAAAAAACTTAATGGGCTGCTGTCACTTCTTAAGACTTTTCTTATTATTGCTCAGTTCATTTGAACGCAAAATACGATTAATTTAATCAATTTTTTTTATCGAATCATTAAATTGTGCAATAATAAGACACCGCTAAATTCGAACACACGAATTAGAAATTGCTGTGCTAAATATTGTCGAATGGTAAACAAAGACAAATAGCAGGAAAATTGCAGCAGAACTGAGTAATCACGCACTGATTGTATTGTTATTATTGGTATTGGTATTAAAGGGGGACGTCCAAGCACTTAGGCTACCAGATAGGCCCGTTGTGCCCCCCTGGCCTCTCTAGAGGGCGTCCAGAATGCCGCCCCTCCTATAGAAGGTCAGCAACTCCTTTAGCCCAATACCGTGCACTGAGTCCGGATCGATCAGGGCCGTTCCGAAGACTCCCAGTCTTGCCCGTGTCAAAGCAGGGCACTCGGTGAGCACATGGTACAGGGCCTCCTCCCCTTCCATCTGCACTCCGGGTCGTCTCCAATGTCTAGCAATCAAAGATGTCCAAGCCCAGCAGCTCTCTAGTCCGAGGGAGGGCGGGTCCATTTATCATAAGCCTCGCCTGCCTTATTCCCGTAGCAACTCTCCAGCCCACCGCGGCCCGGTCTCTCGCCCAGGCTTCGAGAGCTCCCCGCCTCACACACGGGGCGATCCCCAAGCGGGGCTCTGGTCCCATCTGCCTATGCGAGGAGCCCTCCCTGGCTAAGGCGTCCGTTGCCTCATTACCCCGGACACCGGTGTGACCCGGGACCCAAACCAACGTGACCTTTCTCTCCTCAGTACCCCTTTGCCCTCCTTTAACAACAAGGAGCGCGTTCGCACTGACTTCAGCGCCATAAGTGCCCCCTACTATCCTAGCAGAAGAAGACCCTCCTGCTTCCGTGGTTGAGCCGAAGCACCTCTCTGGCCGCCATCAATATAGCGAAAATTTCCGCCTGAAACACAGTGCAGTACTGACCCAGAGGGACCGACAAGCTCGATCCCATTGTCTCGCAGTACGCCCCAGCTCCGGCCAAGTCTCCCATTCTGGACCCGTCCGTGTACCAGACAAGTCCATCCCAGCACTGATTGTATGCAGTATATTAAAAGCACAACAGTTATATCTATACCATGTACAGAGCATTCAAGCTCTATTGGATGATTTTTTCCCAGTGGTTTCGCCGAATGAATACCGAGGATCTTTCTTTTTTTGTCTAAAAATTTCCTTATCGGATGACGTTAGTTTCTCAAATTCAAAACGTTCATTAGATATATGGGCTGAAAATAACTCGGATTCAATATCCGTTTGCCTTTTATATCTGGTTAGAAATTGTCGATGATCATTCCATTGAGCCACATTTTCCACATTGAAGATTAATTTGCGAGTGCTATTTTCCTATTCTACAACAGGAACTACGTTATTTGACAGAAAATGTACTCCTATTAACTACAAGAGACATGTATTACATGCGAAAGTTTTGAAATCGTACTTATGAAAACCCAGTGGACAGCTGTATAATTTGCCGCCTCAATCCCTAGATTTTTCAGTCCTTTCGAATATGGTATAATATAATTTAACGACTTTTTTGTGGATTCCGTTAGAGAAATAATAAATAATATAAAAACAACACAAACAACTAATCAAAAATCTTCAAGTCGAAGTCTATCTTTAGCACCTTTCAGGGGTGTTGACTTTCGATGCATTATTTCGTCAGTTATAAAAAAAGATTCAGCTGGGTACGATGAAATATCCTGTTCCTTAATAAAACGTGTTCCAGATTTTATAGTTGAACCTCTTACTTTTTTGATTAATCTGTCCTTTTCAGAAGGTGTATTTACCTCAGCCTTAAAACAATCCATTGTTGTGCCTATACACAAGAAGAATAATACCCATTAATCTATCGGTTTTTTTCCAAAATATTCGGAGTGTTTTTACGTGCGGCTCGATGCATTTCTAAAGAAGGGACAATTTTTCTCGAATTCTCAGTTTGGTTTTCGCAATGGATTATCTATTCAAGACTATAGTTTCCTTATACAATCAAGTAGTCTCAAACCTAGATCAGAATAATAAAACATTATGTATGTTGTCTGACTTCAAGCGAGCTTTTGATGTGCTTGATATTAATTTGTTGAATAAGTTAAATAATTGCGGTATGCGGAGGAATAGTAGGATTGAGTCGTTTTTGAAGGGTCCAAAGAGTTGCGCTTAGAAGTTATACTTCTATGATTAGATCTTCATCTAAAGAACTCATCAGCGGTGTCCCACAGGGAAGTATACTGGGACCTTTATTATTTATAATATTTATTAATGATATATCTGATTCTTTCTCAAAAAATTATGTTTCCTTATATGCAGTTGATACTGCTGTGGCAATGTCATCTAGGATTCTGGTAAATCTCACGTCCTTGGCCACTAGGGCAGTAAGTGGTATGATCCGATATTGTGAGCGTAACGGTATTTGTTTGAATTGGACAGAGACTAAGATGATGTGGTTTTCGCTTAGGGATTTGGATAAGAGCTTATTGGTTAGAATGCAGGATAAATCGATTAATCAGACTAACATTTGATTTGTGTGATTTTTCCTGGACAGGCCAAATTGACTATGTATTAAACAAAACGGCTATCCCTACTTTTGTTATTTGGCGACTGCGATTGAGTGTGGATCTTCACCTTTTACTATTGTATTATTTCGGATATGTTCAATCCTGCTTATTTTACACTATTATATGCTGGGAAACTCCTCCAGAGCTATTGAAGTTTTTGTGCAACAAAAACGTATTGTTCGAACAATGTTACATAAAAAGTAATCTACCTAATTGTTGCATGACCAGAATTGATGGAGATTACACTTTTAGAGGCAATCTTAATTTGCAGGCGCCAAGTCATAAGTTACCCAAAGTATGATTTTACCAATAAAACTATATAAGTTGCCTTTGTCCGTCATACAGATATTGCTTGTCCATTTATTTAAGCAAAAATTAAAGCTCATTTTGAATAGGAATGTTTTTTATTTTATCAATGAATATTTTGTAGTATGCCGATCTCTCAGTGCGATATACTTTGTGTGTTTTTTTTCTTTTGTTGATGTATGCTTTTAAAGTTTGTATTTTAGTATTCTAATGTTTTTTTTTACTTGTTGACATTATACTTTTGTTAAAAGTTAATGGAAATAAACATTATCATTATCTGGGGATATCTAAAAGAATTAGTGTACACTGTATGCTACTCCAATACAGCATATCGAAGATCTATGAAAGTTCCATATTCCAGCGTCCTGGGGACCCAATAATGCGTAGGATAAATGCATATATTATATCGAAAGGCACAGGCACAGTTCAACGAATTATATTTTTATTTTGCTTATTTATATTATTTAAATAAACAAGTTTTTCTGCCTCCTTCTGTAAAATGTCTAATTATACACCGATTTAGCGTACGGAAAGTGTCATTTTACCACGTCCGTTTCGTTTCCCACGGATTCGAGCCACTTCTAACATTTCCGGGATATTACCTCACGGGTTTGGGAGCAATCGGATGTTTTCGGAGATTTTACCGCTTGGATTGACGTTTGTCAATTCTGACTGTCATATCAGTGAATATAATCGTGTTGTTTTGCAAAAATGCCTCCAAAAACTAACGGTCGTAGAAAAAGTTTAGTATCCATCAGGTTTGGTAAACTGTTTAAATCATACGTATATTAAGCTCTCACTCCGCTCGTGCCAAATGAAGTCGTGACCGAAATGCCGTTTACTACACTTTTTGCATAATATACTATTACACACGAATAGATCAATTAGTTTCAGAAATGTTTATTAATAAATTGCTTTTAAAATGTAATTATTTAGAACATAGCTGATAAATGTAAGTAGAAAATACAATTGTTTGACAGCACCCAACAAAATTATTTCTCTAAATATATACATGAGGTTTTATTTTAAAATAAATTAGTGTCGTCTTAGTCCGCCAAAATAGACATCTGAAAATCTGTACACCCGCCACTAGTAGATTTAAAAAAATTGTGGTACACTAAATATCTAAAGTGGTATTACAGATATTAAAAAAAAAAAGTTTTATTTTTCAAACATTTACCACCATGTATCCCAAAAGTTAAGATGTTTAGGACATATGTTTACATTTTATTTTTTTATTTGGAAACTAAGTCGTATGAAAAAAAAAGCAGGAAATTTCCAATAAATCAGTCTGTCGAAATTTATTTTTTCCGTGTCATTGCATAAGTCTTTCTTTTAATTTACTTAAAAAGAATAATAGGTCCCTCTCATTCAATGCCCGTCGCTTAAAATAAAAATAAAACATAAAAAATAAAAAGATGCAGAATATGTTTTTATAACAGATTTCAGTAGTATTAAATTATTCTATCTATATTCTTTTTTAAAATAAAAAGTAAATACATCACTTTCCACCATATTTTGACCCAACGTTACTATACATAGATACTATACTAAATTAATTTGTGGTTAATAATAAAAATAATGAAATAGCTGTCATTATAAATATTAATTATGAGTTAATTTTAAACGGAATCCCCTGTATTTTATTGTGGCAATAAAAAGAACGATTCATTGTTGATCTAAAAGTTTTTTTACATACCTTACCTATTAAAAATCATTTTAGAGTTTATAGTAAAAAAATAAAGTATCAAGAAGATCCAAAGAAAATTTTCAAAAAAAAAGAAACGTTCAACAGAAGAAACTGACAGATTCCTTATAAATTGTTTAAATAAATTCTCAAACTCCGTTCTCAAAGCATATCACCACTGCTTACTTCTAAAACAAATATTTGATTAAGTTGCATTATTCTAGTTTTTTGTTTTTAACTCCAAAACTCTTCAAAACAGGTATGGTACGTTTCAAATTAGGATTGGATGGTTCTTTTAACTGTCGCAATAAAATACAGGAGTAAGTTTAAAACTAAATGTGCTCGATTTTCTAAACGGCCTATATGCGATAGTTCAAATCTCTTGCCATAATGTAACACAGCAGCCTACTAACAAGTCGTAAACAAAATTTTACAATTTTATCTAAAACTGTTGAGAGATAGAAAATTATTTTCTAATTTGTTACATAGAAACTTTTAGAAAGTTTATATGAAAGTGTGAAGTTTGTGTGTTGTTCGAACAAGTATTGCAACGCTGCAATGTCGCAACTCAGTCCGTTCAAATTCAAGAGGTCCGCGCCACTGGCATAATATATAAAACGAAGTTCCCATTGATTCTCTCGCTTTATCCGTCACGCTTCTTTTCATCAGTTTTCTCTGTAAATTAGTGGTACCGTGAAAATTTTCTGTTTCAGTAAACGATTATAGATCGTTAAGGAATTTGGCAAAGTTTGCGGAAAATGAGCGATGCAGACTCTTTTTGGCCGCAGAAAACATCTTTCCGGCCGTGTTCGAAGCCAGAGAAGAAAAAGAACGCCCCAGACCAGAAGTTCGTGGGCTGTCTTGTAAAACGAACAGCTCTTTAAATTTCGTCGCGATGGACAGTCTGTTATATTACAATTTCGCCGAGAATCTGGGCGTGAATCTAGCTAAAGTCAGTTCTAAAAGTATCGTCGTTATCATTGACGAAAAGGTAAGCCTTAATTTTGCAAAAATCGCTTTATAAGATGTATGAAACAACAAATTGTTGGGTTATCCTGCGGTTATTTATTACTAGATGGGGAAGTGATCGGCAAACGATATACAGCTGTTCAGCTTTGCCAAACTGTTTTGTGTCTTCGATATAATAAATATAAATATTTAAATTGTGGTTATTTTACATACTATTTTTTTCTTTCATGTTTGCAAGTTCTATTTCAATAGAGATACACTAAACTGAGTTTATTCAAAATGTTAAGCACTTTTACTTATGAAAAATTAAACAGGCATAAAAATCGGGTATTCTAAGATTGATTTATGTATTCATTGGGACAACGAAATACTCGATTTTTATATACAATTCAAAAGTGCGAATGTTGTCAGATTTTACGCTTTGACGTCACACGTCATAATTCTTTTATTTTAAATGGAATAAGATGTTTATTTTTGTTTTAATGAATTGCCCATGTCGAATTGGATAAGGTCTCATAATTTCAAAAAAATCTATTAATTACTGGCCTGCGACAATACAGTTTTTTCAATAAAAAAGATCAAAGACCATTATTTATCAGGTCTGAATTCTTACTATTCCTCGAACAGAGTGATGAAGTTATTTGTTTTATTTGTTATGATTAAGGAGCCGCAAAATGCAAGCGAAGAACCAAAAATTCTATGCATAAAATTTTCAAAACGTATGCATCGAAATTAACAAAAATTGCAAATATCGTGCTGGCTTCCTCAGAGCTTAACTGAAGGTGGCTCGCATTCTACTCTCTACCTATTGTTTGAGAGGAGCTGAGCTAATAGAGGGGTTTGAATATTTCCTCGCATGACTGATTCCTATAGTGGTGAAAGGTAAAGACCTGAGTGACGGTTAAGATTGTTTGGTTGTTTATCTATTTCAGTGAATTCTCGGATTTTTCGTTGGTAGAAGAATTGATTACGTGGAAAAACTTTAATTTTATCAAATAAAATTTGATGTCCGGTTTCGTGATTGATTTCGGCAACTGCTGATAAATTTATTTGTCGTAGCTTTAATGCTCTTTTATGTTTTTTGAGCATAGTTGATATTTTTCGTGCGGTATCAGGTATTGTCGCATATACATGGAATGTTGTAATCTCAAATGGAATTTTATCTTTGACTTAACAAACGGATCGAAGATGTTGAGGTTCTTGGACAAGTGGTAAATCTGGTTTTGACGTTATATTTCTTAAGAACTTTTGATATATGACCAGTGGTGTTTTGAATGTAAAGAAGTGGCAAGTGTGCGGTTGCTTTTGGAGTCATTGTTTTTGGAAGGTTTTGGTGAAGTTTGTTTTGTGATGGAACTCTCTATTGTGGAAATTATTAGAGAGAAGTGTGGGTTTAAGGTGTTTTAATTCTGGGTTCAGTGACTCAGTTTTTGATATGTTTACGGCTCCGTAAATAAGAGAGTTGTTAATCGATGATTTTTCGACCTGATGACGCATTAAGGTATCAGTCTGTGTGCCCGTTTTTTCTGTAAATATCTACTATTCTAGATATTCTTATCTATTCTATCTATCTATCAAAATTATTTTAAAAACATCCAACAATTCCCTAAAAGTTATAACACACTATTAACTACTGTGTGACTGTAACAGAAATGAAAACAAAATTCCCAATATTAATATAAAACTTTTAAAATTAAACAACATATTAATTAATGTAAAACTTTTAAAACTAAACAACATAATTAAATATAAATTTAAATAGAAGATAAAATTTTAAATAAAACTAATCAAAAATCAACTAATTAAAAAGGCTAACTTATTTTTAAAATCTCTCAACTCAACCATCTAATTTCACAACATAATAATCACCTCTGACAACTACTACCCGATGTTCACATATGCCCCCATTTGTTTGCTCAATATTAGCTGCACAAATTTAGGGATGGAAAGGAAAAGTATAGAGGTTAAAAATTAAAATTGTATATTAAAATTTAAAATGATGGGCTAAGTATAAATAGACTTAACAGACAATGTGTTCAGCTAAAAATTAAAAAAGGACTGTGGATGCTTTAGTTTGTACGTTAGACAATGAAAATACCGAATTTTTTGTAATATTGCGGGACATTTCAGAAGCCCATGGATGATCTTAATGAAAGTAACCATGCTAGTGACAGCACGAAACATTTCGGGTGCTGGACTGTATTGTTGTTTAGATTTGTTCATTGTTCTTTTGAACTAGTTGGGCTAACAAATCACTGACGCATATTCCATTAAAGGATTTACAACAAACAACTAGTAACAAATGCTAAGTTTCTTCATCCTAGTTTCTAATATTAGTAATATAATATATATACCCCGGAGAAAACTTTTGTTTCATTCGAGATGAAATTATTTATTCTAACAACCCAAACGGTGTCTTCCAGTTAACTTTGGCCTTATCAGGAAGAAAGCTCGGTATAGTTTCTATATTTTTTTATGTCTATCATCTGTACATCATCTAGCAGAGGTTGAAGAAAAATGTTTGCCAAATAAGTTAACAATGGCACATACACTGTCAGCAGAAATCTGCAAACGTATTCTATTAGGGTCTGAACCTGACTTGCATGGTAAAGTTCTTTTAACTTAAGAGTATCAAAATTAAATAGTAATAGTAACCACTTCATCAGCCTTATGGTTGTGGACATTCAAAAGGACGACAGCACAACACACAATGTTGTCATTGCTAGACCCCATCTATTGTATACGTAAGCTACAGGATTGCCAATCGATGCTAATTACCGTTTCAATTGTTAAGCGCGAGAGTCATTACATCATGGAGGAACCAATAACGAGCGTAAATCTGAGGCGGTTCATTTTGAAATTCACAAACAACAAGCTCGTAAGATCGCTGAACTCCAGCACGTCCGTGGAGTCCACAAATACTCACAGTTACTCGTTTAATTTGAAGAGACTTAACGGCAGCCACATAGTAAAGGTAGAAGAACTAACTAGTCAGAATTTTTTGCAAACTGTGTCGCAAAAAGACGAGGTACCGGTACAATATTAACTTATACTATCCTCTTTGTTATTGTTACTATTTTAGACAGTGGTAGTCATGTATTACTCGAAGCATTGTTCCTTTTGTAGCGGCATATCCCACACGTTCCTAACGCTCGCTAGAAAACTGTCGTTTGTAGAGGGTTTGAAGTTTGCCCGGATCGACGGTGATTTGAACATATTACCGTGGGAGTACACCATGGAAAAGTTTCCGACCATCTTATTTTTCCCAGCCAATAAGTATGTGGACCATTTAGGGCGTTGTTTGCTTCGTTTCAATATGCAATCAAGTGTTTTCTCTGTTTAAACTAGATATGTTTTTTTTACAGAAAATCTGAAAGTAGAGCGTTCCCATCAGATCTATTTATAACGGTACCCAACCTGCTGGGGTTCATTTTAACCAATCTGGACGTAAATTCCAGGCTCCAAGCTATGTACTCAATCTGTATGCATAGTCAAGTAAGTGTAAGCTATTTCCTATAGGTATAACCCATGCTGGAGACGTTGGTTTTGATTGGTTGTATCCCTGCTAGAAGGAGTTTTGCAATATCACTACAAATAAAATAACCTATAATATCGGTAATGGAAATAAAACCAAATCATTTGAGAATATTTTAGCGACATTTACTTTTATTTATTAATATATACAGGATGTTTTCTAATGGAGTGTCAATAATTAAGGGGTAGATTTTTGGGTCCATTTTAAAAAGGAAACTTCATATGAACATATGTCCTAAACATTTTAACTTTTGAGATACAGAAGTTTTTAAAAAAATAAAATATATTTTTTTAATATTACTTTAGATATTTTAATAAAATTTGGCACACATGTACTATGTATCAAGAGGCACTGAACTAACCAAAACTGACCCACTTTAGTAGAAGATACATCAATGTATATGTAAATAAATTACTGTTGACTGTATGACATTTCAAGAGACTCACAAAAGTATTAAAGCTGGTGTAAAAATTAATCAAGGTGATTAGTATACGAGTTAGCCATTCCTACCACAAGTGGGGATGAACGAATTATGTCCAACATTTGTGCGCCTAAAGAGTCGATAAGATACTTTTAGAAATCTGCTATTTCTAGGTGAGACTGAGAGCACCAATGAATATAATTAATGAGCTTAAAAATTAGCTCAAGATATCTTTTGGCCCTCAATGTAGGTAGTTCAAATCTTTCCTGGAGGAATCAAGTAAGTGTCTGTCTGTACCCATCACGGGAGAATGTTTGATTTATAAGAAACTTTCTTTGAACTTTGTTTGTGGAGTTTGACTTGCATTAAAAGGGTTCCAGTGTGAGCATTATTCTAATGAAGGTCTAACTAGGCAACAGGTGTTCTTTTAATGAAGCCAATGATACCAAGCGTTCTCAAAAGTATGGTATCTATGTGACTAACAAATGATAAATTGGAGCCCATTATTACGCCAAGATCAATTAATTATGTTTGGAACCTGAGATAATGGAGAGCCGTTTATGCAATAGCTGAACATAGTTAAATTTTCTATATGCGAGGAGCCCTCTCTGGCTAAGGCGTCGGCTGCCTCATTGCCCCGGATACCGGTGTGACCCGGGACCCAGACCAACGTGACCTTTCTCTCCTCAGTACCCCTTTGCACTCCTTTATCAACAAGGAGCGCGTACGCACTAACTTCAGCGCCATGAGTGCAGCCCTACTATCCGAGCAGAAGAAGACTCTCCTGCTTCCGTGGTTGAGCCGAAGCACCTCGCTGGCCGCCATCAATAAAGCGAAAATTTCCGCCTGAAACACAGTGCAGTACTGACCCAGAGCGACCGACAAGCTCCCGTTGTCTCGCAGTACGCTCCAGCTCCGGCCAGATCTCCCATTCTGGACCCGTCCGTGTACCAGACAAGTCCATCCCAGGAGCCGACTCTGCCCTCTCTCCAATCTTCCCTTGATGGAAAGAGAAAGGTCAATTTGTCAAAGAAGGTCATCTCAGGGATCATGACGTCACTCGGCATGCCCATGACCCCGCGACAGCCCTCTAAAATGTCGTAGGGACCCCGATTGAAGGTTCCCTCCCTCCAGAGCCCGCAGCTCGCCAGCCTCACAGCTGTCCTGGCCGCCTCCATCTGCACCCGATCCGCCAGAGAGGGCAACCCCACCAGAACCTCTAGGGCCCTCGTGGCCGCCGTTCTCATCGCGCCCGTTATGCAGAGGCAAGCCAATCTCTGCAGTTTGTCAAGAACTAGCCTTGCTCCCGCTCTTTTGGTCCCCGGCCACCATGCCACTGCTCCTTGCGTGAGCATAGGCACCACCATGGTACCATAGATCTACTGCATGATCTTCGGCCCCAGGCCCCAAGTGCCCCCTACCGCTCTCCGGCACGCCCACAGAGCTCCAAAGGCCGACCTGGTCCTTGATCTTATATATTCCTGGAAGGTCAACTTAGAGTCCAACCATACGCCCAAGTACTTGACACTTCCGCTTGCAGAAAGAGGCACCCCATCCATCGAAATGTTGAGGTTGCACTCCATCTGCCTTTTTCTAGTGAAGATGACCATCTCCACCTTGCCAGGATTGACAGCCAACTTGCTGTCCAGGCACCATTGTGAGAATCTTGCCAATGCCCCGTTCAGGAGCCCCTGCATCCTCCTCACGTCCGTCCCCTGTGTCATTATCACAAGGTCGTCTGCATATGCCTGAGCATAGACCCCGTGTTCTTCCCTCAGAATATGCAATATCTCGTTCACCACTAGGTATCACAGGAACGGGGACAAGACTTCGCGTTGTGGACAACCCCGTAATGAACCGATGGAGACCTGTTCCCCACCCAGTCTTGCCTCGACCCTCCGGTCGGTTAGCATGGAGCGGATCCACCTTACAATGGCCGTCCCCACTCCAGTACTCTCCACCGCCCTGCAGATCGAGTACAGGGCCGTGTTATTGAATGCCCCTTCGATGTCCGCGAACACGCACACCGACAGCCGTCCCGAGCCCATACCCTCCTCCAACCTGGAAGTCAGATGGTGAAGAGCTGAGCCCACAGACCCGCCACTTCGGTACGCATGCTGAGCTGGCTCTAAAGGGGCCTCCAGCTCCACCCAGTCCCTCAGATACCGGTCCACCAGTCTCTCCAGAGTCTTCATAATGAAGCTGGTGAGGCAAACGGGTCGGTACGACTTCGGGTCCGTGTAGTCACTCTTCCCTACCTTGGGAATGAACACTACCCTGCTGTGTCTCCACAGCTCGGGCACGTACCCCCTCGCCATGGAGGCCCTGAACAGGTCCATCAGCGGGCTGGTCAGGAGACCTCCGTCCCTTTGCAGCAGAGCCGGAAATACTCCATCCCCGCCCGCCGACTTGAAGGGGCCAAAGCTGTCAATAGCCCACCTCAGCCTGCTATGGGTAACCACCCTCCTTGCCGTGGCGTAGTCGCATCCAAGACGACCCCCGGCTTCAATATTCGCAATGTGTCCGGATCAGCAGACCCTGGGAAGTGCGTGTTCAGCAACTGTTGTAGTATGTCCGCTGGTCCCGCTGTGTAGCCACCGCCGGTCCTGCGGACAACTCCCAGTCTTCCCGCAGGGTCACTTCTGAGTACCCTAAGGGGCCTAGCCGCGTCCGGGGTACTCATTACTCCGTCGCAGTAGCCCCTCCAGGCCCTCTTCTGTGATGTGTAGTTCTTTTTTGTACTGTCTGCGGACCTCCCTATGGAGATCTCAGTCCGCACCTTGGCTGCTGCTCCTCGCTGTATTGAACAGCCTCCGCACTTTCCCCCTGAGACGCTCCAGGGAAGAGCTCCACCAAAGAGTCCTCCCCGCCCTATGCTCCTCTGTCTCACGACAGCTATTCTCGAACGTCCGCATCATAGCGGAGCTGACTCGGTCGGCGGCCTCGTCAATCTCCTCCATTGTCCGGTGTTTCCTTGGTAAGCCCCCTAGGCGCCAAGCGAGCTCCTCTGTATAGAGTTCCCAGTTTGTTGCCCGGGGGTTCCTAAATCTAATGGGTTCCCGAACACCCATCTAGAACCCAAAGGTGATGTATCTATGGTCCGACATAGAATCATGTACTATTAATTATTGTTTACATTTTGAACATACTTGTATTTTATCAGTAAATATAGATTTTACTTAAAGGACGAAAATTAGGATTTTATATTTCCAAAGGTGTTATTTCTTTTACTGATATTATTTATTTTTTGGGAAACATTTTATCTATAGTATTGTCGCAAAACGTCTTCTAGCGGCGATAAAAACAATCTACATCAATGTGCTCAGGGCAGCATTGATAGCCTGAAAAGAGGCTTTTGAACAATTCCAAGTCCCGAACATCCTGCACCACCTTCCCTTATCGACTTATCGATTCGGCATTGGGACATCACTAAGTAGATTATATTATGTCAGCAAAATAACACCCTGTATAATTGGCCACACCAACCCACCAAGGCTTAAATGGGCCTATACCTTATCTTGAAAGCTATAATTGTTACAAAGAAAGTTTGAATACAAAAGTGTAAAATTACATACGCCGTTGTAATTTTGTTGCGTTTTTAAATACCCCTTTACAAGACCAATCCAACTATATAAATAAATATATCTAATATAATATTCAGATGACGTTGGAAAGGGTGCATATTAACTTTCAAAACATTTTTGTGCTTAACATATTTTAGAAAATGATACTTTTTAAAACAATATTCAAAATTGAAATGCGATGTTTCGCAAAATATTATTTCTATCAATTTTTGTAAATCAAAACCCCTGTATATTTGCATTTTCGGATAGCCCTTTTAAAAGACGAATCCAACGATATTCATATTTAGAATTTATTGACGAATTTTAATGCAATTATTTAAATTTCTTAGCTTTCTGGCTTAAATCAAAGTGTTTTCAATATTTTTTTAAATGGTTATTTCAAATAAAAATGAGGTAAATGTACCCTTTTTAAATGGAGCACTGTGTAGATTTTTTACTCTAACGTTCGTAAATCATCGACAGAACAAAAAAGGTCATATATAATATTAGCCTAAAATTGAAAATCACCCAAATATCACCACTTTTTTCTTTTAGATGACATGGCTATGAGTGGTTGTGAAAAAAAACTCCATTTTCTTTCTTTTTATTGTTTTATTTGAGTGTAAGAAATGTAAGAAACAATAATAACTAACACCAATTTCCACGTCTTCAGTTATTATAAAAAATTGTTGTCTCCTTTTCGCAAAAATGGTTTCATTATTTCGATAAAGGTGCAGAAAAAATGTTCGAAGAAGGCTGTGCAATATAAAAACTAGTTGTTAAAAAATTAGTTTTTATGTGTTAATTATTAGTTAATTATTTAAATTGATTTTATTGTATCATTTATTCAAAAGTGGTGTTTATATTTTTACGCTGGCACGCTGACCAGTGAAAAGTACATTGCAATTATTACTGAAATTCTGAATGGTTTTCTAGATGAGCTTGACCTCATAAGTAGGCAGAATAAAAATTAATAAATAATAAAACTAAATTAAACGAGAAATATGCCGATAAGTCGCTATATGCTAAAATTTTCAATTTTAGGCTAACATTGCATATGACTTGTTTTGTTCTGTCCGTTTTTTACGAAAATTAAAGTAAAATTTATACAGAATGTTCCACTTAAAAAGAGTACATTTTCCTCAGCTTTTCCGAATTCCTATATTTAATCAGAGGAAAAAATGGTACTGCTCTGCTAATTTAACCGACTTTGTATCTCTATTCATAACAAAGTTTCCAATGATGAACACTTAATTTAGATCAGACTGCATATTAAACGCCATTAATCATTGCGTTGTTCAAAATATAAAAGTTTTTATTTTATTTTTGAAAAGGTTTATCAAATGTTACTGTTTTAAAAATAAAATAATCCATAATTTTTTACAGTATTTTAAAGAAACGATTATCGATACATCAATTTCATAAATATTTTTAATATTGCCTCGGAATTGTTAAAAATCGTCAATCAATTCGAAACGCCAAGTTTCCCATATATCGTTGGATTCGTCTTTTAATGGGCTATCCGAAAATGTAAAAATATGCGGGGTATTTGATTCAAAGAAATTGAGAGAAGTAAAATTTTGCGAAACATCGTAACACTGCGTATTTGATAGAAATATTGTCTGTATTGAAATAGTACAAAAAAATTAAAGATTATTTTATCGGAATCAACTTTTGTATTCGATTTTTTTTTTGTAACACTCATAGATTTAAAGATAAGATATATGCCCCTATTAAACAATCCACCCAACGCATCCATCAAATTTACTAAATTAAATAATGGGAATAGGAACTAGAATGCGATCTGTAGGATGGCGCCACGTGGGTCATATTCTAAAAAAAGCTCTCGGTTTCAGCCAAAACGGGACAAATTCCTGTGCTTGTCCAACTTAAGAAACGAAATCTTGACGTTAATTGAAATGACTTTGAAAGATTGGAGAAAGTCGAACAACAGGCGACGGCAGCGGTTGCTCCGCAACCTGAAGCAGTTGAAGCGGCTTCAGGTGATGTTTGGTCACTCGCCCGAAGATATTCATTTGGTTCGAGTCCACTTAAGGAAATTGAATTTGCAAGTCAGTGACGCGATAAGCGACGATTACGCTAGGGACGAATTATAACATTACGTTTTCGTTTTTTTTTTGCATCTTGTTTGGGAAGAAATTATCGGTAGCGTTGTAAAATATTTCCAAAAATTCAAATCTATAAAATTATGTACAGTGTGTCCCGGTTCCGTCGTTATTGCGGGGTATCTCGGTTATTGTTAGAGATGCTATCCTCCATTTTTGTAAAACAGGTGACGTTTGCTAGCTGCTTTTGTTTTTGATCTACAGGAGGAAATCTATGTTTTTGAAAGTCCCTGTATCACAATGAAAGTCTTATAGGCATTTTTACGTAGAATCCAGTGGCGTATTCAAATTTTTTGGTATTTTTTTTTAAATAATAATAATGATAATTGTAATTATAATATTGTTAAGTCATATAAAATTAGGAGTGTCAAAAATGTGTTTATTATATATTTTTGAAAAGCGCATATAAAGGGGCATCAAATTTAATTTAAAAAAAAATAGAGTGTGTCGTTTAAAAAGCACAACTTATTTTTGGATTGGATAAAACTACCAAGTTCTGCTCAACAAGGTCTGCAAGGTTTTACTTGAAATTGAAATTCTCCTTTTCTCTGCTTGACAGAGCACTACATCAAAGATATTCTCTGGTTTCTGGGTTAAGCAGGAGCAATCTGGAGCAGAGGTAACATCCGTACAAATGCTTTCTATTGACCAAGTAATAGAGTGCTCAGCATCAGTTATAAAAAAAAATTCAAAGATCTTACTTGATGGCGACCTTAACATAAATATGCTGGAATCTAGTGCAAAAAGTCATTTACATACATTTTTGACATATAATCTAATTCTTTAATTAATCAGCCTACAAGGATATTAACGAACATGTTGGGACAAACGAGTTCAATACAGATTGATTATATTGTCACAAACATAGACTATTGGAATGTATCAGTCAGGCTTCTCTGACCATTTGGCCCGAAGAATATCCTGGGACCCTGGGAATACTAATACAGTTAATAAAAAGATTACAATTCCAAAAAGATTAATTAACGTCGGCAAAATAAAGGAATTCAGATATTTTAGTTAAATCAGTTAATAATTTTCAAGTCATCCACCGCAAACGAAGCCTATAAGTTCTTCTGGGAACAACTAACTTCAGTGGTGCTTTTTAGCTAGCCGTTCAATTAAAAAGTAACAAAGAAGATTTGTCAAAGAATAATATAAAAGTTACATTTTTTCACAACTTACATACTAAAACGAATTACCTTAAAAAAAGAAAATGCTATAAGTATGATATGGAGTTTCAAATTCTGTATAAAAAAAGTCAAAAAAATAACCAAATTGAAGCCTGAAAAAAAAATCGCACTACTCGAATTTAATTAGTGGAGTAGAAAAAAGGCTCGGGGAATTGGTTCGCGCGAAATTGAAGAAACGAAAAAGTCACCCAACAGTTAATTTTAAACATTTTTATGTTTTTAAATTTTTAAAATATTTAGACATATTGCGATTCCTCTACCATCTTGCGGTAGTTTGGTTTTTAGATAATCTAAGGGTATATCCGTGACAGAACTTTCAAATGCCATTACAGTAGTCTTTAGTAAGACTTGATAATGAGGATGAATTAAAGCAATGGCTAAAGTTTTCGTTTTTATACAAATGCGTTATAAAAAACACCAAACAGTTACCATTTATTCTCATCAAAACAAATATAATGTAGGTAAAAATAAATATATAAAATATTGCAATATTACTTTATTTACAATATTCAGAGATTTTACTTAGTCTTTTAAGTGAAATAACTAAAGAATGCTTTAGCTTTCTGTTGTATATCATTTAATGAAAGAATATCTTTAATGTCGAGATTATTTTCTGCAGCGCATTGCAATTAAAGAGTAAACAAACTGCATCTATAAGATTGATCTTCTTAATGCATTTGCCAACATCATCTCTAATTCCCTTAATGGAAAAATAAGAGCTGAAAGGCTTTTTCCATAAAGCAGCTTGGATAATTTCATAGTATTTTGATCCATAGGTTACATCAATCAAGATAATTTAATTGAATGAATTGATGCATTATCAATCAACAGCTTTTTCTGGGAGTTTTTGGACCTTCAAAATGATTTCACTTGTTTGCAAAATAATTTATGAAACTGATCCGTTAAAATGGTAAAAGTTATCCATAGGTAAAGTATGGTTCTTGAACGCCTTTGGATTCATTGTCTTCATAATCGCAAGAAGCTGAACTTTATGGGTAGCATAGCCGTTTATCAGATAATAACTTCCAAAAAAATCGGGACTCGTCTGCGTTATAAATTTGCTGAAGAAGAAGATCTTTTATTACCTCCTCTAGTTTGGTTAGTTCTCTTCTCTTTCCATCTCTGGATATTCCGCTTGCCCTAAAGTTTTAGAGAGCCGGTCCCAGAAAGGTAAATTTCAATAAATCGAAAATATTGAAGCATGAGGTAGTATTACCAAACAGCTTGTTACAGAATAAAATAAGCTTACCTTTTTATTTTATCCTTCTTTTTCCTACGTCATCCTATAAGGCAAGTGCGTTTCCACTAACACAATTTTTTAATGTTCCTAATATTTCACTGTTTTGTTTTATTGATAATTTGTAAAAATGATAATTTCGTTTGGTCGTTTTGGAACTACATTCGCACTACAACAGGTCCATCTGTAAAATAATATGTAATTTTGACATAATTCCCCATTGTGCTATAACTACTCAACTCAATGGAACACAGATTCCTCAAAAGGCGCGGACGTTGACGCAACCCTTTATCTTCAAGGGCCTTCCAAGCTTCTGTCGAGGTTTTCGCGTGCATTCCTTATCATCATCGTCAATTTGGACAATGTTTTTTCTTCCTTACATGCTGCCTCCAACTGGAGTTTCGTCAATTCCTGCGATAGTAGCTATCTGTCCCATCAAATATTTCTGTTTGACCCTGTATCTCAAAAACAAAGTCAGCCACGAACATGGAGCCAACTAGCTGAGATACCTCCACAAATATCTCGGAAGCTATCGATAGATATAGAACACTAGATTATCCAGTTTAGTTTTAGCAATAGGAATAGCCAAAAATCATAATTCTGCATCAAAAAGACCGCAATCCTTTTTTTTTTCAAAATATTAAAAAAAAATTAAGCTAATCCGCATCATAATGTTACACATTTTGGATCGTCCTGTAGACATCAAAATAATTTTAGGGCATGCGTCTGGTGTACCCTTGCAATTTTCTAATTTTTTTTCTTTTTCTATCGTCAATGGTTTCCAGTTATTAACCGCCGACGCACTGTGGGGACACCCTGAATAAGAAACCCTGTCATAGGTAACATAAATCCAAATTTACTAAAAATTTCAACATTCTCAACACCACCCGACTTTGTTGTAACAGTAAACGCCAAGTGCAGTGTACTTAAATGCATTCCAATATAGGTTATATATTCCTAAAGATAAGTAAGACCTATTCCAACTTCAATTTCGTTGTTTGTTCGTAACATAAGGGGGAACGCGTGAATTCAAAGCAAAGCCCAAGAGACGTAAACAATATTAGTGTAGTGTGTTTCACAATTTTAAAATTTAAAATTTATATAAAATTTATTCGAACTTTAACAAATTATATTATTTAAGAAAATTCCACATCGCATTAAATTTTATTCCACAAAACAAGTGTTGGTGTTAATTTCGCTATAAAAAGTTAAAATTACGTTGCTGCATTAGGGACTTTTTTGCACCCCAGATAAGTTTCGAAAATAGCAAGTATTGTGGGTTTTGAATATCAAAAATTAAGATTTATATTATACGGTCATACGAAAAAACGTTTTCTATTGTCGGTACGTATTTGAGTCAGTTGAGAGGTAAACTGCCTCCCATAAGTCCCATACATATATTTCCAAAATAGTGTAAGGTCGGGTATATCGTACCAATTTTTAGTTTTTCAATCCCTGTGCCAAAAATGCAATTATTTATTAAAAATCAAAAGCTGACAGAGAAAAATTCACATTTCCTTAGCATTTAAACTTGAATCTATGTCCATTCAAAAAACATACTTCAAAGGAACTAAAAAATGTAAATCACTAAAGCAAACCTCGTCTTATTTTTTGTATTTTTTCACTGTGTGAGCCCATTTCTTGTAGTTTAAGCGCTGTACTCAATTATATTTTCTTCACAAATATGTCGTTGTTTTCCGGTACAAGTAGATGAGAGGCTGTGAAATTTGAGTCGCAGGGCTTTTGCAGCGCATTCGAAGAAGTGAATGGCATAAACACCTTTTTTTTTTCACTTATTTTGCCTTGTTTTTTCGCTGCGTTTGTAGGGTGTACTGCTTAGAATGACAAACAGATACCATGCCATGTTTGTTTCTTTGTGATAAATGAGCCTGGTTTGCTGTCTCGCTCTTTTGTTCAGTACGGTTATCTGATGACATGATTCACGCCAAGTGCTTTTCTGCATTTTAAAACTAATGTCAAGAAAAAAGAACGCGCAAAAACAAAAAATGTTGAATTCAAAATAACATCCAATAAAGTGATTGCTCCTACTTACTTGGCCAAAATATAATCACCGTCACAATTTTTTGGAAAATTCGTATAAAATATATAAATTAAATAAATAATTACTAAAAATAATTAGGAAATATGAATGTAAATTCGTTTTATAGCAGAAAATAAAAAAAACTATTAAATTATTGTAAATTGGAAAATAAAATATGTACATTTTCAACAGCAAAAGTCTAGACAATTTCAAAATAACAGCAAATTAAATATGTATTAAAATAAAACCAGTTTATATTATTCGATTAATATTTGCTAGGGTAACCTTTTCAATTTACGACAGCTTCAAGACTGAACTCGCCTTTGTGTTATTTCTACCTCTATTTTTCCCATTCTTCTAATAAAACCTCTTAATTTATTTTTGCTGCTTATTTCATTCTTTTTTCCAATGTATATTCCACAGGTGCTCAATATTTTTATATAATTTAGTAGTTTCCAGACAAAAAAATTCCTTGCCTATGATTATGTAACTATACTGTTGACCTTTCTTAGTATTTTATTTTCTTGGCTTTAGTTAATATTTTGTAAAAACATTTTTTAAGAAATGGTTAATGTGGATAAACTTTTACTGGATACTGTATGTCATACCATAGCGGTTTGTTTATTTTGCTGTTGAAAATACTTTAACTGAGTCATAGAAATACAGAAAATATCAAAAAACTACGAAAAAACCTGTAATCATTTTTAATGCACGTTATTTTGATAATGCGATTGACGTCACGTTATTGGATCAACTAATATTCTAGCGCAGTCATCAAAGAATGACGTAGGTAGATGTTTTTGGGTATATATAATCTAAGCATTTCCCACAAGTTTACTCTTCCTTGGGTATGCCACCAACTGTGTAAACAAATGTTTAATATTTGTTTGGCGACTGTGATAAAAATTGTACATAGTTTATAAGATCAGTGTATATAATAGATTAATATATATTTTATGTTTTTGAATTTATTTTTTTTCAGCCCTCTCCAGTCAATGAGTCGATTTATACAGAGGTGTCAAATTCTTAATGATCATGTAATACATTTAACAACAACATAAGGAAACAACAAAAGTTATTCAGAATTTTGCATAAAACTGCAAAACGTACTATAGTATAGGTATTCCATTGCAATTGGCTATGTCTGTTTTGAGTTGAATTGTCAACGCTGCAGGTGCCTCAGTGGGCTTCTTCAGCAGTGCACAACTGTTTAGTAATGCCTCACCAATACTCGCTGTACGATGGTAAATTATCAAACGCAGCAAAGAAAAATCATGGTGCTTTTACTCAGCGGGTTCTTTTTTGTGATTGTGTCAAAATATGACAACTCTGCTAAATTAGGTATTTGTTGTCAAGGTTTTCGCAAATTTGTGGTCCTACTTCATAATTTATCGAATTTGTGAAGTAAAATAAAAATTTTCTCCATTACTAATGAAAAAGATGAACCTAAACAAACTGAATTTCAAGAATGGTGCACAGAACGCCTAAAGCGTATTACCCTTTCTTCGTAAACTGCAGGATTACCACAATAAATATTTATAATAGTCTTTCCCACCTGTCATAATATATTTTACACACAGTATGGCAGCTTTTTTTAAAGAGATACCAACCATTTCTCTGCTTCCGTTCTCAAACTCCAGTAAGCTAAAATTTCTTATGCGGGCATATCTCTATGATTGATTGTCTCCTTAAAAAAATATCATCACAATCGTAAAAATAAATTTGTAGTTACAGTGTCATATTTGTTAACTTGCCTACATGCAGACATTGTAATTGCTGTGCGCTTTGGCAAAATATGTTGCTGTGTTATTTGTCAAATTATTTCTGTGTGCTTAATTTGGATTTGTAATTATTGTGTGCTAATTATCTAATTATTTCTGTGTGCTCAATTTGTTGTAATTGCCGTGTGCTAATTGTCAAGTGGTGTGTTTTAACAAAACTTATAGCTGTGTGCCATTTGTCAAATGATTGATCTGTGCTTAATTTGAATTTATGGTTGTTGTTGCAAAAATAGTGGCTGTGTGCTATTTGTCAATGTGTCAATGTGTGCTTAGTTTGACGTTATAAATATCTGCTTCTACAAAAATCATATGATGTATGCCATTTTTCAAATTATTGCTGAATGCTTAATAAGACATTAGAATAATAAAATATTTGTTCGCATAGTTTATGTGACAATAAGATTCCGTCACAAAACTACAATAGTATATTAAAAACAAAACACGTAGTAAAAAAATAAACACTGGATAAAGTTGCTGTGAGTGATCATTCAAGTGAATGCGATTGTTAGGTTGATTTTGATTTAAAAATTTGAATCGGTTCTGTACAATCATTAAACTCCATAAACTCCGTATGCACCTGAAAAATAATTCCAAAACTGTTCCAAATAGTTCCAAATCTTTTAGAACCCAACTCTAGTTGCTTATTCTAAGGTCAACTGTCAGTTTGGTGCAAGTAACAATATCAAAATTTGTCCATGGTTGCAGTGAATAACTTGATAACAAAGTGAAGCAAAAACAACAGTTTTTTAACAATTCTACAAAAAAAAACTAGATTCGGACCATTTACGCTTAAAGCAATATAAAATCAATGAAAGATGAATACAAATTAATTACTAAATTTTCAGTACCGTCATTTCGTTAAATAGGTACTTGTTCAAATTAAATATAATTACAAAAGCATGAGAAAAAACACTCCGCCAAAAAAGTCATGTTTATTTATTACGGCAAAAATAAAGTTAAAATCAAAGAACACAAAATTTCCGTATTAACCTAAATTTAGAGAATATTGATTAAAACGTACTTGGCACGTGTGAACTGACAAGTTTAAAACAGTTCAAACTTTTCTTAATTAATAGAATCACTCTAGAACGAATCGCAACTGCATTTAAATTTAGCTAAACCAGAGATTTTTAGGTTGGAACCACCTCAGCATAAACCACAAGAATAATACGCATGTGCGTATCGTCACAGACCGGATCTAAATCGGCCTTTACACATGCAGATAGAATAATACGCATGTGCGTATCGTCACAGAACGGATCTAAATCGGCCTATACACATGTAGACAAGTGTTAAGACTTGCCTGTACAGGTCGAGACACGCGAGTAAGTGCGAATGTGTTGGGTCAAAACTCAAGGCGCGTTCAGTTCCCAGCGCGGCTCGAAGCGAATCAGATTGTGTCTGATTTTTAGAGCAAGTGCGAAGTCCAACTTCATTTTTCGCACAGCAGCAGGCCTCACCAACTGGTGAACCTCGAGTTTAACCTGAATAGTGTGTGGCCGCAATTCGTTTCGCACTTGCTCGCTGACTTACCTGGACACACTTGCGCGCGGAATTGCCTGTATAGCCCCCATAAAAGACCAAAAAAAAGGCTAGTACTAACACTTCAACAAACAGTTTGTAATCAGTTGAAAACTGATTGGCAACTTTTGTTTTGCAAACGAGCCGAAATTTGTATAATTTTCAAACTGGTCTAACTTTGTCGTCACAACTAACAGCCGGTTATGAATATTTCTTTCATTAATCCGCGATCGATAGTTGCTAGTTTGGTAAAAAATAATTACAATTTTAACTATTAATTGCACACAATTTTCATTTTCCATGAAAATAACTTCAACATTCATCAATCGTTAAAAAGACGTTAGCAAGATTGCTTTGCAAAAAAATTTTTTGTCACAGACATAATAAGAAAGAAATTGATAACATTAAATTTTTATTTATATATTTTGTACATAAAAAATTACACAGACAAACAAAATGCAATTCCAACAAATTTAATAAACACAACTAACTGTAGGTACGAGATTTATAACCACAGATAGCAAACGCAGATAAATAAATTCATTTCTTCTGTCACTTTCAAATAAATCCGAAATGCGATTCTTCTTAGCTAAAAATTACTTTCCTGTTTGCGAATTATTTTAAGTCTACGAACAAATCACCATTTTCAGCGAACGCTTTTATTTAAATGCCATAATGCTTGCTAATCATTTTTGACTGTTCCACGAATGGATCTAGTATCAACCGAATTGATATCGAAGTTTGACCATACCCATGTCTAGTTGGTTAATCTTAAGCTCAGCTGATTTAACTATGCGCATGCGCGTCCCCATATGAGCAGCCATGTTATTCGTATCATGTGGGGTAGCTGCTGGAATCGTAATGAAAAACATTCTGAGGTTTCCGATTTTTACCCCATCCAAGATCTGAGCGTTAAAAAGTTTGTTTAGTGTTAGCGCGACAAACATTTAAAAGAAGGATTATTTCCGGAAATGAAATGCGATCTCAGATAGTCAAATTCGGTCGCAATCTGTGGTCCCAATATTATAGTCTGACATCAAATGCAAAACTTGTTAGTTAGAATATGGAAAATTTTCTGCTGTCAGAAATCTGAAAATGCCGCGGCCAACTAGAACTTCGTGTGGAAAACGAAGAAAAATACTGGCTGTAATCCTCTGTACCGTTGCCGCGTGTTAAATTTACAGAGGTAAGTTGGTAAATATTGTATTTCTCCGTGATTTTGTATTGTTTTGTTTGCACAAGGCAAATTATAAAAACAAACACGTAACTACTTGTTTAAATTCAGTTTTAATGAGTGCTTTTGCTCTTAAGGCGCGTTGGCATATTATTCCAACTGTTTTCTTTTGCGTTTTGGGCCAGGAAATGCTAAATAGGTTAACGGAGCAACCTAGGTGGTTTGGTTTGGGGCCCTCCAATGGGAAATTGTTTGAATTGCTTCAAGGAGCCAGAACCGTCGGCCCTGGAAAGCAACACGCAGACATTGAGTAAAGAGGGTAAGTTTAGTGATTATTTTGTGATAAAAGCGGGTTTCTTCTTTGAATAGTTTCAGAAACCAATTAAGGGCATTAGAAACTAAGTAATTCTCTAAATGAATACGTCACAGTGCCCAGATTCATTTAAGTTTTGATTGGTTGGTTGAAATTACGACAAGGACTGAGGAATTCGACCAAAAAAAACATTTTTTTATGATTTTTTACCTGTGATGGAAAAAATTAAGCTGTGGATCTAATACAATTTCCAAATACTAATACTTTATTTTTGATACGAGATTAATTATACTGCCTTTTACCTACACTTTGTTAGCTTATGGTGAACATTTTGTAACAAATTAAATAAATTATTTCCAAAAAAAAAGCTATATTTTCCATGGCCTACTCAAAAAATTAAAGATATATTGTCGTTTGTGTTATATATTTTTGAGAACCTAATAATAAAATTTGGCTTTACAGGTTTCAGTAAATCTCGTTTCACTTTCTCTTTTGTCTTCTAATAAACGTAATCGACCAAACTTCCTCTGGTCCGTCCATTGATTCTAAATCAGCATATTATATTTCATTGACCTTTTGACCTTATGACTTTTTTGGACATTCACAAAATATAATTATTAATAGTAATAATAGTAAAAATAATAACCCATTAACTGTCAAATGTTCTAGCGCTGAATTTTATGGCTACCTAAAGCCAATTTTTTCAGTAAATTGAGTTTATTTCGGAAACTTTCATATTTATGTTGTGTATTGTCTTCCATAATAGTTGCTAAAATATAGATTTGCAAAATATAATTTTCATTATTTTTTGTATTGTATAATCGCACATTTAAAGCCAACATTTGCACCTTCTGTGAATTCAAATATGGCCATACTAAAGATTTAATTTGAGGTGTTTTTGAATAATAAATAGGGAGAATAATTTCCCTAAAACCGCAAATAACTGGAAATAACATAAGATATCCTAATATTTATAAATCTCCAGAGTTCATAGATTTCTATGGATACTCTGATTTTTCTCTGGCAGAAGATTTGATTACATGCAAAAATGTTAGTTTCGTCTGTTGCTCTGGTCTGCTGAAGAAATATTCAGACTCGATCGAAGATGTTGATTGTTTTGGACAAGTGGTAAATCTAGTTTTTAACATTATATTTCTTATAAACTACTGGTATGTGATCAGTAATCTTTTGAATGTAAGGAAGAACTACAGTGGCAAGTGTGGAGTTGGTTTTGGATTCCTTTTCTTTGGGAGGTCTTGTTACGGAACGTTTAATATTCCTGTGAAAATTATTTGAGAGAAGAGCAAATGTTAACTGTTTCAATTATGTTCAGAGAGAGTTGATAAGCAAGCACGGAGTAGAATGCAAACCAGTGTCAGCTAAACTCTGAAGAAGCCGAAGGGATGATTAGAATCCAGAAGATTTGTAAATATTATTACTGTGGCAGTTATGGAACGCTTAATATTCCTAATGTGAAAATTATTTTAAGATAAGAACAGATGTTAAGTGTTTCAATTATGGGCTCAGATGATTGATTGATACTTGACGATTTTTGGGCTGGATGGTGAAGGGTTTCTGTAAACTTCTGTTAATGTATGTATGTAAATCTCTATTAACAAGAATGTTGAAGAAGATATTATTAAGTGGCAATTCAGTGGTAATACATGTCTTAGTGGGTATGAAGTTTGAATAAATAATATTTGCGATAATTGGCGATAAAAGGGTACCCATAGCCGTTACTGATATTTGTTCAGAAATTTGACCCTTAGAAGAAAAATATGTTAAGACAAGCATTTTTCAATTAAGATGAGAAGATTTGATTCCAGATTTTTGGATTTTAGTATATCTGAAATAATGTTGACAATTTCACGAACTTTAGTAAACAAGGATTCTACTTTCAAACGAACTAAGTTATAGGAATTAAGTAAGAAATCACCATTTTTACCGGTAAAGGGGTTTAATATAGAAGCTAGATATTTTGTTAGTGTTCGCTATGTTGTGTAGGGAGTCAGTAGAGACGAGGAATTTTAGAGTGATGAGGGATGATGATTTTCTCAAGGATTCTGTAGGTGATGTAGGAAGATGTAGGATCTTTTTTAGGTTGACGAGATCAGTCTATGAGAATATTTTCAAGTTTTCTTTGATAGTCAGTTGTGTTCGAGTGAATGGTGAATGCGCAGGGAAAATAAATTTTTTTCGAAATGACCTTTGTTAGTTTTGTCATAGATTTTAAAAAAAACAGAACACCTAAAGTTTTTATAATACCACTCAGCTCGATAAAAAGGATACCTCATCCATGCGGAGAGCTAGAAGCATTTCATCCGATCGTTTTTGTAATTCAGCCTTGTTTCTCCTTTACCGTATTGTATTGGTATTTTTCACATTTTGAGGGTAACTCGAGGAGTGTCTTATCGTGTGCGGGACGGGGCCTGATCTGTGCCGCATCTTGTATCGGGTGCTCGCCTAGAGATTCCAACCATCTTCTAGATTCCGAATATCTTGCAACCACTAAAATTGTAAACAACCAATTGAGGTTATTTACCTTTTTGTTGGAGATTTTGGGTTTGTGGTTTTCGATATCCTGGCTGTTTGGTCGTCGATTGGCCTCCACGACTATTTTAGGATAGATAGGATAGTTCCTTAATCGATAAATATCGATCTGGTTATTACAATCTGTCGCGTCAGTGCTTGGGGTTTTGTGCCTAGTGTCAGCAACATCAGCGTTAGATTTCACTAACGACACTAACCGCATAATGGAATACTAAATTTATGGGAGGCTGGAGCCTACTTTTACCCTGCGCCTCTGGTCGGGCATAGTCGTACTAGAATGCTCTCTATAGTTCCATTTGAAGTCCCTAGACTCACAAGTCCTACTTTCCCGATATTTTTTTAAATCTTGGTTCCGATTGTCATTTAAAAGATGTTTTGAATTATTTAAATCTAGGTTTCCCCGGTGTGATTAGGAATCTTAAAGTTGATAGAACGCGATTGCGCATTGGAAGGGCCTTTGAATAATTTTTGCTTTTTCCAGTGGAAGTTCATTAGCTGTTTGAGATGGCAATTTGTTTAGGGTAGACTAGACATTTGAAATGTTTTCCGTTTTTGGGATAATACAACAACCGGTTTTTCAGTCTCAGAAAGTTGGCGCGGTGACGGAAATCTCTAAACAACCTTTTAGCTTCATCTCCCCCAAATAGTATATAAGCAGGCACAGAATAGAATGCAAACCAGTTTCAGTTAGTATTACAGTAGCAGTATTAGCAGTTCTTTGAAAAAGGAAAATAATTTATTTGTTTAAAACGTTAAAAATAAAGAGGCAAAAATGGAGGGCGGAACAGAAAACTCAATAATATGGAGAGGCTATTTATAACATCAAAGTTTTTGCTATTTTTTGCATGAAGCGGCAACGCCGCCTCGTTGAAAATGCAGTAGATCGCTTACGTAAATGACCGAAGTTACGTACTTAAGTAAATTCGAGTTCTTGGTTTTCAGAGATGCCTGAAGCCCGTCTGTATCCAGCACCAAGTCATGTACCCGCGTTCCAGCCTCCCTTAGATGCGATCTTGACCAACGGTAACCATCTATTTGCTCCGGCCGTGGAATCGACTGTCGCCAACGTCGCCTCCACTACCATAAGTCGTTTTTATCCGCCCGGCAGGCGCCAAGCCATGGGTGCCTCCGAGAGCAAACCATCCGATGTTAAGGTAAAGTGTGTCTCGAAGTATATCGTCTTGAGTTTTGAAGGGTCTTTCTTCAAAAAGTACTTGGACCTCAACTCGATTTCGTGGGGATTTCAGATGATTACGCAGGTATAATTCAACATACGATAATAATGTTGCAGTTAACTATTTTATCCGCTCGTAGGCAATTTTTAGCAATACATCAAACCGATGCAAAGAAATGGAAGCAAAATATATTCCGTCGTATTGCGTGTGTTGGCCTATATATAATTTTAATTAGCTATCACAACTTCACAGCCACCAAAATCTTCAAATTAAACTTCTGTGGCGGAAATGGAACTGAGGAGCTATTATTACGGCTCATAATCATTTTTATCATAATTAAAAACATTGATTAGAACGTTATAGGTTACGCATAAAATGTTTATGACGCACAGTCTTGCATGATAAAAAACTTTGGGATCTTAGAGAAACCATGTATTATGTTATATGTAATAGATGAACCGAATGTGGCGATGAAAAGTTTATTTCATTTTAAATTCTTTTTAAATAGGTAAAATTTTAGGCTTGGCATTTTCAAAACGTTGTACTTTTAAGTGGTTTTGAGTAAAATTGAACTTTTTGCACAAGAACAACTTTCTTGCGATTTGAGAGCAACTCATAGGAGTGATATTTAGCTTCATAATCCGTTGTCCTCTTGCTAAAGTAGGCAACAACATTAATTTTATCATAACTTTTTTGAATTAGAATTGCTTCATAGCCAATACTACTTGCATCCGTGTGTAATTCGGTAGTCAGTTCCAGATTATAGATAGCAAGCAGTGGTCTGAACGTCAAATGCTTTATTACGTATTGCCTGGCTTCTTCTTGTTCTTCTTTCCACTCAAATGGAGCACTTTGCTTTGTTCACCTTGTTATGCTGGCTGTGCGACTAGCCAAACCAGGTACGAATTTCCGAAAGTATCCGGCGAGTCCCATAAATTGCTTTACTTCCTTCACGTTCTTAGGGATAGGCGAATGTCTTAAGACTTGAATCTTTGCCAATCCTGGGCTTATACCTTCGCCAGATATTCCCCGTCCTAGGTACTCTAATCTGGATCTTTTCGCTCTACAGTTTGCTCTGACATGCCGTAATTTACCGCACTGAAAACTTTGCTAAGTCGATTTTCCCGTCAAAGTCAATAACGGAGTGGAACTCCATTGTTTCTCGCCATTGTAAGCCAGTCATAGCAAATTTCGGCAATTTGAGATCCCACTGACTTTAAACAATTCCGTTTTACACTTGAATTAACGTTGGAATGACATTTTTGGAGAAATAATATCTGGAGATCTTGCGGACCATTCTATCTTCTTCCAACCCACTGTCCGAGAAATACCGTATTTAAATGTTCACTCATTTATCGAGAAGAATAGGGCAGAGCACAATGCTGTTGAAGTCAAATCTGTATATCAGGCGGATTCGGATTGGGGAAGAAAACTGCGAGTGTTGGAATTAAGTAATTTTGAACAAATTATAATTAAGTTTTGAATCTAAGAAATAAGGTTCAATAATTTTGTTATTCAAAATCCGGCTCCAAACATTTGTTTCTTATGGACGTTGTGTATGATTTTCTCTCATCCATATCAATGCCTACAATTTTGTTTATTTACCGTACTATTTAAACAAAACATGACATCATCGCTAAATACTATTTGACGATGAAAAAATGGATAATTTTGTTTTCTTATAGGTTTTTAATTTTACTCGCTGTGGATCGTGTTTGTTTTGTTTCTTCACTTACTTTATACAAAAAAATAGTGTTCCACTTAGAAAAAGGAAGTTGATATCAACATCAATTTTTTTGATCCGTCCTGTATATTTTTTGTTTACTGTAAAAAATGCGCAAGAAGATATGCGAGCATTAAAAAAAAATCCTGTACCTAATTTTTAAATGCATTTTTCTATATGTTAGCAGTTCAATGTATAATATACTATACCTCAGTCATACATTTTATGGCAGATTTTTGATGTTTTAATAGAAGTAATTAAGTATTCTATTTTTAGAGGTTCAGTATCATGGCTCACTAATAACAAAACTTAAATGTTGACTAGTCAATTAATTTTTGAAATTATAAATTTTTGGAATAGATGACTTTGTGCCAGGTCATCTTTGTTTTTTTCATTATCAAACGTCAATTCCGACCTACTGAATGGAAGCGAACACCTTGTATATATAAATTTAGAACTTTTTTCTATAGTTTGCAGTTTTCGAGTTAAACTGTTTTTGAGAGAATGAAGCGAAATTTTCAACTCTAAAAAGATGTATGTTCGGCAGTTGAATTTCCTCTTTGAACACTACAAAGACGAATTGGAGGATAGTATACTGGCAGAGGGCATCGACCAATTCTGCAGGGACCTAAATGTCGCTCCGGACGAGTTTAAAGTATTGGTGCTCGCGTGGAAGCTCGGCGCCGAGCAGATGTGCCGCTTTTCCCGCAGCGAATTCGTCAACGGCCTGAAGTCGATCAAGTGCGATTCGATCAAGTCCATTCAGCTCAGGCTACCCGACTTAGTCAAGGAAGTCAAAGAAAACGACGACATGTTCAAAGACCTGTACAGGTTAGTGATTTTGGTCTGTATTTGATGGGCGATAAAGCGATTTTTTGGAAGCTACTTTCCCAGTTTTTGAAAGAAATTTATACAGGCTACTGTAATACTATTTACAAAACTTCTGGATTCCTGCTGCGTCGGTTGTTGTTGAATCGAACTTACTGAAGTTCTATAGAACCGAACCATAAATCTATTATTAAGAATTCTTCTCTATCAGAAAAAGTCTATCATCCCTGGTGACTCTAAAATTTCCTTGTCTCTACGGACTCTCTAAGACTCACAAACCAGGATTAGCCCTTGGACCTATTTGTCAGGACCATTGGTTCTTCAACATATTCTCTAGCAAAATTTCTAGCAACTAAATTAAAATCCTTTACATGGAACACTGATACTTTTGTACTTAATTTCATTTTTTCATTTTATTGAACAATTAAAAAGCATTACATTGGATCCGCAGGATATTTTGGTTAATTTTGAAGTAGAATCCCTCTTTACTAAAGTCCCTATTCCTGAAACTCATTCCTCAAACAACATTATTTCAGATATATTAAAATCCAAGAATCTGGAACCAAACCTTCTCTTGCTAAAATTTATCAGTAAGCACAGAGTTTCTACCTGTAAAGGTAAACGTGCTTGCTAACACGGGGACTCAGAGGTAACTGACTGTTTCAACCAAGAATACTTATTATGAAAATATAAAAACTGCAAGCATAAATGACAACCATTTTTGTATCATTGAAATCTTGCTTCCTTTGATGAACGCTACGTTGATGATTCATTTGTTATTTGGCCTAATGGTTAAGAATCCCTACAAGATTTTGTTCTGTCGTCGAAATTTTCTTCAAGCCATGGTCTGAACATAACAAATAATGATGGTAACACCACTAATGGCAAAGCTCAAATGATTTTAAAATTTCAAAGGTGTGGACATTACTAAAAAAAACCTGCCTGTATATTCAGGATATGCTTGACTATACAGACTGATCTGAATTAATTGTTCATCATTGATAACTTTGTTATGAGTAGGTTAAATTAGCAAACTAGTAGTGGTGAAAACAGAAAAACAATTGGGGGGTTTAGGACAAAATTAGGAAAATGCACACTTTTTAAATGGAGTAGGGTTTATATTCTTTACTCTAACATCCGTAAGTTACCAACAGAACAAAAAAGGTCATATGCAATAATAGCCTAAAATTGAAAATAACCGAATTATCAGCACAGTTCTCTTTTGGACTAGATTGCTATAGGTGGTTGTGAAATAAAACTCCATTTTCCTTTTATTACTTTATTTGACCGTAAGAAACACGTATATAAAAAAATTGAAAAAAAACCTAATTAATTTATTCTATACATTTTCAGCACGTTTTTCTATTGAGCGAATTGCCTTTAGTATTGTTCTATCATCTATCTGGTTCATTTTTACTCTTATTGCGGCCTTTTAAAACGTCAGCGTGTTGGTATCTTTCCTTGTAAATTTCGCCCTTGAAATAATCTCACAAGTAGAAATCAAGTGGGGTTATATCTGGTGACCTAGGAGGTCCAAGAATAGGTCCATTGATATGTGACTCGGAAGTTATGAGCTGATATGCCATCTTGTTGGAAATTGAGTTTCTGCCTACTTATGAAAAGAATTGCAGTCATAATTACAATGTACCTCTCACCGATCAGCGTGCCATTGTAAAAATATGAACCAACAATGCGAAAACCAATTATACCGAAACAAACATTAATACAGAAACAAACTGGTGGACCTCGGGCATGTACAAGCAATGAATTTTCTCTTGACCAATAATGATATTTTGGATTGTAAATTCTAGAATTTGAAAATTTTGATTGGTTAGTCCACAAAATATACTGAACATTTTTTATATTTTAGTGGCAAAATTAACATTCCTGTATTCCCTGCCAAAGCACCTGAGCTGCTAAGAATTTGTAAGAGCCAAATTTGTTTTTCTTAAATGTATTAAAGGTTAGGTTAGAGTCTTTAACTATGTCTGGAATAAAATTGTCACGAAATGCTTCAAAATATCCAAGAACACAAATTTTCACGTCTTCACTTATAATAAAATTTTTTCGTCTCCGTTTTGCAAAGCGGGTTTCATTATTTCTGCTGATTGTATATGTATCTTCCTCTTGCCCTTACAAGCTTTACTGCATGCGGAATACTGTTCTAACATCGCACTTTTCTTCATGTGTAAAAACCATTTTTGAATAAGTGCTACAGTAAAATTAATTTAAATAATTGATATCAATTGATATAAGAGTACTAATAATTAGCATATTGAAACTAATTTTTTGGCAACTAGTTTTCTATTTGGCAGGGCTGTCATTATTTTGCACAGTCTTCTTTGGACCATTTCTTCTGCGCCTTTATCGAATCTTTAGAAATAATGAAACCGTTTTTGCTTAAAAGAAGGAGACGAATTTTTTTTACAATAAATTGCAACGTGGAAATTGGCGTTGTTTTCAATTTTCGGGTAACATTGCATATGACCGTTTATGTTCTGTTGATTATTTACTAACGGTAGAGTAAAAAATATACACGCTATTCCATTTAAAAAGAGTACATTTTTCTACTAGTTTGCTAATTTAACCGACTTTGTATCTCTCCTCATAACAAATTTACCAATGATGAATGCTTAATTTAGATCATTCTGTATATATGTATATTAGTTCAGATCAGCCGGTATACGGAGATATAGATGAGGAATATGAGAGTATAATGGGGCATATATGGATCAGGCATGAGGAGTAATTCAGATGTACCTGTACCTGTTTTGTTCTACACTTTTTTTTTTCTTTTAGGTTTTCGTTCAAATTCGGGCTCGAATCACTATCGGGCCAGAGGATACTGCCGACCAATATGGCGGTCGTTTTGTGGCGGTTGGTGTTCACGGTGCGCGAGCCGCCGATACTGAACCGATGGCTGACGTTTCTCGAGACGCACCCGCTGATTCGGGGCATCCCAAAGGACACGTGGAACATGTTTTTAAACTTTAGCGAACACGTGGGCGATGACCTGAGCTGCTACGACGACAACGAGGCGTGGCCGAGTTTGTTCGACGACTTCGTCGAATACGAGAACGATCAGGCCAATCAGAACGTAACGAAGTGCGACGATCTGTTGATCGCGAACGAATGACGCCGAACCGTTTCTGACCGAGCCTAATTAAAATAATAATAACAGGGTGCGAGGGGTGTAAAGTCGATGTTTTGTGACGTGAAAGTGATACGGTAATAAAATACGTGAGCCAGTTGTATGGCGGCCTCGTTTGTTTGGGAGAAAGTTTGAAGTTTTTTTTATTTCGGTGACATAAAGGTTCATTTATTGAAACATATGCAAGGTACAAACCGTTCATACATTGCTACAACTATGCATATTGTCGAACTTCTATTGTCTTTATTTTTTGTTTAGAGAATGTATTGGGCAGACCCATTTCAATTCTAAGGCTACGAGGCTCTTCTACAGTGTGACGTCAACCGTGAGGGAGTGCAGTGTAGTCAAGCGTGAGGTTGCCAGATTGTAGCTATTTTCACGCTTTCCGTTGCCCATAAGAATGCATACTCCAAAAAAAAAAGAAGCTCTGCTAGTTCTATATCTTTCCATGTTTATTGTCCTCCATCTTGTTAATCCTTTTCTTACCGTAAATGTTCATTTCTTTGACCATGAAACTCATTAGAGTTTCATAAAAAAGTGGACAAAAAAATCAAATGCGATGCAGCTTTCGTTCAATACCGTATTGTCGGCGAAACCTGAATTTGTGGCATAAAACTCAAAGCTTTTTTGAGTGAATTCTTCATCTAGTTCTCAGTCAAAGGCGGTAGGTGTTCTTATAGTTTTCTTGGGGCATGGTGGACCATCGCTGCCATTATTATCGGGTTCTGAATTTCCTTTCACAACATGCAACACTTCGTCATCGGACGAAGTGTAGTGCCCCCTACCACTAGGTTCATACTCATCTAATGAGATACTTGTATCACTGTAGATGCCGCCATAGTCACTGCCAGTCTCTCCCTCCATTATTCTTTGTGCTTCATGTTCCACTTCACTTGGTTTAAGCCTTCGTCACAAATCCATCTTTCTACATTAAAGATTTCTATGGTTAATTCTCTTTACTGTTTTGATAAGGTGCATGTGCACTAAAACAACTAAATTCACATTCGCTAAGAAAACCAACAACATAATCGCGCAGTCGTCTTCCCGATGCCGCCCTACACAAAATCGCACATATAGCTGGGCCCCTTCTGAATGACTTAATTAATACTACTTAATTCTACTTCGCTTGATGCGTCGTCACTGGACAATATTAGTGTTGCTCTTTTGCAGAATGTTCAGATGATTCTTGGTTGGGTTAATTCAGAATGGTTATACTCCTAATTTAACTACTGTCCAGTATATGCAGGTTTTATAGAATTTCTGTTTACTAAGACATCTAGAAAGGATAGACAGTCGTGATTCTCTTTCTTAACGGTAAATTTAATTAAGAATTAAGATGTAAGATGATTGAGAAAAAATTCTAGCTGTCCATTGGATTCCAGATGATGAAGGTATCATCAACATATAGCAACCCTAGGTTTGATAATTGCCAGATCCATAGCGCCAGTTTCAAACCGTTCTATGTATATATTCGCGAAGATCGGAGAGAGAGGGAAATCCATCGGTACTCCATTATTGTGTGGGTTGACTTGAAAGTAAGAGTTATGCACACAACATCTAAGGCGGTCTATCACTCCCTCAAGAGGTAGTGAAGTTCTGTCATGAAGTTTGTATCATTCTTAAACGTTAAAATTTAAAAACATAGGAAACACATAAGGAAGGGTGAAATCCAAAGATCAGGAATCGGGGAACCATGTATGGATACCAAAGAACACAACATCAAATAGTTCAAAGCTCTGGTTGTCCACAGGGAACCATATGGGAAAAAATGCATGTTTGAAGAAGCTGTCTTCATTAAAAGCAACGGAAACATCTTTAGCAACCCAAACGTGGAAATAAATTAAGCCTTAAAATGGCAGACCAATGCTGGCGTTCTAGCGGAATAACACACAACACTTTGGTGGACCCGACTCCGTCTCTGTTGAACGCTGTAGCCTACTAGATAAGCCGCTTAGCCGTAGAATTAAAATTAGTCTGCACTTGATAACAGGTACTGATACATCTACCCGAAACGTTGTGCAAAAAAAAAGAGACCATGGAATTTCGACAATCTCTTGGTAGTTCTACTGAATATGGACCCATAAAATCGTATTCAATTTCCTTCATGTTACCAATAATAGGAAATTTTTGCGGCTCTTTTGGAGTTTTTTTTACTTTATTCCTTATTTGAAGCGCGCGCAATGGATGAGAAATAACCTTTTTTCTTGTTAACCCTTCCAGCCTCGGTTATTTTCGAATGTCGAGAAAGATATTTTTCTATTGTTTATTAATGTCTTTGTGAATGTGAAGAGAGGTAGTGGCAGATATAAAATTTTAAAACATTGATGAAAACATTCAAAACAGTTTCTGTTTGTTGCACTTTTCACACTTACTACGATACGACCTCCACCTGACTCTAACTTGCAGCGTTGTTCATATCCATCCATAAGGGCTAGCCAATGGCCAATATCATCAAATCTCATATCACAATTTAGATTGCATTCGGCTTCAGTTTTATATCATGTGAGTTCACTAGTAGTAAAAGAGAAACATCAGCTTCTGCGTCATAATCGTCATCGTTTGTAGTGTCATTGGCGAATTCCCAGTGTCCTCCTTGAATATCCAAATAAGCTGTTCATTGATTGCGGCACGTGTTTTCCTGAGGGAAGCTCCCTTCCTACGTTTTTATAGAATGGCCTAGCAGGAATGCCGTCTGCTACAGAAGAACAATATTCACATTTTGTCGTAGAAACTCCTGAAGTTGGCAAGTGCGTATAGCAATCTGAAAGAATCCTGGCCGAGAATGTAGTAAGCATGCAGAGTGGCACATGAACTTTGATATCTTTCAAATAATAAATACTAAGCCAGCATATTGTTTGGTGCGCCACTCACGGATATGTCAAAACTGGAGCGAACAGTTGATAGTTGAAATAATGATGTCGGTAAAATAGATACCTGAATATGATGGTTACCACCGCAATGGCCAAAATGGTTAACCGATAAAATTCGACGCTACTTATAACACTCCCGTTACTAAGCGTAGGCGGTGCCGTCAGTAGTAATCCTGATAAGTTTCAGAAGTAGCAAATTTTTTTTGGGTAAATGAATTGAAAAAATCGTTTGTTGCATTGTACTTGAACTATTTTTTTAATATTTTAATTGGTTCTCCGTAGGGGTCTTTAAGCTCCTAAACTCTTTTTCTCCTAGAGCTATAAACTTTGTTTTAGTTCATTCATTGTCAAACCTGTTTCTGTAGCTGACTCTTCTATCTGCTTTATCGCATTAACTAGATTTTTCCTTGTTGGGGCTAAAAATGTGCGTATGTAAGAATTTAGGGTCTTTGGTTCAGTACGGTAACTCTAGTTTTCGAACCACTTTTCCTGAGCACTGTTTCGAATAGTATGTTAAATAATAATGTCGGCAGCGGATCGCCTTTTCTTAGCCCAGTCAATACTTTTTCTATGGTTTTATAATCCGTTTCTGTTAAAATCATCTTTGTTAAATTAACCATTTTATTTGATACTACCAATTATGAAATTGATTCATACAATTTTTCTTTTTTAACTGTATAATACACTTTTTTAAAATCAGTAAACAGTATATATAGCTTCTGGTCCAGGCTGTTATCATCTCTCGTTTTACGAATTGGACAAATTATCTCCATCTCTAGGGCATTTTTTCTTCTTTCCATATTGTTTCAATTACGTTACATAGAGTCTTCTAAAGCTTATTTCCACCAACCTTTAACATTTCAACTGTGATCCCATTCTCCCCGGGAGCTTTACTATTTTTAAAAGTCTTGATAATTGAAAGAACTCTTTTATTCTCTTCTGCGATGTATTTCATCCACTGTAACCTTGCACAGTGAATTTTAAAATTCAAGATAACAATTACGCCTCTTGGTGCACATTTCAAAAACTCAACAATTAATCTCAGCATTTCCTCTTTCCACATTTACTTAATAAATACAAATAAAAAGCGAATATGTAATATTTTTATGAAAACTAGATTATTCTAAAAAAATGTTAATCATTACATTAATAAATAGTAAATAGTATTATTGCGGTCATAGGGGCCTCTACAGAGTGTTAAGAAAACGTGGCAGTATTTAAGGGGATGCTTCCTCGGATCCTTTTTTTAACTAATGTTTTGTAAATTAATTCACATATCATCTCAGGGATTTATTTGAAATTTGGCAACGGTGTATTTAGTAATATGGCTCTACGTATAAATTAAACAATGGGTTTAGAGGGGGGTGGGGGCAACTTTATAAAGTTTGCAATTTACAATTCTCCTGAGTTCCTTTTGCGTAACTGATACTGTAAATAGTATTACAGTTCTCTGTGGAACTTTCTTTGAAATATTTATAAAATTTATTGATAAAAATACACGACGGTGACTTTAATTTTATTTCGATACTTCCTTGAGATAGAGCGACTAAAACTACAACTGTTTCGTTTCTTGAATTTTCATTAAGTTAGGGCCAAATGAGCTTTTTATTACTAGAGACAGTGCTGCCACATTTGAAATCCTTGAAAAGATATTTGGATTAATTTATTTAAAAAAAAAATCCACACCGTATCTTTTTCATAAAATCAATTTTTTCATAAAATGATCTGAGAACTGACCCCCTTATATATTGCCGCACGTTTTTAAACACCGTGTACACAAATTTCAGTTCTAAATAAGCATAAAAATATTTGGGAAATGTGGCCCTATTTTGCGTAGAATGCAAAAGTTATCATTGCTTTCGCTCAAACCGGAAGTGCAGCAATTGACATCATCATTAATTAAATGTCATATCTTGTGAAGGTTTCAATTTTCTCCCAAATAATCAGTTGTATATGTATATTACATTTCGAAATTCGATTTTCCTCAAAAACACCCCATGATTTGATTAGGTTGTCAATGAATGTTGCGCTTGAATATCACAGAAGTGATTTATTTGTATTTTTTTATGGCAACTACAGAAAATTGTGAATATTTGGGAGAATATTAATGGAAAATGGAAGATTTTTTGCATCCGAGATCCGATTAAGTTTGATCGATATTTTGTTGTAATTTTTGTTATTTCTGCACGTGCAGCTTTTGATTTTTAAATGAAGGAACTACATTTTTGTTGTTGTGGTGAAATTTTGCATTATTATTCTCCGATTATAATAACTAAACCATTTACAGTATGTTCTATTTTTGTCCGTTTTGGTTAGTTGGCCGTAATTTGGTCGATCTTTTTTCTTCAACACTTAATTTTTCAAAATTGAAAGAAGACTTGTATGATAGTGTTTTGATTTTTTTGTTGAGAATAACGTTTTGTCTCCTCAGCGAATTTTCTTTAGGATTTAACTATCGAAAAATCGAAAGAACAGTGAGCTAGCAGAAATGTCTTCCGACGAGTTTATAGGATCCTCATCGGCGGAGTTTGGAAACACATTCACCTGCTGGAAAATCCTCATTGATAATTCAAAAAAAGGCATATCATCTTTAGAGCTTCACCGGTGAGCCTGGATGTAGCAATATTCACTTCACCTTGCATTTGACGTGGGGGTAAATTGTTTGTCTCGTGGTGTTCAAAATTTTCGCTACTCGCCACAGCTATAGGATTATCGATTCCGCTTCTATTTCCTCATCTTCAAGCATAGTCAAGGCTTCATGAAGGGAAAAAATTGTAGTTGGAAGAAAAAATTATTCAACGAGATAAAGGGGAGACCGGGGATTGATTGTTAGAAAATATTATTTTGATTTTTTCGTACAAGAAAACAAAAAGTTTTTACTCCACTGAAAACGGTAATACAAGGGTAGATTGTTACTTTGCTGGGGCATGTTGGTACAAATTTGTTTTTCAATAACTTGCTACAACTTTCGGAAATAACTTCCAAAGTTTGAGGGGTTAGAAAGAACGTAATTTTCCAAAAATAAATGAAACTAATCCGTCACAGAGGATGCACGTAAAAAGGGGGATCCGCCGTCCCATAGCTCTTGACACTGAATACATTGTATCTATCGTTTTTTGGATTTTCAATTACTGAAGGGCTCATAACAAAGGAGATAAAAACAATTTTCATCTTTATCTTCACTTTCTTCGCACCCTTTCATTTTTACTTTCTGTTTTCCTTGTTAATTTTATTCCTTAGTTCCTCTTGCTATAGCAATGCGTTCTTTTCGGGTGTATCCATCAAGGATTGCACTCTTTCTTTTTCTTCTATTTTGCCTTGTTCTTCTTCTAGCCTTTGGTTAGTTTACACTGAATGCATTGTATCCATTGTTTTATGGGTTTTGAATTACTGAAGAGCTCTTAACTAAAGAGATGAAAACAATTCTCATTCTGCTTTTTACAAAACTTCTGGATTTCTCCTGCGTCGGTTTTTGCTTAGTTGAAATTGCTGACGTTTCGCCAATCATCCCGTTGGCTTCTTCAGAGCTTGTCCGAGACTGAACTGAAGGGCTGAAGAAGCCAACAGGATGATTGGCGAAACATCAGCAATTTCGACTAAGCAAAAACCGACGCAGGAGGAATCCAGAAGTTTTGTAAAAAGCATTACAGTAGCCCGTGGAAGTTTCTTTGAAAAAAAAATTCTCATTCTCATTTTCACTTGCTTTGCACTCTTTCCTTTATACTTTTTGTTCTCCTTGTCGCATTTATTCTTTAGTTCCTCCTGCTGTAGCAATACATTCTTTATGGGTTTGTCCATTAAGGATTGCACCCTTTCTTTTTCTATTTTGCCTTGTACTTCTCGGATTTCCCTTGGATTGACAAAAACTTGCGTTGTAGTTAGTAGGTTTTGGCTGCACTATGCCGATATATGGCCAGAAGCGAATTTGGCGATTATTCGATCAGTCCCAGTACCACTCGAGAGCTTTAAGGACAGCCTTATCCATCGGCGGCAATTCATGCGATGCATTCGCTATCCCTGCATCCAAGTGGGACGAAACCCCATAAAAAATGAGTACTTTATCTGGCAGCTTATACTTGGGGAAATGGTGAATCCAGAACTTGAAAAGACATGCTTCCATTGCCAATTTATCAAGCCATTCTTCCGTGTATATTTTTCGTCATTTGCATTTCGGTTCATAAACCTCTCCTCTTAGTCATTTTCAGTTCCGATTTATCGACCTGAAGAAAAATTTCCTATTTAAAAATCGTTCAAATGACAGCAGAGATAACCTATTTATGCGTATATAATATTGCACACGCACAAGTTTATTTCGACATCACCAAATTTTTGTAAGAAATTACCTAATTTATAATAAAAAAAATATATATTTTCCATAGCCTACTCATTATAAACAAAAAACAAAAAATGTATTTGAAATAACTCTTATGTGCAATTTTTTTGAAAAGTTAGTAACAATATAATAATAAAATAATTTAAATACATACGTATATTATTTTTAAAATCACTCTGTATCTAAAAATCCAAGATAGCTCTGACATTTCTATTTGTGCCACCTTTCATTTCATAAAAAAGCAAAGTAAACCGCAACCCACTAGCTTTCATAAGGGAGGTACGCCCTAAAACCATCGAAAATAGGATACACTGTACAATTTTATAAGAGCATAGATTGATTAATGTTGTGCGTCCAGGTGCTCCGATGGGATTTTTCTATTGCATACGATTAAGCCATGCCAATTAAAGAAACTCTACATTATAGTGGTTGTGCGATTCAGTGTCTGAAAAGCTGCCTTTTTGCCGTAGTGACTGGAATACTTGTCCGGGAAAATAAATAACAATTATTAAATAAACTGATGACAAATATTTTTGCAGTGTCATGGTGAATTTTGAATTACGACTGTCTGGCTGTTCGACTTGTATATTTCCGTTAGTTAAGCCGTTCCGTGTGATATATATAAGATTATTTATATATTTAAACAAATGAATGAATTTAATCTCGAGTTGCATTTTTATTTCCTGTATTCCTTTTATAGAGTCTTTCTCTGATGAAATGTTTTGTCGCAAACAAAAATGTGAAATGTCAAAAGTTGATTTAAATCGGTTAAGAAAATTTTCTAAATGGATGATATATAAAAAATAATTATTGAAACATTTTTTTTGTTTCATATAAAGAGGTAAAACATATCAAAATTATTCTTTTTGCAGAAGTTGCACCAAATTGCAAATCTGGCCTTAAGAAAAATTCGGACACTGTAAGTTGAAAACCTATAAAATTGTTTAGTAGGCACGTAACAATAGTATGATGCTAAATATAATTAAAATGATTCAATCAACTGTGATAAGCTTACAGGGAACTGCTGTTGGTTTATCGCTTTTCCTTTCATGCAATACGTTATCACCCGCAATGATATGTATTTTCTGTAAGATTCATTCACTGTCAAGACTTGGCAATACTCAGGTTTACTCTTTCCGCCCATAACTTGAATAAGTTTAACTTAGTTTTCACCACCATATCACTATCAAGCCAAACTCGTCGGACTTCACTTGACCGGGCCCGAGCCAAAAGCGAGAAAGACGTCCGCCCTTCATTTTTTTTCATTGTCAACCAACATAAATTGTCAAACATACAACAGATTGCTTACGAATAATTTTATTTATTATTCCAATGTTATCATGGAGTTTTTTGTTTAAAGTACGTGCTGAACGTGACGCAAACTTTTATTCTATTCCTTCTTAATTTTGTTTTAATTATTTTCCTTCAACGTTCATTTTTGGTTTCTTTAAAATAAATAAAAAAATAGTAAAGTGTTAAAAGTATCGATATGAGTAAGTATGGATACTTTAGGACTATTTATTTGGGTAGTATCGAAAAAAGATTTGAGTACTATCGAAATGAGTAGGTATCGATACTTTAACGGCATCGGAACATCCCTACCGTCGCCACTCTCTGCGGCGTTTCGGCTCACGCGCGCGAATAGACCGGAAGATTTCCCGACGCATCCGAAATCGATAGATCGCGCCAATATTTAAATATTCGAACGTAATCTAACACCTAAGAAAACACTTGCTTTGAAATCCGAAAAATGCGGTGATGGAACGCTTTCCAAGGAGAGGCTTACAATTTTAGTTTGTGCTAAGATGGGAGGACATAAAGATTTGCTCGTGATTGGAAAGGCTGCCCGCCGTAGGGCATTTAAAAATATGGCAATTAAAAATTTACCGACAATATGGAAATTTAACAAAAAAGCATGGATGACACGAGGCATTATGACTGAATGGTTGTTGCAATTTGATATGAAAATGGCCCTACACAAGAGAAAAATTTTATTATTCTTGGATAACGCAACATCGCACCTCATGTCTTTACATGGGGTGCGATGTTGCGATTTCCAATGCCTTTGCCAATGCTCAAAAAATAGCCGAAAAACTTAATGTTCGAAATTTGAAAGCTTCCTTCCAATCGATTGAAAAAAGTGGCGCAAGAGACATGCGATAAGTTCTAATTGTATCTCCGGAGAATCAGCGGATGTGACTCAAGAAGACGTAAACCAGTTTAAGGGTAAGTTGCCCACACTACTCCTCGGATATCAGCCTCACGATGTTTACAGTCCCGATGAGGGTGGCCTTTTCTTTCGAGTCTTACCTAAGAAAACACTTGCTTTGAAATCTGAAAAATGCGGTGGTGGAAAGCTTTCCAAGGAGAGGATTATAATTTTAGTTTGTGCTAAGATGGGAGGACATAATGGGAATATGGAAATTTGACAAAAAACCATGGATAACACTAAACAATATGAATGAATGGTTGTTACAATTTGATAGAAAATGGTCCTACATAAGGGAAAAATTTTATTATTCTTGGATAACGCAGCATCGCACACCATGAGACAAAATTACAAAACATAAAAATTATCTTCTTGCCTCCAAATACGTCAATCTCTAGATAAGGGTATCATACAGAACGTTAAATTCTATTATCATGAACTATACTGAAGCACATTTTATCAAAGATGGATCAAGTAATGTCCGCATCAGATTTAGCAAAGTCTGTAAATATTTTAGAAGCACTTTATTATACAGAAACAAAATTGTTTCAAAAAAGCTGGTTTTGAGAAAAATAATGATTTTTCTACACCAATCGAATGGAATCCAGAAGATAATATCACTGTCTACGATACTTGAAATGGAACGATGTGTTAGAGAAATGAACATAAGAAGAAACTCTTGGAAACTATGCTATATTCAACAATGTTACAGTGACTGAGGAGACTAGTTTTAACATTGAATATGCAAATGAAAACAAGAAAGAACCTGAATCTGAAGAAGACAGTGATCAGAATATGACAGTGGGGAACCTAGCACAATTAAACGCTATAATGAAGCCTTAAAAATAATTAGCGATCTAAAAGTTTTGGCTAAAGAGAACTACATTGCATTTCAACGCCTTAAAAATTTAGATCATATTCAGTCAAGTTTGTAAAGGGAAAAAAAGTTTGTAAAAGCAAAAACAATAAATACGCGTCAGGCTAGTATCTTAGAGTTTGTGAATAAATAATTAAAGTTCATTCACCTACATTTTTTTCTATAGCTTTTGTATGTTTTTAAGGAAACAAACATAATACATATTTACGATTTATGTTGTTTTTTTTTTCATTCACCTCTAATGAGCGGACAAAATTAGAGGAACCGTGACAGTGTTATGGGAGTTTTCACTGTATTTGGTTTCTACAAATATAATAGGAAGTTGATTTTTACTATTATAACTAACAGACTTATGCAATTGCACTGTAAACAAGTATCAATGTCCCACAAGTACGTCAAATTCAAATTTGACGCGTGACGTCATGCGCTCGCTAGATCTGTCATATCTTTGTTGTATCATGAGCCCATACGATGAACATATATGTTTGTATAATTTAATCAAACAGTGCTGTCATCTCTCGATGAGTGGTGAAACTAAAGCTTAGTTCTTTGGTTACCGAGTTAGAAATCCGTACTAATTTCTGGAGATAGAATGCAGAACTGATTCTTTGCTTCTACTAAATAAGTATCTTTCATGAATATCATAACCTAAGTAAATATGGAATCCAAGGTCGTTTTCTTGATGTTTTTGTTGTGGGGTATTACTGTCATTGCCGTTTGCTTGAGTGAATTTCAAATCATAAAAAAACAAAAACAATTCATAACTTTATTAAATATGGTAAAATTCTGTTGTGATTTACAATAAATGAATAGGTACATTCAGGCAAATTCGGACTAGAAAGTACACTTTTTTAATTTTATCTTTATAGAAACTTGAAAAGTTATATATACAGTAATAGCAACGAGGTACGGGGTTAGGAAAATGGTCTTAAAAATTTCAAGATAAAATTTATTACGTAAATCTGCCAACGGTCATGAGAATTATTCTCGAGTTTCCGAAATGGCCGCTAGCGGTTGTATTTGCTAAGTTGATTTTTAAAATCCGGTTTTTATAAAATTTTCCAATATTAACCATAAGTGACAAAGTTAAATGTTTTTGTTTAATTTGCCTTACAAGGACAGTTATCGAGGATGTTCGAATATATCCGGAAATAAATGTCTTACCAAAAAGGCTTAGCAAATTTGATTAAAATTTGAGTGGTTTGAGGTTTTTTCCGAAGCTATCAATTGTGCTATGAGCGAGGCCAATCCAATTGCTTACAAGATGGCGTTTTCTTTTTATAAGAAATAATTCTTAAACTTTATTCCACATTAGGTAGTTAAAATAAGGGACCTACAACCAAGTGAACACCATTAATCACCGCAATCTAAAAAAATATGTGAAAAATTATTAATAAATTAATAATAAATAAATAATAAAATAAAACGCTAATATATTATTCAGGATGAAAAATAATATCTAAAATCGAAATAAAACTTTGTAATTTACCTTTAGTACTTTTTTTACAGCACTTCGAATCTACCAAAAGTAAATTTAATATTTTAATATTTCTAAAAAAATACTAGTTTTCACACTTGCAAAAAACTCCAATATCACCCTTATTTCTAAAGGTAGCCCACTCATATTTGATATTAGCGTTATTCGACGGAATTTCAATTACATGCTGGTGCTCAAAATAAACGAATAATTTTGGATCATTTTAAATTAAAAAATCTCGATTTTCTTAAATTTTACACCATATATTATTATTTTTTCTGAAAGTTCTTACAAAAACCTTCAACTCTTATCAAGCTTGCCATATACCTTTCAATACTTTGCGATTTATTTTAACTTTTACAATATTTACCCTTCTTTCTCTCTAAGACTGTTGCTATATTTGCTATTAGCTAACAGGTTAATATACATAATTATATTATATTATAAATTTAAAAATAGGGGGTTTTATTCGTAAGTCTTTTTTGGGCCCCTTTGTATACTTTACAATCTTTAAACTTTTGTATTCACCAACTTTTGAAGCCATTGTGATAAGGAACTTTACTCTTTCATGACTCGCCCTTAGATTTCGTATAAGTATCCCTTCGTATAGATTCATTACAAGAAGTTGACTGATGACTTTAACCTTATTTTGACATCATAGAGCCGGCAGAGTTTAATACTAAACATTTGACAACGGGCAATTTGTTATCCTTTGGAGGAATTGAAAACAAAGTAATATAATTAAATAATAACATTTTATTTCTATTTTAAATTTTTTGTATTATAGATTAGGAAAAAGATATTGACATGCGGTACCAAGGAGGATTGTTGGGCGTTTATTTGACTATCTAATTATGAGAAAAAGTCATAGTTATTGCGATTTTTAGAAAACGCCATCTGGTGGCACTCATAGAAAGATTGATATTCTAGGAGAGGCCTCTTTAAAGTGATAGAAATAGAGCAGTGTCAGTTTCAAAACAGCACACGCTCAATTTTGTAGAAACCGGGTTTTAAAAGTCGAGAAAGCAATGACGTCCGCTGGAAGCTGAAAAATAATTTTCGGCATTTACTTTATCAAATTTATAGGACCTGCTGATTTCCTATTAGCGTACCTTATTATTGGAACACACGGTATACTGAGCAATTATTTGTAGTGACTCGGTTAATCCGTCCAAGTATCCCACGCTGGGTGACAATTTTCCTGAATACTCCAGAAATCCGTTAGATGATCGTACACTTTCGTCGTTTTGTTGTTGTAGTTCAACGCCTGACATATTCTACAGTAATGATACGATTTACTTTTGAAGTAGCCGTGTTCATTTAGAACTTGAAAATTTGCTTTCCACCTGTAAATACAAATGGTTGGTAACTGTCAACGTTTGCGATACTAAAACAAAACCGTTTGCCTTATAAGTTTTCAGTGGTGTTTCAGTTTTTGTACTTTTTATAATTTTTAGAGACAATTTAATTGGACTTGCTGGTTATTTATTAACTATTACTTAAGTTTTGCATGTCCTTCGAGTATGGTATCATTTAAGACCAATCTTGATATGTATGATACTAATATATAGGTACTCTTACCATGGCAACATCAAATAAATAAATTTTAATTTATTAAATAACCTGATACCAACTTTCTTTTGTTTATATCTCCAATCCAGTCAGCATCCACATAACATACAAATGGGTCCGTTTAATATCCTTTACATTTTACATTAGTTCCTAGCGTCCCTTTGAAATATCGCAACCGTCTTTTAACTGATGGCCAAACTACTGTTTTATCTTGAAATCGGCTTAAATAATTTATGAAAAAATTAATATTTGGTCTAAATATAAAAAATACGGCACATCCAATTAATTGTTCGCCACTATTTTTATGTTCATTTGTAGAAATAAACTTTTGGTGTATCTTGGTGAGTAACAGAGATAATAAAAACAAAAAAAGAAAATGTTTGGAGTCTTCTAATGTCAACTGCTATATGCTTCGGTTGCTTGTATTCACCACAGGGTGATAAGAATTTTCAGAAAAAGACAACATTTTTATTACAGCCCGGTATAATTTTTTTTTATTATTATCAGCGAAAACTATGACACTGTCAACCTAAATGTAATAAAAAAAAAATTCAAATCGTATCATAAATTCAGAAAAAAAATAGCATCAAAAATGTGGCAAATTTATGATGTTACGTTACGTCCAGGAGTTTATTTACTTCTGCGTCAATTGATGTTAATGAGGAATTACAATTTTTAAAATTGAATCTTTTTAAATATATGATCGGACTTATTGTTAAAATGCCCTCATTTCTGTTATATTCAATTTCTAGTTCTAAGAAATGTTTTAATTTACCTTGGTAATTGGTTCTCTATATTTTGAGAATTCTTATATACAAACGAAAGTGTTGTTGTTGATCGATAAATCTATATATTCTCATTTAATTCCCCCATTTAAAGGTACCGTTCTTATATCTAATTGATGAGCAGTCTAATGGTTGACATTTTGGCTACTGCTGAGTATAGTTCATACTAATAACATCTTTGCTGATTCTGGGTTCTTTATTTCAGTCCACGTTTTGATTTTTTCACTTTACTATATTTGCTTTTATGTGGTACAAATACCAAATGGATATTATATGGTTTGATTCTTTCATTTGAAACTGAAAACGGTTGAAAAATTTGATTCTTAGTATCTTACCTTGACTCTGTCTCTATATCAACTTTTCTTGTAGCAATTCATTTTCATTCAATATAACACCTCTAGTTATACTTGTGATGAGGTGTATCCTGCCTTTGAATCAAATTTATCTTTAAAATTTTTGGGTAAGTGTAAGTAGGCAATACATCCAAATATTTTCATATTGTTTATGCCAGGTTTGGTTCCTTGCGGTTCTGCTGGTGTTGTATTTACTAAATTATTACTTGGGCTGTCACTCTAAGCTAAGAGCTTGGTTCTAAAAGATTTTAGCCTGATTGACCAAACTTCTGTTAAATCTTTACATTTTGTTCAGGCCCATACGGCGTTGTTCCCTTCTTTTCTTCGCACCATGCTTATGTGTTCTTTGAAATAGTAAACCACTTTTATCTTTTAAAATATAAACAACAACAACATTTGTTATGTCATCAATAAAAGTTAAGAATTTCTAGTTTCTATATTTAAATACTCCTTCGTGTTTTGAACTTACTATACTATAACTGATTTTTAAATTTCTTCTTAAATTTGACGTATAAAATACATTTTTAATTGTACAACTCTCAGAGAATTGATTTTACGTACAACTTTTATGTTTATGATTGATAATTGATGTAATCTGAAAAATATTCTTTATTATTAATTACATTCTGAACTTATATTAAATGAAATTATATTTCTACTTACAATTTTTTTTCACTTAGTAAAGTTTGTCATAAAACACACTTGACCTTTTGCTTCCGTGCAATAATTCTCCCTTGGATCATTACTTCCACTGCTGTAGCCTATGGTTTTATAATTGTCTCGACCTCTACTCTAACTTGCCTCTACTCGATTGTTGCTTTGAACAATTGCTTCATCAAAGAAAATTATCCACTTTTTGCATTCTAAATTTGCAGGCATTGTAGCTGTGCTTCATTATTATTGTTATCTAAGATCCAGTTTTAGTTTCAAAAATTGACAATAATTCTCTCTGGTAATTGATGTATCTTGAATTTATGTATCACAGAAACTGTTCTTGATCACTTACAACTTTCACACTTGTCAAGCTCTTTCTGGTTTAGTTTCATTATAGTTTTTCGTCTTTTCTCTCTGCTTTTCTTCTAATATCTAAACACTTGACCCTTCTTTTTGTTATCTTTTTTTTTATAATAAGGTTGTTTCTTCAGACTCTGTGCCAAATCTGTCGTCTTGAGCAAGTTTCGTCTTGACAGTCACTAGTAATTATCGTTATCGAATTTTCTATTCTGATGACCATAGATCCTCCTACGAAGACCCGAAGCCTTTTGGTTTCATCTCTCTTTTTCTGCAGTCGTGGATGTATCTTCTGTAGCAAACCTTAGATTTTCATGGATAAGCGCCATTTTAATTCCAAATTTCCAATTATTGGAATTTTTTCTGCAAACCGACTTCTCAAAACACAACACGCTGGTGACGATGAAGAATCGACCATATTTGGCGAGAGTAGAAAATGTCCATGATCCTTTTGCACACACAACTTTTATTTACACAAACTTAACGCGGTTTGGCCAAGTGCCCACGCACCAACCATACTGGGCTCAAATCTCTATCCGGTACTCGGCCATCATAAAAGAAGGAGTAGTACAACCGTAGAAACTACAGAATACAAAAAAAAATTGCTTAGCTTGCTTAGTTCCTCAAAAAAAAAATCAGACACACCAACCATTTTAAAGAACCAACTTGGCTAACAACTGCCATACTAATTTAATACACTAATATACAGGTCTGTCCGCCACTGGCGAGACCTTTGACAATCACGAGTTATATCAACAGTACGAATTTTGAACTCTGCTTTGGAGTTGGATATTTGCTGTCACAATAGCGTTTTAACATTTATACTGACCAAGAACTCAGTTAAATAGTCTTCAATAAATAAAAATCACACAAAAACTGAAACAACCATGTTAAATTTGCATGTCAAATCGGTTTGCTTCGATTCTAACTGTTGGTCACCTGTAGAAGCTTTTGAAGTCTCCGGTTTTGTTCAGTCTCAGTAAGTTCTGCGCCAAAGCTGAAGGGCTGGCAAAGTCGTCAACGTTAATGTACGACTGCGGCGGTAAAATCTTGCGATAGTTTTTTTTATCCGAACCCATGACGATCGGTATGGAATTCTTGTGGAAAGCGTTCCACCATAATTTCTCCGTAATGTATTCGTCGCAGTTGGAATTTTCGAATGATAGGTAGAACAGGTAGTCGTCGATCGCCTGGCAATCGGACTGGAAATGACCCGGACATCTAAAATGAGCAGTTTTCTAAGTAAGTGGTTGTTTTTTTAATGTAATCCTAAGTGAAAGATAAGTGTGATTGTCCACTTACCCACTACCCACTTACTCTTTTTTTCTGCCACAACCCCCATATACGTCTACTTGTATGTGTTTTTGCAATTCTGCAACGTATTTCCAACGGTGGTTGGTACCCTGACAGTTGGAACCTAATATAGCCACTAACACATCGCGCCTTTTGTCCAGCCTTACTTCTACTTGCGAATCGAACGGTTCTTTTAATGCTGTCCTGCCGTACGGTACCGGAATGTCAGAATCCATTCTGAAATAAATAAATAATGAGTTCATTTTAATAAGTTACAACAATTTAAGTTACGGAGTATTTCGAGGTGGCGATAACAGTGACGTAGATTAGGTATTGTACGAGATATAGCTTAGTGGCATATATTCAAACGGAGGAACTAAATCATCAATCCCGAAACAGAGCCACGGGATCCGGTTCTAGGGTAAAATAAAACTTTAAAGACAACCATAAATATAGATAAAAATTGTTATTATATATCGAAAAAGAGCATTAAGAAACTCATCAGCCGTTGCCCAATACAATCACGAAAGCGGGCATCAAATTTTATTCCAGAAAACTAAAATCTATAAGGAACGAAACAATGTTAACCGCGACTCAGGCCTTTGCCTTTGTCCAATATGGGAATCAATCATCATTCATGTCCCTGCGTTAACTTCGTCCCTCTTAAACAATATATAAGCATATAAGCAGGTACAATTAAGGGGAGTGCTTTCTTGGCAACTCTACTGTGCATGTCGTGTTTCTATCGTTGTGATTTTGAATAATTTCATGTGTATTTCAAGTCGGAAACTTGGAATAGATCTTCATGTGAGTCTGTTGGAGGTTTTTTTCCGATAAACATTAAAGTTTAGTTCCAGAAAATCTAAATACAACAACTTTCAGCACATGTACCACAAGCCAGGACCGCATTTAAGATGTCCGCTGACAGGAACTGTGCCGTGTGGAATGTTGAATTTTAAGAGTGGAATTTAAAAGCAAGAATGGATTTTTCACTGCATTCACTAATAATAATTGAGGAATCTTAACGTTGAAACTTTACACAAATCCGTTTTCAGCATTTGTATGCATAACGTATCGAAATACTGTTTCGGAACGTCATTGTGAATTGCGAATTTATTTATTAAGGGTTACAAAGAGAAACCCAAGCGAGGTAGGCCTGCGGTTTGACCTTCATAAAAATTTACCATAGTTAAATGCCGAATTGTCGTAAAAGCAGTATATAGTTTGAAGAACTCTATCGCCGTTTATCTCCATTTCGGACGGAAAAGAAAGTTTTAATTTTTGGCTTTCCTGAATCTGCCAACGACAATAATAATGTGAATAATCTCACGAACAACAGACCTCTCAAACCACAATCTGTACTGCTTATTGGAAAAATCCTCGAGCGACCACGTCCTCTCAAACTTACTTTTTCATCCTCAAGCGAGGCCATTAACATTTTAAAAGCCAAAAAAGCCCGTTCTGCTCAATTCCATCGAGTCTCAATTCAGTTGGATCAAACCAAAAAGCAAAGACTAACTAATCTTAGTGATGAGCCTCGACCACGGATCGTGAGTGTTCCTTCTAACGAGACACAATAAGGAAAACGATCTCGAGATATAAATAGTCCTTTTGATAGGCATTTAAATCTACAAAAACAATCCTGCTCCTTCTTGAAGGTCTAACCAAACGAAATTTGACATATGTTTTTGGAGCGTTGAAGGAATCGGAAACTTACGACTGTTGCGGTCTTCACACACTGTTCTGCGGTTACGTGAAAACACATAATAAAATCTCGTGGAATTCTGGAGTAAAATAAACAACGTATATTCGCGAAAACCAAGGATATACTTGAGAGGAGCAGTATTGGGAACCCAATATTGTCCCATGACAAACAATGAAAACAAAATAACACTCTTTGAGGCGGCCTGCCGGGTCCGCATTCAAAAACGATGAACCGGCCCCCTCGCCTCGTAACCCCATACTACCCGTCCGTTTCAGCGCTACCGTTTTACCCCCCACTCGCACAGTTCCAGGAACTTCCATCGATTACCGCGGGCGCACTACAAGTCTTATTGACACCTTTAGGACCGACATTGCTTTTCTTACAAGATGGAAAATATCTGGGCTCTAATTGGATTCGCCGTCATCGCTAACGGGTAGGATATTAGAGGAGGGGGATTGATTAAACCCCCGTTGGTGCTTGTTTATCCAATGGGGCGAGTTTCAAGGGATTATGGGTAAAGTGGGCCGGGTCTACAGCCATTGCGGGAGGAGCTAGGGGGTCGTGGGGAAGGAGGACACGCCCACAAAAAAGGTAGAGGAGTGAGGTGATCCCAGAGCATACACATCTCTACTCCCAATTTGTGTAGAAATTAGAAATATCCTATTTTCTTAGGCCATATATAAAGCGCACACAGTGGTTTTGATTTTTTTGAATTCTAGACTCACGTTCACTATCTAAACAGAAACCAAAGACAAAATTACATAATTAAAATTTGATAAGACAAGGGACTCGCACAACCAAAAACTAATAACGAATATTTTGTAGGGTTTAACTTAAGGAGAGTTTTCTCAAAGTTCGTAAATAGTGATTAATGTTTTGTTCTAATTCCAAAAGAGCATTACCAAAACTATAATAAATTTGTGCAAACGCTCCAATTTTTCATGAAGTTTAATAAAATAAATAACAGAGGACCTAAAATGGACTCCTGCGGTACCACCGAGGGTATTTGCACCTAATCCGAAAATTTGTCACTGAAGGATTATTGGCTTTCTATTATTGAGATGTTATGACGAGTAAAAAAAGTCGATTGATTGTATCGAAAGACTTCAAAATATTCAACTGCACAAGAACGGTACTTATTTTTTTATCATACGCTCGAAAAACATCATTTAATGCATTCAGTAATGCTACTTATGTCTCAGACTTCTATTTAAAACCACATTGTGTAGGTGGAACAATATTGTGAGCAATAAATTGGCGGATATCATTATACGTGAATGGATTTGGATTTGGTAAGGGTATTAGACAGAAAAAATGAATCAATCAATCTATAACTGGGGTGGATGTGCAATATGGGCCAAAAGAGGCTTAGTTAGAGCGAGCCTTCCTTTGAACTGGTTTTCGGTGAACAAATATTTTGAAGTTTGTAATGAACAAAAAAAAAAGAAATAACAAGATTGCTTGCAAGATTGCAACTTTTTATTTTAAAAAGAAGGCGTTTCGCGGTTTCTCGTCCTAGAGGGACGCATTGTTTTTCTATCGTGCTCCTGTGGACCACTATGGAATTTTCGCAAAATCGATGTAATTTAATTGTGCATGCACTCTGTATAAAATGTCCTTCACACCTCTTCGAACTTCAAAATTACAGCAAATATCGGTAAATATTAAAATTTGCACAAATAATAGCGTTGTCGAATGATGTTTTTTCAAATATCTCGCGCGCTGTATAATTGACATCTTTAACGGTTTTTCATTTATCACCAATAATTTACCCACAAAAACGGAAATTTTTAGGATATTTTAGATTTTTTGCCCATAAACGACACACAACGACAGCCCTGGATTTTCCACGCGTCCTGGTTCAAGAATTTTTTTAAAATGGTTTTCGAGAAAACAAGTTTTTTCTGAAACCATGCAGTGCGCCGTAATAATCAATGACGTCATCGCGTCTTGGCAGCCCCCGGAATAACGATTTCAATGTGGATTTTTTCAAATATCCCGAGCTCTTGATGCGGCCTATGACACCGTTTGAACCACTTAACCATATTTTTTACGATTATTGATTTGCGGCTAATAATTTACTCTGTAAAAGAACAATTTTCTAGGTCTTTTAGATTTTTGCATATAATTTGAAAACCCTGTATATAATCGAAAAAATATCCGAAATAAATGTTATTGGATAAACGATTATATTAAAATTACCAAAAAGAAAATTTCAAACATTTTTAAAAAATACTTGGCAAAATTTGATTGCGCCCAATTTCTACCGTTTAAATGTGGACACGGACTTTTACTTCTCTGCTAAATTTGAAGTTGATATCTGCAAAATTAGGACAATTAACACATTTCTCATTTAGGACGGAATATCGGGAACACCCTGTACAATAGGTGAAAACCTTCAATTCAAAAGTTTTTGCTGTCTATGCGGGCTATATCGCAATATAAAAGAAAGTGAGATCTGAATCATAGTCTTTCAGTTATAACCAATTTTCAATAATAGGGAGACCCATTTTTCATTTTTTTTGAATTTGCGGCGCACCCAGTATATTTTTGAAAAATTGTCAAGAATAAAAGTTTATAGAGCCGTATCTTCTGCTTCTTCTGGTTCGCGAATTTTTATGGTCTTGTAAACCGTTTTTGAACAATTATGTTCTTTGTAGACCCTTGCACGCACAAATTTTTATTTTTTTGGAATACTTATTGACCCCCAGCCCACCCATTTTCAATAGGTACCGTTACGGGGCAAAGCTGCATATGTGTGCCAAATATGAAGTCAATTGCTTCAAATTTCGGACACTTATCGTGTTTCATAGCAAAGTCCAAAAAACATGGAAAAAGATGGATACCGGCGTCTGATCAGGGCCATTTCTTATATGCCTATGTGCCTCGTGGAGGGTTAAAGAGGAGGCAAATTTCAATTTTGTAGCTCCAAAGGTTCGAAAGTTATTCAGGAAAAACCAAAAGAAGAGAAGGGAGAACGGAGAACGGACAGACAAAAGAATTTTTTTTTCGACGGTGATCATTTCTGTACCAACGGCGATCCCATAGGACTTACCGTTTTCTTTTTTTTTTTTAATCGAAATCCACTCGCCTATGGTGCACTAGGTGACACTGCGAGGAGGAGAAGAAAGATGGTTATTGACTGCTCTGCAAGTTATATTCTGTTGGAAATACACTATCCGGAAGAGAATTCCATAAGCTTGATATTCGAAAGAAGTATGAGTTTTGGTATACTGACGTTCGTGGGGTTTCGAGGCGGACTGAATAGCGATGTGCTGATGCTGCTTGGCGAGTAGAACGACCAAACCTCGCTCTTGGTGGAATGAGCTCGGCAAGCTGGTCGGAACATTGCCCATGAAAGTATCTATAGAACAAAGATAAATCGCCAACCCTTCTTCTATGACTGACTGATTGCAGGGAGCCGGTCAGTGCCGGATCGTAGACAAGACGCACAGCTCTTCTCTGTCCAAAATTGCTAAAGTATGCTTAGGGGCTATAAAATTTTTATATGAGCGCAGTTACTTTTGAAAAA